CCTGCTCTATAGCCATACATTCCTATATTTATATTAAAAACACTACTGTGTTCCTTGTTTTGTGTATTTTAATATGTATTTTATAGATATACATTTTAATATGTGTATTTGTGGTATTTTTGTAATGTTTATGTGTTTTAATTATTCTGTAACTTGCCTCAGGTCATGAGAAGAGGGGGGAAGAATTATTATTGTTATTATTATGGAATTATTTGCTCATATATGTAACAGAAGGCTAAAACCAGTGGACTCCTTCTTTTATGTAAATATCAATTGGATAAATATGGAAATTGTTTTTCAATGACTTGACTATACTTTTTGCGTCAAGAAGACACAAAAAACTGATATTTCTCAAATACTACTTTTAGAAAATGTGTTAGAAAATGTACAATGATCTTGTATATTCTAGACTCCCTTCCCTCTCTTACTCTACAATATCATTATTGAAATAAAATAGCTTTATTCACCAATGAGAACTACAGTTAATACTTTTTTCTGGATTGCATGGAGATCGGGACTATTATATGTACTAGTTGTTGGGAGCATTTTCCTGGGTAATAGGATGGGAAAGATGAAGTTCAGGTTGGATATTCCTTCAGTGGAGTTGTAGTTTTACCAGTTGTTTAGCCTTCCTTGCAAAGTTGCTGCCCTGACCAAACTACACATCAGACGATTCCATAGCACTGAGTCAAAGTGGAGTCAAACTGAGGGCCCTTCCAGACAGGCCCTACATCCCAGAATCTGATCCTAGGTTTACTGCTTTAAACTGGATTATGAGTCTACACTGCCAGATAAATTAATACTAATATTGTGCTGTGCTAATAATATAATATATTGTGTACACATATAATATTGATAATATTTTAATGTAATACATTATAATACTACTAATAATACAATATAATATTTTTATTTCATACTACATGTAATGTTACTAATAATATTACAGTATAGTGGTATAGTACAATATAGTTATATATAATACTAATATTGAGCTATGCTAATAATATAATATGTTGTATTCACATATATTATTATGATGTAATACAATAAAGTACTAATAATAATACAATATGTTATATCATATTACATGTAATATCTATATAAATAAAATGTAATGTTTGTTTGTGGGATTTACATAACTCAAAAACCACTGGACGAATTGACACCAAATTTGGACACAATACACCTATCAGGCCAACGAGTGACCATCACTCATGAACACACTGAAAAACACATCAAGAGGAACTTAAAAAGCCAAGAAATACAACACATGTGCAAAACCACATATATACACAAACACACACACACACACACACACATATATATACGCATATACACACACACCAAAACACATATACATAGACTAGGCCACAGCAAAGCATGGTAGGGAACGGCTAGTTAATAATAATATTACAGTGGTATAGTACAATATAGTAATATATAATACTCATATTGTGTTATGCTAATAATATAATATAATATTTTTTCATATACTTGTACCCCGCCCATCTCACCCCCGAGGGGGGACTCGGGTGGCCTCACAGTAAACACCATTCATTGCCAGCATAATGATAAAAACAATCAACAAATTCATTAAAACAAAACATTAAATAAACAGTTGTTAAAACACGCCAATTAAAATCTGGGTCTGGGTCAATTCACTGTCACTTCGAAATTGCTTATGTCTTCTTCATACAAGCCGCTATTCAATAGTCAAACGCAAGGTCCCACAGCCAAGTCTTGGGTTTCCTTGTAAGGACAGGAGGGAGGTGGCCAATCTGATGCCTTTGGGGAGGGAATTCCACAGACGGGGAGCCACTGTTGAGAAGGCCCAATCGTGTTGGCGACAGCAGTGGGTCATATGTACATATAACTTGTAAGCCGCTTGGCGTCCCCTTCGGGGTGAGAAGGGCTGTATATAAATGTCGTAAATAAATAAATAGTCTGGGATAAACAGAAAAATAAAATATTGACTTTATTATAATTATTATCATCAGAATGTCCAACGATCAATGTGTTCACTGCCCATAATAATAATGTAAATATATATAATATATGGAAATAATATATATCGTAATAATATGTAATAATATATGGTCATAATATATAATAATATATCACAATAATAATAATAATAATAATAATAATAATAATAATGCTTGATATTATTAGAATAATAATTATTATCAAAATGGCCCATATGTGAACTGCTCATTGACCATTACTTCTACCATCTAGACATGTCCTGTCAGTTTTCCCAGATGCTGGAATGGAATCACAGCACAGCAAAAGCATCAAGCTCCTTCTCATGTGCCATTGTAAAAGGAGACTGTGGTAACCCACTTTGCTTTCCTTGGGACTGAGTGGGCAGCGAGCTTTTGAAATTGCAAACGTTTTTCAGTCAAGAAAAGTTGCCTTTGAAAAGTCCCTTTCAAAATTTACACACAAACATACCACACCTCAACAGCCAGGGAGGCGGAATGGCTTTGTTAGTGGACATTACCCATCCTTCTCCTTCACAGAATTAACATCCAGACCTGGGTATTAATATGCCAAGATATTTTTCCCCCCGTGTCAGGAGCGACTTGAGAAACTGCCAGTCGCTTCTGGTGTGAGAGAATTGACCGTCTGCAAGGACGTTGCCCAGGGGATGCCTGGATGTTTGATGTTTTACCATCCTGTGGGAGGCTTCTCTCATGTCCCCGCATGGGGAGCTAGAGCTGACAGATGGGAGCTCACCCCGCTCCCTGGATTCGAACCACCAAAAAATGGGGGGAGGGGGGTCCAAGATGGGTTTAGACATCCATGGGCAAACTTAGGCCGTCCAGGTATTTTGGACTTCATCTCCCACAATTCCTAACAGCCGGTAGGTTTTGAAGTCCAAAACACCTGAGTGGCCCAAGTTTGCCCATCTCTGGGTTTAGGACACTGGAGAAAATGGATTTGAATCCCTGCTCAGCCATGGAGCAGGTGTGGACGAGTCACACACCCTGAGGCCCTTCCACACAGCTGTATAAAATCCACATTGAACAGGATTATATGGCAGTGTAGACTCAGATAACCCAGTTCAAAGCTGATATTGTCGATTAACTGCCTTCATATACTAGGTTATATGGCTGTGTGGAAAGGCCTAGAAACATGTTGGGAGATTAGACATATATTTCTACCTACTGCACCACCGGGGGCTCTATAACCCAGAATATCAAGGCAGAAAATCTCACAATATCTGCTTTGAACTGGGTTGTGTCCACACTGCCATATAATCCAGTTCAATGTGGGTTTTATACAGCTGTGTGGAAGGAGCCTCCACCTGCACTGCCATATAAAATCCAGATTATCTGCTTTGAATCTGATTATATGGCATCATAAACTCTTATAATCTGCTTCAAATTTCAACATTTGAAGCAGATTGTAAGAGTTTATGATGCCATATAATCAGATTCAAAGCAGATAATCTGGATTTTTGAAATTTTTTGAAATTTTACAATCAGTGCTTGGCACACAAACAGATTCCCAGACTATGGAGGAAAGCTAAGATAATTACTATTTTAAAGCCTGGTAAAGACGCCTCCAATGCCAGGAACTACTGGCCTATCTCATTCCTATGTCATCTGCGATGTTCTGTGGAGCAGAACAGACAACTTCACATCTGTATGCTTGTCCACTGTGCCCTGTCTCATGTACAGAGGAGGAATTGTTGGAGGCTACAGGCAATGCCGTTGCTGTTGCCCGTTTTTGGTCAAAGAATATTTAGCCGCCTGTGCGCCTTCTATTTTTTATCAGTTTTATATTAATTTATGCAATGCTTTTGATACGAAATAAATAAATCTGCTTCAAATCAGGTAATGCGGATGATCTGCTTTGATAATCTGGATTTCCATCCTGAAATACTTTCCCCTCATTTCTACTGAGGATGGATGGTGTTTATATATGTAGGGACAACGGCAGGCCTAGCACATGCATGTTAGAAATAAGATGAGCACATTTTTCTATAGAGTTCAAAGACCACTTCAGAAAATGCATTTTGAATCTCATTAGATTTGAATGATGAATATATCTAGGCAGAATAAACAGAAGCCCTTATACACTGCCATATAAAATCCACATTATCTGCTTTGGATTACATGGCAGCATAGACTCAGGCCCTTCTACACTGCCGTATAATTCAGATTATCAAATCAGATAATCCTCATTAACTGCGTTGAACTGGATTATCTGATTATCCACACTGCCATATAATCCAGTTCAAAGCAAATAATCTGGATTTAATATGACAGTGTAGAAGGGGCTTTAGACAATCCATTTCAAAGCAGAAAATGTGGATTATTTGTTTTGATAATCTGGATTATATAGCAGTGTAGAAGGGGCCAGAGACTGTTGGAAATAAACAGATCAGAGACTGTTTAGAACACAGTTTAAAAGGTGACAGTTGTGGGATGACTGTTGAAGATGACAGTTGGAAGTAAACAGTTATGAGAGTTGTACAGGGCTGTATAGTGTTGAAGAGACAGATAAAGACTGAAAGTTAAAGGCACAAACCGATATATTTCAAAGTTTATACGAGCAAGAAATGTACCTGTATTTTTAAATTAAGTTAGTAACACAAACATGTTATTTTAAAGACTATTTGAATTGTCTCCAGAGAGCATGAAATAGAAATACAATATTTATGAAGAATAGATGATTTTTTGAACTCTAAATAAATACACGTGTATACCATTTCTTTTCTTAAAGATATAAAGATTATGGTTTCCCAAATCGGTCATAATCCAATAGTTTATGATCCTAACAGGCCATAATCACTTGGTTATGTGACTGGTGATTAACCAATAGGCAATAGGTAATAGTCTCTAAAAAGATTGCCTATCCAATCAGATATCCAATAGAGACAACTCTTGCAGACACTGTGCAGCTAAAAATTATCCAGAAAAGCCCAATCATTCATATATATTCCTTTATGTTATCTGTAGACAGGGTGATACAACAAATATATTATTATGGAAAATGAGACAATCTCAGACGTATCTTCCCTCCATAATTTTGGAGCCATTAAAAGACATGTGAGGGAGAAGAGGAATGGAGCCCCAAAAGTTACAAAGCTGAATACTTCTCTTGCATCAAAAATCAAAACAAAGACAATAAGTGAGTGTTTGATAGAATTACAGAAAATGCTATCATGCAAATATACATACCCGTGGACTTCATTTATAGCATTGTATATATTGTATACTCGAAAAGCACTAGATCTTGCTTGATCTTGGAAGCAAAATAGGGTCAGCCATGTTTAGTACTTTGATGGGAGATTGCCAATGAATACTAGGTGTTGTAAACTATATTGAAGTATATGTGTATGTTTGTGTGTATGTGTGTGTAGAGAGAGAGAGAGGTTTACTGTTGTAGTACAGCATGATAGTAACGTTACTACTACTGGTAGAAGGGAGAAGAGGGCTGCGCAGTGTCTCTAAGCCTTTTTTGTGTTTAATAAACCTTTGTTTGGACCTTTTATACTGTGTTTGGCATTCTTGAGGCTTCTGGGTCTTGACATTTACTGAGTAAGGACCTAGCTGACTTTCCTTTTTCTCCCAAGACAACAGTTCGACTTCAACGTGTAGACCAGGGGTCCTCAAACTAAGGCCCTGGAGCCGGATACAGCCCTCCAAGGTCATTTACCCGGCCCTCGCTCAGGGTCAACCTAAGTCTGAAACGATTTGAAAGCACACAACAACAACAACAACAACCCTATCTCATCAGCCAAAAGCAGGCCACACTTCCCACTGAAATACTAATAAGTTTATATTTGTTAGAATTATTCTTCATTTTAATTATTGTATTGTTTTTTGTGGGTTTTTTCAGGCTGTATGGCCATGTTCTAGAGGCATTTCTCCTTAATGCCTCTAGAACATGGCCCTACAGAAATGCCTCTAGAACATGGCCCTACAGCCCGAAAAAACCCACAAGAACCTTTGTTAAAATTGTTCTTCATTTTAATTATTGAATTGTTTTAAAGTGTTTTTGCACTACGAATAAGATATGTTCAGTGTGCATAGGAATCATTTCAATTTTTTTTCAAATTATAATCTGGCCCTCTAACACAGGGGTCCCCAAACTACAGCCCGTGGGCCACTTCCGGTCTGCCAAGGGCACTTATCTGGCCCGCGGAGGAGGAGCGGCCCCCCCCCACACACAGTGGCCCTCCTTGACTGGCTCTCGCTATCCGTCAGGCCCGATGGGCAGTGTGAGCCAGCCAAGGGAGGCTGCCCCAGCGCTCCATGCAGTCATGCCGGCCACATGACCTTGGAGGTGTCTACGGACAACGCCGGCTCTTCGACTTAGAAATGCAGATGAGCACCACACCCCAGAGTCAGACACGACTGGACTTCATGTCAGAGGAAAACCTTTAACTAGGAAAATTGTGGAAGATCCAGGGTGGGAGAAAGAACTCTTGTCTTTTGGAGGTAGGTATGAATGTTTCAATTGGCCACCTTGATTACCATTTCATAGCCTGACAGTTTTTAGGGAGAATCCTTTGTTGAGAGGTGATTAGCTGGCCCTGATTGTTTCTTGTCTGGAGTTCCCCTGTGTTTGAGTGTTGTTCTTTATTTACAGTTATAATTTTAGAGTTTTTTTTAATACTGGTAGCCAGATTTTGTTCAGACTAGAAATAGGAAGATTTCCCATTCTCTGCTCCTGGAATTACTGCCTAAAGAGGGCTGGAAAGAACCCCCTCTTAGGGCCCTTCCACACAGCAAAATAAGATATGTGCAATGTGCATAGGAATTTTTTAATTGGTTTTAAAAAAACCCAAAAAACTATAGTCCGGCCCTCCAACGGTCTGAGGGACAGTGAACTGGCTGCCAGTTTAAAAAGTTTGAGGACCCCTGCTCTAACAGTTTGAGAGGCTGTGACCTGGCCTTCTGTTTAAAAAGTTTGAGGACCCCTGGTGTAGACGATTTGCTATAAACCTCCACCTCATATGAAGAATACCGAGGGGCTACTCAAAGGTTTTGCAGACCTTCGGTTTGCTATTCGGGGTTCCAGATCACCCAAGGACAGCGTTGCCTCACGGACAAGCGAAAACAGGCAGTATGCCAGATCACTACCCCTGCAGCTGGATCTACACTGCATTATATGCCAGGATCTGATCTCAGATTATCTGCTTATCCCAGATTATTAGGCAGTGTAAACTCAGGCCCCTTCCACACAGCTGAATAAAATCCCACATTATCTGCTTTGAACTGGAATATATGACAGTGTGGACTCAGATAACTCAGTTCAAAGCAGATATTGTGGGATTGATATTCTGGGCCTGAGAGCCCTTCCACACATGCCTATAAAATCCAGATTATCTGCTTTGAACTGGATAATATGGCAGTGTAGACTCATACAATCCAAAATGGATTATCTGATTTGATAATCTGGATTATATAGCAATATAGAAGGGGCCCAAGAGTTCCTGTTACTGTTTTGTTGCAATGTAAGCTTTGTTTTTGTTGTTTGTGGTACCCAGCCACCCCAAAATCCCCCAAAACTACACTTAAAATTTAGAATAATTTACACCATTGTGGTGGTCCTGGAGACCTGGTACATAGAAATGATGCACCACAAGGACTCCAGGACCACCATAATGGCAGCCTGGTAAGTTTTTCTAAATTTTAAGGGCAATTTTAAGAGGGAGGAAGTGAGCGCCACCTCGCTCCTCCATGCTTTTGGAAGCCCAAAGAAGCAAGACGGCTGTGGGGACTCAACCCTTGGTGAGTCCCCACAGGGCCAATACCTCATTAAACCTGGGCCTTTCAGGCAGGCAAAGATTTCAGCAGGGTTTACTTGCTTTCTCCTGAATTAATTCTTTTTTACTGGAAGTGTCATTTGGATGCTTCTGGTAAAAGCATGACAGACCCCCCATTTCTTGGCCTGTCTGGAAGGGCCGATAGATAATCTAGGATCAGATCCTGGGATATATGGCAGTGTAGATTCCGATTTACTCTGGGTGCAATTTCCTGTTTCTTAGCAGCACTTTGCAGTTAATTAAAACTTCTTTTGGAACTGTCTCAACCTTTGGGATAATATTCTGTTAAATATGCTAATAACTTGAGTATATTTGCATTTGTATTATGTTATCATAACACAAGAATTTCACATTTACATATAGTTTTTGTTAGAAGACATAGATAGATACATTGTTTTTTAAAAATTAAATTTTCCATTTGATTTCTTTATTTTATGCAGACAACTCATCGTTTCTTAAGGTTTCACTAAAACACAATAATAAGGCATTGGCTGTGGCCCTCAGTGCAGCGAAAGAAAATTCTCAGCAACTCAGAAAAGAAAAGCTGCTATTACAGGGAGAAATAGATGAACTACGCTTGCAGAATGTCTCACTTCGCCAAAAGTTAAACTTTCTGGTAAACAATGTTGTAGTGTACACTCATATAATCCAATTCAATGCAGATAATTTGGGATCATATCCTGGGATATAGAGCCTTGTGGCATTATATCTAATGTATTATTGAAGGCTTTCATGGCCGGAATCATTGGGTTGTTGTAGGTTTTTTCGGGCTATATGGCCATGGTCTAGAGGCATTCTCTCCTGACGTTTCGCCTGCATCTATGGCAAGTATCCTCAGAAGTAGTGAGGTGAGGATGCTTGCCACAGATGCAGGCGAAACGTCAGGAGAGAATGCCTCTAGACCAGTGATGGGCAACCTTTTGAACTTGGTATGTCAACTTTTGCCAAAAACAGAGCATAACTCGGGTGGGGTGTCACTTTGAGGAAAACAACAACATAATTTTGTGATATTTATAGTTTAAATAACAAAAAATAATCGTAACATATACATGTATTTAATAAACCAAAAACTAATTATTTAACTTAAAGGTGTAGCTGTCCGGAAATGTATTCCTTCCTTTCATCCTCACTTTTTTTCAAGAGCTGGGAATGATTAGTTTCAAAATGTCTATTTATATTCCATGTTCTACTTACTACTGTTTGAGTACATAGAACACAGAATGATCTGCCATTTTTTTCCTATAATGCCATACATCTTGGTCCAGGTCTCTTGAAAGGGTTGGCTACTGATACCACCACTTCCTTTAACCTTGGTTTTTTATTTTTGGGTTCTCCATCAGGAGGGCAGTGACAAAAGACAGAATTATAGAAAGCTTGTTAGCCCTTCACAATACTGACCACAATATGGCACATGTAACTGTCTTTTAAGAAAGACGCTCTGTGCCTGAGTTCTGTTGTTTTGGTCTACAGCTCTCCAGCACAGAGTGTCTACACTACACTATAGCAAATGTTTCATCCTCAGCTACTGCACCTGGGCATGCAGGACCTGAGGATGAAATGTCCTTTTTGGCATGTGGCCCCATACTTCTCTGTACATGGCCACATGCAGCTGTGTGTCACCGAAAATGGCTACGCGTGTCAATGCTGACACACGTGTCATAGGTTCACCACCACGGCTCTAGACCATGGCCATATAGCCTGAAAAAACGTACAACAACACATTATATCTAATGTTGTTTGATGATGTATAACCGGTTGTTGAGTATATGCCTCTTCAGCCATACATTTTTGGTGTCTTCATTATGTAGCAAATATTGCTGACAAAATGGTCTCAAATCAGCTGACACTGGTGGAGTTTGCAAGGTTGTTACTGATTCAATTCCCTTTGGGCCCTTCCAGACAGGCCCCAAAATGCGGGGCCTGACAGACTTTTACCTGGGGCTTCTAAAGAACACTTCAGGGAAAAGCGAATTAATTCAGGACAAAGCAGGTAAATCCTGTTTTGTCCTGAATTAATTAAATATACCATTAGACCTGGGCCTTCCTGAAAGGCCTGGGTCTAATGGGGCATTGGACCTGTGGGGACTCACTACCAGGTAGTCCTGGGACCACTCGGGGGTCTGTCCCCATTGTCATCTTGAACCTTGAACCCAAAGGTGCAAGATGGCACCCACCCCCTCTCCTGAAGTCCCCCCCCAAACTAGCCTTAAAAGTTTAAAAAACGTAGTAGGCTGTCATCAACTTGCTCCAGCAGTCCATAAAAATGATGCTCCAGGAGGGGAGGGGTCAGGATCAGAAATTTAACTTTTGAAGGTTGTTTTGGTGGGTTTGGAGGTAGCCCCATGCCATCCCAGTAGTTACCGGGATGCCCTGAGGACACCCCCTTGGGTTTTGGGGATTTATTTATTTATTTATTTACACTTTATTTGTACCCCACTACCATCTCCCCAAGTGACTCGGTGTGGCTTACATGAGGCTGAGCCCAAATACAACAATACAAACAATAATAACAATAATACAAGCAATTAAAAATAAAACATGGACAATACAATAATGCAACATTAACAATAAGACCACACGATTAAAAACTATGGGAAGGCCAAAATTAAAATTGAAGGTAATGCTGGAACATGGGCGAAAAAGTGATGGGGCGTGGAAAACATACAAGCAGACCTAAAAATGTAAAGTGCTTTGGAGGACAAAGTGTTATGGGATCATTATTCTGGGAAGGCACACTGGAACAGCCACGTCTTCAAGCTCCTCCTAAAGACTGCCAAAGTTGGGGCCTGCCTGATGTCCTTAGGAAGTAAGTTCCGGAGTCGGGAGACCACCACCGAAAAGGCCCTCTCTCTCGTCCCCACCAATCGCGCCTGCGATGCAGGTGGGATCGCGAGCAGGGCCTCTCCAGATGAACGGAGAGATCGTGTCGGTTGGTATACAGAGATGCGGTCACGCAGATAGGCGGGTCCCAAACTGTTCAGGGCTTTGTAGGTAAGAACCTGCACCTTGAATTGGGTCCAGAAAATGAATGGCAACCAGTGGAGCTCCTTGAACAGGAGGGTTAACCGCTCCCTGTAAGGAGCCCCAGTTAACAACCTGGCCACCGCCCGTATGTGTTTGAGGGGACTTAAACGTACACCGAAGCAAGTTTTTTAAACCCGCTTCAATGCACTTTTAAGTTATGTGTGAAAGTGCCCTTTTTTAGAGCATTTTTGTATTTTCTACGTGGGGTTGCCCTTGAAGACTGTTCGGAAACTTCAACTAGTCCAGCGAGTGGCAGCCAGACTGCTCACCGGAGCGACATACAGGGAGCATACCACCCCCCTGCTGTGACAGCTCCACTGGCTGCCGATTCAGTTCCGAGCACAATTCAAGGTGCTGGTTTTGACCTACAAAACCATGTACGGTTCCGGTCCAGTGTATATGTCCGAACGTATCTCCCTCTACGTCCCACCCCGAACTCTGAGATCATCTGGGGAGGCCCTGCTCTCGACCCCACCACTCTCACAAGTGAGGTTGGTGGGGACGAGGAGCAGGGCTTTCTCAGTGGTGGCTCCTCACCTGTGGAACTCACTCCCGGGGGAAATCAGGGCAGCACCATCCCTCCTCGCCTTCAGGAGGAGGGTGAAGACGTGGTTATGGGACCAGGCCTTTGGGCACTCTGGCAATTAAATCAGACAATCAGGCGAGTAAGACCAGCAGGATTGATGAAGTGGAACGTAAAACTAGATCTATGAGTTAGCGAACGCTGACCAGGTAAAAGGAGAAATTGGGTTTGTATTGGTTTTTATTGATTTTATTGTTTTTATGGTAATAATGCATGAATTGTTGTTAACTGTGTTCTGATGTAATTTTATGTATTTTGTGTATGATTGTTTTATGATGCAGGCATCGAATTGTGCCTTTGCTTTTGTAAGCCGCCCTGAGTCCCCCCCGGGGTGAGAAGGGCGGGGTAAAAGAACCCCAAATAAATAAATAAATAAATTTTTTCCTACCCTGCCCCCCCTCGCCAACTACTAACTGAATACTGTACATCTATATTACTGCAGTAGTATATCTCCTTTTCTTGCATGGATTAACACACCTGCTCTAGTGATGAAAATGTTTCTTTGTTAAAAAGAAAACAAATATGTCTGGCAATACTAATATAAATAATTTACATGTAACTTTAAATATATATCTTTTATACACAGAATAAAACTCTCATTGAAATGGAAACATTCTTGAACAATAACTTTTTAACTGCAATTGAAATTAGCACTATTTCAGAGGTATGCTTTTCCTGTCTCATCGTTCTTACATAATAACCTGAGATAAAATGGTTAGTGTGTGTATTCTTTTAAAAAATGTTTTACTGTTAATATTTTACTGTTAATACAGTCATGTTCCAATTGTAAAAGTTATGTAGCTGCTTTAGAAGTTACCTCTGGAATTACTGAGAAATCCAAAGACGGGAGTCGTACTGGTGATTCAAAACAGTGAATGTCCCGTCCAGCATCGATATAGTTACACAGGACAGATTTTAAAGAACATGCATGATATTATTGTACAAGATATATAATGCTTTTCTATAATTATAAAGTTATAGCAAATAATTGGTTAACTTGTTAGAAGGTCATTTTGCCATATTATTGTTGTTGATGCTGCTTAATAAATATTGCAAAATGTATCTATGTATTGGTGAAATAATACTTTGCGACTAACATTTTTGGTCTGTTTGTGTGAAAATTATGTACTTTATACATATATTTCCTAGTTGATATCAGCTAGGTTTTGCCCCTGTAAGATTTACTCATTACACGGGCCAATACACATTTTGGTACCCTAAAATGTTAGACCTGCTTCTGGGTATATTTGACCTGTTGATTCCAAAAATAGCATCAGTTTTTCCCCTATCAGCTCTAGTTTTTGAGTTACAGAAAATATGCCATATACCACGCTTCACCCTGCTTGCCCATAGTATGTTTTAAGCATGAAGGAAATATATTAAAAATTAAATGAAAAATACTACACGAAAAGCTACTTATTTCATACCAAAACATATTTATAATACAAATGTTCCAGCCATCTGACACACCATATCTACAAAATAGAGCTGATGTGACCTATCTAATGCAATTTTCTGAATCAGCGCCCAAATAACCCCAGGAACAGGCCTAACAACCCAGACACCAAGGCCACTTCTATACAGCTGTATAAAATCCAGATTATCTGCTTTGAAATAGATTATATGGCAGTGTGGATTCAGATGATCCAGTGCAAAGCAGATAATGTGGATTATCTGCCTTGATATTCTGGATTATATGGCAGTGAAGGGCCCCAAGAATGTGGTTTTGGTTGGGCTGCATATTTTCCCACTGGGATTTGTTGTAATGGTCCAATGAATGAATATAATGTTTTGATCTTTTATTAGCACATTCCAAAAACCTTGGAATTAAGAAAAGATTTGCACAATTCTTGTCAGCAGTCTGAAATTTCTAATCAGCAAATCAGGTAATATTTTAGTTTCACTAGTTATAAATCAGAAAGCAAAATGTTCCTAAAACACATGGATAGATTTTATAGACCAATGCTACAGTTCTGCTGGCTGTGAAGAGCACTTTTAAAGCCTACAATGGAATTCATTTTACACTCACTTGAAAAAATCCAAATATTGATCTACTATATCCTTCATATGTAGTAGGGTTTGACTGCAATACTGAAAACAGTCAAATGGCTTAAACCAGCGGTTCTCAACCTGGGGGTCACGACCCAAAGGTGGGTCGTTTGGCCATTTTCTGGGGGTCGCTAAGGTGCCTTGGCTGGCCCCGCCCCCTCGAAAATGACCGCCGACCCCCTGAGCCAGCTACATGGCACTCCTGATAGGCTCCTCCTCCTGCTCTTCCCACAGACCTGTGGGTAGTCAGGAGGAGGAGCTTTGGAGGCAAAGGCAGGGGGGAGGAAGACACACTCTTTGTTCAGGCCCGAAAGGTGAGTAAACTACTTCCTGCCATCCTCAATGCCTGGCCATCCGTGGAGACTTTTCCCCAAGCCTCTGTTTTCTGTTGATTATGGGAGTGCTCAAGTTTGAGTCAATTCCATGGTTGCATGAGTTCAGAATGCTCTTTGATGGCAGAGGAACTATATATTCCAGGAACTCCAAAATGCCAAGGTCTATATTCCCCAGGCCTCTCCAGTATTTTCTCTTGATTATGGGAGTGCTCTGTGCCGAGTTTGAATCACTTCCATGGTTGCATGCGTTCAGAATGCTCTTTGATGGCAGAGGAACTATATATCCCAGCAACTTGCAAATGCCAAGGTCTATATTCCCCAAGCCTCTCCAGTATTTTCTGTTGATCATGGGAGTTCTGTATTCCAAGTTTGGTACAATTCTATTGTTGTAGTAGTTCAGAATGCTCTTTGATGGCAGGGGAACTATTCCTTCCAACAACTCTCAAATGTCAGGAAAATAACCCTAAAACTCTCCATTAATTTCTGTTGGTTATGTGAGTTCTGTATGCCAAGCTCGTTCAATTCCATTTTGTTGGAGTTCAGAATGCTCTTTGATGGCAAAGGAACTATAAATACCAGCAACTGCAACTCCCAAATGTCAAGATCCATTTTCCCCAAAGTCCACCATTGTTCAAATTTGGGCATATTGAGTATTCATGCCAAGTTTGGTCCAGATCAATAGTCATTTGGGTTCACGGTTCTTTCTGGATGTAGGTGAACTACATCTCCTGTAAATCACTGTCAATTCCTCTCAACCTCCTCCTGTATTTTCTGTTGGTCATGGGAGTTCTGTTTGCCAATTTGGTCTAGGTCTGTAATTCGTGGGGGATCTCAGTGGTCTGTGGAAGTCAGAGCTGAAATGGTTGAAGGTACTGAAAATCCCATAATCTATTGTCCATATTCCCCCAAACATATTTTTGTGATTAATCACTATGCTTTAATTATGTTCAATTTGTAACAATAAAAATACATATTAGATATTTGCATTAGAATTCATAAGACTAGCAACATTATTTATGAAGTAGCAACGAAAATATAGTTGGGGGTCACCACAACATGAGGAATTTTATTTAGGGGTCACAGCATTAGAAAGGTTGAGAACCACTGGCTTAAACACTGTTTGTCTAAGTAGAATTTAAGTAGCTTGTAATCAAGATTGTAGGCTTTGCTGCTTATATACCTGAGAGCAAGAATTTGAACCCTCGTATGTTGTATATTTTGCCTGCAAAACTACAATTTACTGTACAGTTCACTGTTTCTATGCATTTTATAATGGAAATATGTTTCACAGTTACAGAATACAACATATTGAAGCATTCCTATGAGTTTATAATACAAGAATCAGTAGTTTAGGTGTCTCATATCTTGATAAAGAAAAACAGATTAAGTGAAGACATGCTTTGCCACTATCCTGTTAATAAAATATATTCAGGCCTTAAACACTTTCCAGTCTTACAATCATATCTCATTTCTACTTATCTTTAAAATTAAATAATATTCACCCATATTTTGCATCTTAAGAACCACCAACTGGATTAGGTACAGGAAGTCTGTTCTGCTTCTGCTCAGGGTGCAAGAAGGAGAATGCTTCCATTATCCTCCCACCAGCGAATGAGGCTGTAACAAGGACTTGCAACAGGACTCCTGCTTCTGATTGTTGCAGCTTCGCTCTCTAACAGGACCGGGGTGGAAACACCATCTTCATTGTGTCCTGCTTGGAAGCTGAAAATATATAATTTACCTGATCCAGTTGCTGGCTCTTAAGGTTGTCATTCACATACAAAGCAGTTTGGATCTGTGACTCTAGTTTGCAAATCTGTAACTAATACTTAATGTTAACCCTTATTTATCCTTGATAATGCTTTTCCTTTCATAATATTTTTTCAGATCTATTAGAGGGAATATAAGTGCAACGTATACTTCAGAAAATGATGGAGAAAAGCAAGGTTGCTTATGTGTAACTGAAGTAGCAGACTTCACCAAAGAGATGCCTGAACTATCAAAGGAATCTGCAACAAATCAAGTCAGCTCTCTATTACATTTTCCAGAGAAAATGCTAAAACCAAATGAAACGAATAAAATGAAAAATGTGCTGTTTGCAAAAGCATTTTTAAAAGGTATACTTTATTTATTTTGTTGCACTCATTGCAATATTTTGGGGTAGATTGTTTCACCAAATCTTGCAAAACTAGGAGTCGCTGTAGAATAAAAAATGAAAATCAAACAAATTTTAAGACATTCTATTATGTTACGTCAGAGGTCCTCAAACTTTTTAAACAGAGGACCAGGTCACAGTACCTCAAAGTGTTGGAGGGCCGGATTATAATTTGAAAAAAACAACAACCATGAATGAATTCCTGTGCACACTGCACATATCTTATTTGCAGTGCAAAAACACTTTAAAACAATACAATAATTAAAATAAAGAACCATTTTAATAAATATAAATTTATTATTATTTCAATGGTTGTGTGGGCTTGCTTTTGGCTGATAAGATTGTTGTTGTTGTTGTTCTTGTTGTTGTGTGCTTTCAAGTCGTTTCAGACTTAGGTTAACCTGGAGCGAGGGCTGCGTAAATGACCTTGGAGGGCCATATTCGGCCCTCGGGTCTTAGTTTGAGGACCTCTGTGTTACATAATAAGTGATTGTCTTTTTTTTCCAGATATACTGTATGTCATCATATAATAGTCACCATTGCACAATAGTCACACTTTTTCTAGTTTTGGTATTTAAGAAATATTGTCCCCAGCCTCACTAAATATATGGCAATATTTAAATTCCGAATATAATAAAGCAAAGGAATGTAGCTCTGATTACCTGACAGAACAAGATCAAAAGATTAACACAAAAAATCCATATAACAATAATGAAAATATTTATTTATTTATTTATTTATTTGGAGTGCTTCTACCCCGCCCTTCTCAACCCCCTGGGGGGACTAAGGGCGGCTTACAAAAGTCACAATTCGATGTCCAACAATTCACAAAATACAATATACAAATTACAATATAGCGACAACAGTTATAACTAATTAAAACAATCAGATCAATACAATAGCAGCAATAAAATCATCTTGTGGTCAGTGTTCGCCAATTCATAAATCCATATTCCATCCAGCATTGTCATTGTCCTTTCCTACTCTGGTCGTCATTGTCTTTTATCCATCTGCCAGCTTACCCAAAGGCCTGGTCCCATATCCAGGTTTTTAACTTCCTTCTGAAAGAGAGGAGGGATGTTGATGACCTAATTTCCCCGGGGAGTGCATTCCACAGGTGAGGGGCCACCACCGAGAAGGCCCTGTCCCTCGTCCCCACCAATCTCACTTGTGACAAAGGTGGGGCCGAGAGCACGGCCTCCCCAGAAGGTGGGACGTAGAAGGAGATGCGTTCGGACAGGTACGCTGGGCCGGAGCCGTAAAGGGTTTTGTAAGGGTTACTTCAAATACTGTAAGGAAATACTTCAATTTGCTGTATAACAAGAGAAAGACCTACTCATGGTTTAGGTTTCCCAAAAGATAAAATTAATGAAAAACTTTCACAAAGAGATAAAAGGAAAAATTTTGCTAAAGCTAACCGGAAGACTTATATTATATACACAGACTCTCATAACCAGCAAAAAATATCTGTGAAACAAAAATTACAAAAAGAAACTATTCACTGTTACTACACCATTGCAACGAGAATGACTGCTCTCGCAAAACCCTCTTATAGTGCCGAGGCAATGGGGATATCGGAAGGGAAGAGGCTGACTATTCACGAAAGGCACAACAACAAGCCTCCTGACTGCTTCTTCTCATCCTCCTCCCTCCCCCTGAGTGTAGCTATTCCATATGGCACCTGGAAGCGGGAGTGCCTTGGTGTCTTCGTTTTTAGGCCTGTTCCTTGGGTTATTTGGGGTGCTAATTCAGAAAATTGCATTGGATAGACCACATCAGCTCTAGATTATTAAATATGGTTTTCTGTGGGTGAGCAGATGGTGACTACTGGATAGCATATATTCTGTATCAGAAACTGTTGACCAAAAACTGATTTGTAACCCTTTTGGAGAGTGGTCCCTGGTCAAGTGATCCCTGGTCAAAAAAAGGTTGGGAACCACTGATCTAAAGTAATATGTCTTTTCACTAATTCATCAGCTACTATCACAGCAATGTTGAAACAATATGAATGATTGCATATTGTAGTCTTCTTGATTTTGCTTTATTTGTAGAAAACCAGCCAAGCATGCAACAAGTCTCTAGCAGTGCCTCAGTGATGGAGCTAAATGATTCAACTTCTGCAGGAGAATCAAAAGCAAATAATAGTCCATTTCCTATCAATGGATATGTGACGGAAAGGAAGAAACAAAATTCCGACACAAAAACAAAGCAGGAAAGAACATTACGTTGTTTCACTGATAGAGTCAGAGATACCAATTCGATAAGTACTGAGATAGACCCAAATGGCATTTCACATGGTGAATCATTTCCCGAAAGTGGTAATGAGCCTGCTTGCGGAGATCAAGTATGTTCTATAAATGAACAAAAGTCAGAAGAAACTGTATATGATGCTGACATGGAAATGACTGCTAGCGAACTAGGTGAAATAGTAATAATTAAATCAAAAGCCAAAGAAACAAATGCTCAAAGAGTTAATGCGGGGAAAAATCCTGCAAATTTGAGAAAAGTGAGTTATTCTAATACAGAAAAACGTATTAGAGATAAATATAACATAAAACCTAAAAAAATTAACCAAGATACTCAAAATAATGGAAAAATTAAAAGCATTCAAAGCAGTCAATCTAAAAAATGTGTATCACCAAAAGGACAATGGTTCCAAAGGAAAATATCACAAGACAAAATGTTAAACAACAGTGACTATGATGTTGGAGCAAGTAGTAAGAATAACAAGTCCACACTTCTATTAGATCCAAAGAGTCAGCACCAAACTACAAGTATTTTAGAAACAGAAAAGATGAAAGATGTAATTTCTGAAGCAGTAGAAAGTACATACAACCAGGCTCCAGAACAAGTCTCTATTGTCTCTAGTAGTGAAGTGCTGTCACAAAAATGTACTGAAAGCAACATATCTAATGAAATGGCTGCAAAAGGGCCATTAGATGTAAAGGTCGAGATAAGTTCTATCACTTCCAAAATTAATCCATCAAAATACCCTGAAATGGAAAATGGACAGTATTTAAATTCTGAATATAATAAAGCAAAGGAATGTAGCTCTGATTGCCTGACAGAACAAGATCAAAAGACTAACACAAAAAGTCCATCTAACAATAATGAAAATACTTCTAATTGTTGTATAACAAGAGAAAGACCTACTCATGGTTTAGGTTTCCCAAAAGATAAAATTAATGAAAAACTTTCACAAAGAGATAAAAGGAACATTTTTGCAAAAGCTAGCCGGAAGACTTATATTATATACCCAAACTCTCGTAACCAGCAAAAAATATCTGTGAAACAAAAATTACAAAACGAAACAATTCTATCAAGTAATGACCATATGACAGATGAAGACAAACAAGTGTATTTTAATATTCAGAATGTTACAAGTTCATTCTTACTAAAAAAAGATGAAAAGTGTGCTGGAACATTCCAAAAACAAATTAATCATTCATCAAAGCCAAACAGAAAAACCTATGTTGTGTATCCACATGATGAAGATAAAAATTGTGAGAAAGTTATTTCTGATCTTATTGGACACACAGTTGGGCTGTTTAAACTTCCAGAAAGTCTTCCAGTTCTAAAGAACCCTGAAAGAAAACAAAGAAATTACCAAGAAAAAAATAACTGTGCTTCTACACAGAAAGAAGATATGATTTGTGAAGTTCCTTTCAACAAAAAAGCAGTCTCAGATTCTGGTATGTATACCTCTAACTTTGATAAAGCTAGAAAAAAATTCTTAACATTATCTCTAAGTTAATGTATTGCCATCAAATGTAAAAAAGAAAGAAAGATTCTGACCCTTTGGGTATCACTCTGACTTTGTCATTCTTATTTTAGTGTATGAGGCACCCACAAATGAGTTAGGCTACCCACACCACTCAGAAAAGACAAAAAATTAACACGGCGTAGTTCATTTTTGGGTAGGTTTTGGGGTAGGGCATCCCTTCCCTCTGCTCAGATGGCAAGCCCTACTACATGCAACCAGAAAGCATAGGTTGTCCTGTAGTTCTCTCCTATCAGAGGAGAGGCCATCCAGGAATGGAACAGGTTAGCCTCTTCTGCTTCCAATGCAAAGTACAGCATCAAAGGATTTGGTCCTTTTTCATTGGATTCTTAGCTTGTCATGTCACTTCTTTTACATTGCCTTAACCCATAATTGGTTGTAACAGAGCTGCTCTGCTGTATTTTTGCTTTGTATATCTGTTATTGTTTATTCTACTCTTCCATTGCTCCCAAAACAAAAACAAAACCCTTCTAATACTTCATTCTTCCAACATTTATAAAACTGCATTTATTTCAAGTTGCCTTGTCTTTTGAACCACATTTTTACTTTTAACTCAAATTATTTATTGCTCAGTCAATATCAGGAAGATTTCTGGTTTTTCAGGAAAGTCCCTTTTTGTGTCCCAAAATTGGCATCAAAACATGTCCATGTTACTAATGATATTGGAGTCCTCTTTACTGCCTTCCCTGTGAACGACAAAGAAGAGCACTCCTTTGCTGGCCCAACCACCATTGCTGTCTCCTTCAGAGCCCCCTGTCTTAGACTGGATATACACTGCCATATAATCCAGGTTATCAAATCATATAATCCAGATTATGTCTTTTGAACTGGTTTACATGAGTCTACACTGTCATACTTCAGGAAATAAAGCCTGAGTGCTCATTGGAGGGAAAGGATAGTAGAGGCAAAGATGAAGTACTTTGGCCAGATCATGGGAAGAAAGGAAAGCTTAGAGAAGACAATGATGCTGGGGAAAATGGAAGGAAAAAGGAAGAGGGGCCAACCAAGGGCAAGATGGATGGATTGTATCCTTGAAGTGACTGGCGTGACTCTGAAGGAGCTGGGGGAGGTGCCGGCCGACAGGGAGCTCTGGCGTGGGATGGTCCGTGAGGTCACGAAGTCGGAAGCGACTGAACGATTGAACAACAACAACACACTGTTATATAATCCAGTTCAAAGCAGATAAGATGGATTTTATATGACAGTATAGATGTGCCCTTGGTGACACAACAGAGCTAATCATCTTGGAAGTGGGCTTCTTCAGATCTCCCACTACCTAAGATATCTCACTAGGTTGTCCTTTGGTTGTTCAGTAGATGTGGCTCAAAGACACATGTGCATAGTGCCTGATCTCAGCCTCCAATGCTGCAGTAGTTGAAGGGAATGAAATTGGATCTGCCAGTAATGAATTTTTTGTGAGTGACAGAATGGTCAAGAAGGAGTTCCTACTCCTTCTTGATTGCTACTGGTCGATCCAACATTTTGTCTTCCTTCTATGAAACAGGACTCCTTCCTGAGTATGCAGAAACTCAGACTAAATAAGACTCATACGGGATGAATGCAAAAAACAGGTGTTTCTTCACCTTGGCCAAAGTGGATGTCAGAGAGTTTGTGTTCTAAAGACTGTCATAACTCAATTCAAACACACAGAAACATTTATAGGGCTTTGACAACAGTTTGAAACAAAAGATTCTTGCTTCACTGAGTGTTTGGTCCAGATTGTGGCCAGTTATGATGTGCAGGCTGGTTGGCTGGGAAGCACTCTCTGCCACTGTTGCTGATTGGTCTCTGGATTTGGAGGGAATTTTAATAAATTGTCATTCCTCAGTTTGATTTTTTTGTGATCGTTGATTGTTCCACCTCTCAGCAATAGTCCATGCTGATGAAACAATGGGTAACAATGGGTGTTAGCCAGCCTGACAGGGTTCCAAGGAGAAGGGCAAAAGAGGGCACTGAGCAACTTTTGTGGCCGTTGGTTTGGCTCCATTGTAAGGTATGTGGAGACATTGTTAGGGAATTTTGCCTACTGTCTGAAGGAGTGGTGGTTTTTATTTTATGTTCCCCCTAGTGAGTGTTGTAAAACTTGTATGCCCAGCCTAAAGATCATCTGTGGAGATTAGCTCAAATTAAGTTTCTGGGTGAAAAATTGCCTTGGACTTGGCTATCAAGACCTTTCCAAGACCTTGCGTTTTGGGGTCCTTCTTGTTGTTCATTCGTTCAGTCGTCTCCGACTCTTCGTGACCTCATGGACCAGCCCACGCCAGAGCTCCCTGTCGGCTGTCACCACCCCCAGCTCCTTCAAGGTCAGAAGATCATCTGTGGAGATTAGCTCAAATTAAGTTTCTGGGTGAAACATTTCCTTGGACTTGGCTATCAAAACCTTTCCAAGACGTTGCGTTTTGGGGTCCTTCTTGGGGTTTTGGAATTTGAAGTTGTGGAGATGGTGGACATGTGTACCTGTGTTGTGAGAGGTAGACTCGAGTACACTTCAGCTTTGGTTAGTGATGGTTAGAGCCCCTGGACATAGATGTGAGACAAGATTTGGGCCTAAATCATATTGGTAGTGTCCGGTAGATTAAATCTCGTATATCAATGGAAATTTGATAAGATAATACTTGTGTAAGTACCACTGATTCAGTAAGGCTCCTACAGTTTTCTCTAGCAATTAGACCATTGCATTCATTTTCATTTCAACTATTTTTAAGTCCTCAAATTAACATCTACACATAGGTCAGTTAAAATGGTAGCAATATATTTATTAATTATGATACAATTTAATACCATTGTTTTCAAAATTGTAAGCTATACTGTGTTAGTGGGTGGACTGATATTGTTAAAATTACACATCTGTGCATGTTCCTAAGATTCCAGTGCTTTTTATAGGCATAATTAATTGCATTTTCATCTAACTTCCCATGTTTTCCTCACAAGATGCCTGTGAGATAATTGAAACATACAGATGCTGATAAAAATGCCAAACTGAGTTTCCACATTTTAAGTCTGATATTAACTAGGACAAAATGTTAATTAATAAAATGCCTTGGAGGTTGTTTGTATTTAGTAATTTCAATGTATTTCTATCCACAGGGATTAAACCTCTCCAAGAATTGACAAATATGAGAGTGAAATCCCTTCCAAAACCCAAGAAAGCTTTAGAAGAAAATTTGACGCCACCTATTAGACGCAGAAGAGCCACAGTCAGCTACAAAGAACCCAGTATAAAAAGGTTAGTGTTCAATAAATATAGTGAAATATATTTTTCTTATAATTTTGTTTTACTGACTTGGCACAACCATCCTAGCTTACCTTTTACCCACATGTGTGAGCCAAAGAGATCAGGAAGGCTAATCTGTAGTTGAGTGGTCATCTATTGTTTGTTTATTTATATCCCACTTTTTCTTTTCATACAGAGACTCAAAGCAGCTCACAACTAAATACACTGAAATACAACTTAAAATATGCAAGTATTAAAACAGTATAAAACATCATTAAAAGCATAAAAAAACACAGCAACCCCTGACACAATCTTAAACGCTTTCTTTTTTAAAGCCTGCCTGAATAAAAAGGTTTTAATCTTCTGCAGGAGGGGGAGGGACATTCTGGCTTCGCTGGGCAGGAAGTTCCAGACTTGAGGGGCAGCCACTAAGAAGGCCCTCTTTCTCATTCCCACCAAATGGAGGTGGGATATGAACTCACACAACCCATAGTCTTCCCCTCTTTAATGTCTGCCAGTTTCAGTTTATGACAGATCACAGGTGAAGTAACTTAGGGTACGGAAGCATGGGCATGAAAGAAGGAGCTGCCATCAAACACTATTCAGAAGTACAGTAATCCAGATATAGTTCTGGCTGCCATTCATTTTCCGTACCCAATTCAAGGTGCAGGTTCTTACCTACAAAGCCCTGAACGGTATAGGACCTGCTTACTGCGTGACCGCATTTCTGTGTATGAACCCACACCATCTCTGCGATCATCTGGAGAGGCTCTACTGCATCGCAAGTGCGTTTCATGGGGATGAGAGAGAGGGCCTTCTCGGTGGTGGCCCCTCAACTCTGGAACTCACTCCCTAAGGACATCAGGCATGCCCCATCTCTGGCAGTCTTCAGGAGTAGCTTGAAAATGTGATTGTTCCAATGTGGCTTCCCAGAATAATGAACCCTTAGCATTATGTCCTCCAAAAGCACTTTATATTGATTTAGGTCTGCTTGTATGTCTCCATCAACGCCCCACCTCCTTTATCTTGTTCATGCCTAGCATTATGTTTTAAACTTCAATTACATTTGGCCAAGCCATAGATTTTAAATGTGCACTGTACCTGTTCAATGCTTATGCTATTTGTGTATGAAATTTATTTTAATTGCTTTGTATTGTATTTATTACTGCTTGTATTGCTTGTATTGTATTGTGGGCTCGGCCTCATGTAAGCCGCACCGAGTCCCTTGGGGAGATGGTAGCGGGGTATAAATGAAGTATTATTATTATTATTATTATTATTATTATTATTATGCATTGCCATAAGACCTGAACAAAGGAATTCATAGATAACTACGTAAACACAATTACACAACCACATTTATAGGTAAGCCACCTGTCCATTATTAAGTCTATCAATACAATTTGCATTGTACATATACTGATTCATTCCAACATAAATGCTAGTCATTACATTTTTTTCTGTTTTACAGCAAATTGAGAAGAGAAGATGAGTACACAGCTAAAGGGTTTCTGGATTTTCCAGTCAACAAAGTAAAAAATAAGCCAAGTTTTAAAAGCAAATTGAGACTGAGCTGAAATATATATGTCTCTCTGTGTGTATATATTTATATGTACCGGTATATGTATGTGTGTGTAATTCAGTCATTAAATGACCTGTGTGGGTAGTCTGTTCTTAAAACAAGTTTGATAATTCCTTCTTTGCTGACTTCATTTTCCTTTAAGCTAGGTTTTTATCTTAGCATTAAAAAAAAAAAAAGGTAAATAAGACCATGAAAGTGAACACAGATAAAATGACTTCACTGCATTCCTATCAATATAGCTAAAGCTTTAAAGTTTAGGTTTTAAAGATTACAATTTTCAGTGACTGCACAGCTTTTTCTAGAACAGTGAATATAAATTTATAAGTTGCAACTAAGGCAAAAATTCATCTTTTGTAAGTGTATTATTTATTTATTTATTTATTATTTAAGATACTACTGCATAGAGGCGTTTTGTGTTTTCAGTTGTTTTAACACCCCAAATCAATTTGCAGCAGTTGTGGATCAAATAAAGTCTTACATAACAACAAAACCACTGTTCTGCCCCGTAAACTGTTTGAAAGGAGGTGTCAGATGGATATTTATTTCTAACATTTTTTTTGTAGAGTTTCTTGAATTTTCTTCCAGTATGATTTTGCTTTTTCACACGTCCACCACATGTGAAAGTATGTACCTTCCTTCTTTCTGCATTTCCAACATTCTGTATTGGCATTTTATAGCATTTTCCTAATTTATAGGGGGTCATACTTTGTGATGGAAGAAAATATTGGAAGAACGATAAAAAAAAAAAGGAAGAATGGGAAGGAATTTGGACTAGGAAATTAAAATATTCATATGCTTTGGTTAGACCTGCTTTGGTTAGACCACACCTGGAATATTGTGTCCAGTTCTGGGCACCACAATTCAAGAGATGATATCGAGCACTTTGGGGGGCCCTTCCTGAGGGGAGAGCCCAAGGACCGCACCAAAAAGGGTCCTGGGTACCTTGGCGAGATTTTTCCGGAAGCCAATCCAAGAGCGCTAAAAGTTATTAAAATCAAATAATCTCACCAGGCGAAAGGAGTCCAGCGACCGAGGCGTTTATTTGCGATTCAGCTGAATGGATGCAATACAGGGATCATTCCACTGCAGAGCATGCAGCACAAGAGTTTACAGGCACTTTTATACAGTGAAGAACAAAGAAAAGCAGTTTGAAAATCCCGCCCGCCCCCCTGTCAGCCGGCTTCATGCTGATTGGCTGAGGCTGGAACAGCTGGGAGGAGGTAATCCCGCCCTCCTCCGTCAGGAGCCAATGGGAGCGATTCTCCGCCTCGGGAGGGCCAATGGGCGCCCTCCGCTCGCTTCCTGGGTCCTGGCCAATCAGGAGCCAGGAGGCGGGACAGCCACTGACAATGGGGGAAAGATGATGGGATTTGGGATTTCCTGCCCGCTGGAATGCGGGCCATTGTCCCAGGTGATGTTTGTCAAACAAAGGCTTTCCTGTCCTTAATGGGTCTGGCAAGTGATATGAATAGCTGGGTCGAAATCGGACCGCCCGGAGGATCAACAATTTCTTGAGTGAATCAATCAGTCTTTTATTCCCGGGGCTCTGCTGACCCTTCCTCTTTCGTTGGCCTTGCTCCGAAGACGAAATTGGAGGGCCAGCAGTATTGTCCATGCATTGTGAATTAATCAATGGGTGATTTGAGGAAAAGAGGCTTGGGCTCTTTCCCTTAGGCAGTTCCTGGTCACGCTGGTTTTGTGGGGTAAGGGGTCAAAGAGGAAAAGGTACAGTGGAGTCCATAGGGGTACATATTTCATATTCATAAAGTACAGGCATCATTAATATACAGGCATTTCATACACCACAACCCACCACCCATCCCAATCCCCATCCATAGGAAAGTATTTTATTTTATTTCATTTCATAAAAAAGGTAAAGAAAGTCTAGAAATCCCAAAAGCCTAGACGGAGGGTTTTCTGGAGGCAGAAGATCAGTTCATTATTGAAACAGGAGCTGGAGCTAAGGGGGAGCTATGTTCCGCTGTCCTGCCCTTGGTGGAACTAGCGCTCCCAACCGGGGATCGGGCCTTCCCTGCCCGGTCCCCACTTCCAAGGCTTCTCCTGGGGCAATCGTGGCGGATCGCAGGCGGCGGGAACCATGCTGGTGACTCGGCCGAATTTAATGATTAAACAAAAACAATTATTTCACGAGTGCAGGAGTCCAAAATGAGAAAACCAGGATAGCAGTTAGAAAAGTTGCAGCCAGGAAAAGGACACAAAGTATCAAGCGGAAAGGATTCAAAGTTTCAAAACTTAAGTGTTTTATTGAGGGATTGGTTACAAAGATAGGGAGAGGGGAAAGTGAAAGAAAGCTTCATGCAGTCCTTTGCTTTGAGCTGCTGGCTGGGGCACATCTCATCCGTTTTCTCCCTTGGTGACCACTGGGAACTGCGGAACTCCCTGCTGCAGTGCAGACCAATTACATGGCGGGGGCTCTCGCCATCAGAGAGATATTGACAAGCTGGAATGTGTCCAGAGGAGAGCGACTAAAATGATAAAAGGTCTGGAGAAAAAGCCCTATGAGGAGCGGCTAAAGGAGCTGGGCATGTTTAGCCTGAAGAAGAGAAGGCTGAGAGGAGATATGATAGCCATGTATAAATATGTGAGAGGAAGCCACAGGGAGGAGGGAGCAAGCTTGTTTGTTCTGCTTCCTTGGAGACTAGGACGCAATGGAACAATGGCTTCAAACTACAAGAGAGGAGATTCCATCTGAACATGAGAACTTCAGCAGTGGAACTCTCTGCCCTGGAGTGTGGTGGAGGCTCCTTCTTTGGAAGCTTTTAAACAGAGGCTGGATGGCCATCTGTCAGGGGTGATTTGAATGCAATATTCCTGCTTCTTGGCAGGGGGTTGGCCCATGAGGTCTCTTCCAACTCTTTGATTCTATGATTCTATGATATGCATCAGAGTTGAAAAAATTTCATGGATGCTTTCAATGACTAAGTCCCATGTGTCCTGATTTACTGCCATATGTCCTGATTTGTAGAGGCCTTTGTTTGCAGAAGGTGCTGGCGGTTTGGGAAAACGTAGCAGAGAGGAAATTACTTTTCAACAATAAAAGTACATCAGGTCACCACTAGTTTGCTTGTACTCCCCTAATTTCCCAGCCACCTAAAGTATCAACCTATAGATACTTCCCAATTGCATGTTCATGGCCATAGACTATAGTTGTGCCATTGTTAAGATTCCGCGTGTGTCTTCATGCCTGTCAACGTCATAGAGAGCCAGCTCAGACCAATGAGATAATTGATTGCTGTAAACCAATGAGAATGTGTCTTTAATTCTTTGTCAAAGTGATAAAAGGCTTTGTAGCCCCACTTGAGGGTGTGACAGACCTTTTTATGCACCGTGCATTCTGTCCTTATTGCTTTTGCCTGTAATAAACAGCTTCTGTAGTTAGGATTCAGCTTGTAGTGTGTCTTCCAATACCAGTGAGCCACTGTCCCCTACACTGCCATATAATCCAGTTCAGAGCAAATAATCTGGATTTCATATGGCAGTGTAGAAGGAGCCTGAAAATAGTTTGCCTAAGAAAACTCTAGGAAATGTGTGGGGTTTTCCCTCAACAGAAGTCATCAAGTGACTTGAAGGCACACACATATACTCCCAGGGCCAAGAATCAAGATGCGTTTCCCTCCTCTTCCTCCTCCCTTACCTCCCCCTTACTCAGCAGCAATGCACAATTTCCCTTCAAAAAAAATTTCAAGTACAAATAATAGTAGTCTATGTCACAACTAGGAAGAACAATTGCACACTTGTGGGTGACTGAAAATCGTTGTTTTTCCAGTTCTACAAACAATGCAACCTATGTGACAATGCAAACATATTCAATCTTTAAAGTATATACATCTTGAGTATCTCCCATCCAGAATTCTAGAATACTCCAAAATCATCTACCTGGGTAGCTGAGATAGTGATACCTTTGCTTTCTGATGGTTTGTTTCATGCACAAAATTATTTGCTTTCCGGTGGTTTGTTTCATGCACAAAATTATTTTAAAATGTGTTTAACATTACCCTAGGCTATGTGTTTAATAAGATGCATTACAAAACAACAATGGATATGCAAATGTAAGTATTCCAAAACCAGGGAGGGGAAATCCGCAACATTTCTGATCCCAAGCATTTTGGATATGAGCTACTCTACCTATATGGGACATCCGTAGGGAGACCAGGGTGCTTGTTTATAAGGCTATTGTCCTCCCAACCCTGCTATATGCCTGCGAAACATGGACTGTCTACAGGCGTCACATGGAGCCCCCGGTGGCGCAGTGGGTTAAACCTGTGCTGGCAGGACTGAAGACCGACAGGTCACAGGTTCGAATCCGGGGAGAGGCGGATGAGCTCCCTCTATCAACTCCAGCTCCTCATGCGGGGACATGAGAGAAGCCTCCCATAAGGATGATAAAAACATCAAATCATCCAGGCATCCCCTGGGCAACGTCCTTGCAGACGGCCAATTTTCTCACACCAGGAGTCACTCCTGATATGACAAAAAAAAAAAAACCAAACATGCAACTCCTGGGATGATTCCATCAGTGCTGCCTCCGGAAAATCCTGCAAATCTCTTGGGAAGACAGGTGGACAGACGTCAGCGTGCTGGAAGAAGCAAAGATCACCAGCATTGAAGCGATGGTCCTCCACCATCAACTCCGCTGGACCGGCCACGTTGTCCGGATGCCTGACCACCACTCCCAAAGCAGTTGCTCTACTCCGAACTCAAGAATGGAAAATGGAATGTTGGAGAACAGGAAAAGAGATTTAAAGATGGGCTCAAAGCCAACCTCAAAAACTCTGACATAGACACTGAGAACTGGGAAGCCCTGGCTCTTGAGCACTCCAGCTGGAGGTCAGCTGTGACCAGCAGTGCTGCAGAATTTGAAGAGGCACAAATGGAGGGTGAAAGAGAAACATGCCAAGAAGTAGGCATGCCAAGCTCACCCCGACCGAGACCGCCTTCCACCTGGAAGCTAATGCCCTCACTGCAGAAGACAGACAAAACAAACAGACAGACAAAACACAGATTTTGCAAGCTTGGTAGTTGCTTAAATGTCCTTGACCAGTATCTGGCCACTTGGAGTGCCTCTGGTGTTTCTGCAAAGAGGTCTTCCATGGTACACGTGGCAGGGCTCAGGTTGCATTGCAGCAGGTGGTCAGTGTTTTGCTCCTCTCCACACTTGCATGTCGTGGATTACACTTTGTAGCCCCATTTCTTAAGGTTGGCTCTGCATCTTGTGGTGCCAGAGTGCAGTCTGTTCAGCACCTTCCAAGTCACCCAGTTTTCTGTGTGCCCAGGGGGGAGTCTCCCATTTGGTATCAGCCATTGATTGAGGTGCTGGGTTTGAGCCTGCCACTTTTGGACTCTCGCTTGCTGGGGTGTTCCAGCGAGTGCCTCTGTAGATCTTAGAAAACTATTTCTAGATTTAAGTCATTGACATGCTGGCTGATATCCAAACAAGGGATGAGCTGGAGATGTCACTCCCTTGGTCCTTTCACTATTGGCTGCTACTTCCCGGCGGATGTCAGGTGGTGCAATACCGGCTAAACAATATAATTTCTCCAGTGGTGTAGGGCGCAGGCACACCGTGATAATGTGTCATGTCTCATTAAGAGCCACATCCACTGTTTTAGCATGGTGAGATGTGTTCCACACTAGGCATGCATTCTCAGCAGCAGAGTAGCATAGCACAATTTATTTATTTATTATTTATTTACTTTGCTTATATACCGCTGTTCTCAGCCCGGGGGCGACTCACAGTGGTGTACAACATAGAAAGAACAAGGTTCAAAATTCAAGACACAATCTAAAATGATCCACAATCCAGCATTAACAAAAACATCATCATCAAAAAACATCCTCATTACTACAAAAGCCATTCCGCGTCGTCTCATCGTCCAAACCACAATCCAGTATCATATTCCGTTGTTCCATTCCTATAGTCATTACCAATCATTGCACTTCTTGTTCGAACGCCTTCGAAGTTTTTAATTTCCTGCGGAATAGCATCAGGGAAGGAGCCAGTCTGATGTCCACGGGAAGGGTGTTCCACAGCCGAGGAGCCACCACTGAGAAGGCCCTATCTCTCGTCCCCGCCAGTCGTGCCTGTGATGTCTTCACTGTGTCTGATTGTGATCCCCAGGTTGTGCCAGGCAGCTTTCGTATGATATTGTTTCTAGCGCCCACTTTTTGCAGTGCTTCTTGTAGGTCAGAGCACGGTCCAGAGTGACTCCCAGGTATTTGGGTGCGCTGCAATCCTCCAGTGGGATTCCTTCCCAGGTAATCCTCAGAGCTCGGGATGCTTGTCTGTTCTTGAGGTGAAAAGCACATGTCTGTGTTTTAGATGGATTAGGTATCAGCTAGTTTTCCCTGTAGTATTTATTTATTTATTTATTTCACAGTTTTGTATACCGAGCTTCTCAACCTCGTCGAGGGACTCAGCCCGGTTTACAGCCATAAAAACATATACATTCATTAAAATATCATATATCACAAATTACAAAACAACTTTAAAAACACTAAATATAAAACTACAGTGGTCAGTCGTCCTAATAAGATGGATCTATATCCACTTCCATCCAGAGTCCTATGGTGTTGTCTCATTCCTCGAAGGCCTGACTCCACAGCCACGTCTTCACCCGTTTCCTAAATGTTAGGATGGATGGGGCGGTTCTGACCTCCAGAGGGAGAGAGTTCCAGAGTCGTGGGGCCACCACCGAGAAGGCCCTGTCCCTCGTCCCCACCAGCCGCGCTTGCGAGGCTGGTGGGACCGAGAGCAGGGCCTCTCCAGATGATCTTAGTAATCTTGATGGTTCGTAGGGGAGAATACGTTCGGAGAGGTAAACAGGGCCGGAGTCGTTTAGGGCTTTATAGGTTAACACCAGCACTTTGAATTGTGCTCGGAAGCTAACTGGCAGCCATTGGAGCTGGTGTAACAGCGGAGTGGTGTGCTCCCTGTACCCAGCACCCCAGTAGGCAGTTAGAGCACCTAGAGCTTCAGAGAGCTTCTGTTCAACCATCTCAAAGCTCCCTGCTTGAGCGGTGATGGCACGATCATCAGCCACGTTAAAGTAGGGTCTTGGGGAGTCATGAGCTCACTGGAGGAAAGGCTAGCTGGCGTAAGGTAGCCTTTCTCCAGCTAGCCTTTGTGCAAAGCCCCTCCCCTCTTGCACAAAAGCGGTGCATGAAGTGGAGTGGCTCTTTAAAGCCTCCAGCCCCGCTTCTCTTCTTCTCTTTAAAGTGCCAGCCCCACTTTACGGCAGGAGGAGGAGACAAGGGAGTGAGTGTTCCTAGCCTCCCCTTAGTCTTTCCTGTGTTGACTCCGCGGCCGGTGTCTTCCTACCAAAATGCCTCTCCCAGGAGAAGGAGCGCCCAAGGTTTCCGATGAGCTGCTTTTCTACGTGAATGGCAAAAGGGTAAGTGTGGCCAGAGCTCCCTGGGAGCAGGAGATCGGGCGGAGAAGCATGCCTGCCAAAACAAGGGAAAAGAAACAAACCGTTCTCCCTTCCATCTCCCACAGGGCTTCCCATATGCCAGAGTATCTCCAACTCTACGCCTCCAGATGTTTTGGATTTCAGCTCTCACCATTCCTAACAGCTGGTAAACTGGCTGAAGTCCAAAACACCTGGAGGCGCAGAGTTTGAGATACACTGTTCTATGCTTTGACAGTCAGACTAGGGCCCCATCTGCATTGAGGGCCCTTCCAGGCAGGCCCAATATCTCAAGATCTTGTCCCAGGGTTTCTGCTTTAAGCAGCCCATCTTTAAATCTGTTTAAAGCAGAAACCCTGGAAAAAGAGATTTAAAGATGGCCTCAAAGCCAACCTAAAAAACTCTGGCATAGACGCTGAGAACTGGGAAGCCCTGGCCTTGAGTGCTCCAGCTGGAGGTCAGCTGTGACCAGCAGTGCTGCAGAATTTGAAGAGGCACAAAAGGAGGGCGAAAGAGAGAAACGTGCCAGGAGGAAGGCGCGGGACAGGAAAAGAGATTTAAAGATGGACTCAAAGCCAACCTTAAAAACTCTGGCATAGATACTGAGAACTGGGAAGCCCTGGCCCTTGAGCGCTCCAGCTGGAGGTCAGCTGTGACCAGCAGTGCTGCAGAATTTGAAGAGGCACGAGTGGAGGGTGAAAGAGAGAAATGGAAAATGGAATGTTCCTGGGCAGGAAAAGAGATTTAAAGATGGGCTCAAAGCCAACCTTAAAAACTCTGGCATAGACGCTGAGAACTGGGAAGTCCTGGCCCTTGAGTGCTACAGCTGGAGGTCAGCTGTGACCAGCAGTGCTGCAGAATTTGAATAGGCACAAAGGGAGGGCGAAAGAGAGAAATGTACCAAGAGGAAGGCACCACTGGGACCCTGGAAAAGAGATTTAAAGATGGGCTCAAAGCCAACCTTAAAAACTCTGGCATAGACACTGAGAACTGGGAAGCCCTGGCCCTTGAGTGCTTCAGATGGAGGTCAGCTGTGACCAGCAGTGCTGTAGAATTTGAATAGGCACAACTGGAAGGCAAAAGAGAGAAATGTACCAAGAGGAAGGCACTGCTGGGACCCTGGAAAAGAGATTTAAAGATGGCCTCAAAACCAACCTTAAAAACTCTGGCATAGACGCTGAGAACTGGGAAGCCCTGGCCCTTGAGTGCTACAGCTGGAGGTCAGCTGTGACCAGCAGTGCTGTAGAATTTGAATAGGCACAACTGGAGGGCAAAAGAGAGAAATGTACCAAGAGGAAGGCACTGCTGGGACCGCCTTCCAGCTGAAAACCGATGTCCTCGCTGCGGGAGAAGATGCAGATCAAGAATAGGGCTCCACAGTCACCTATGGACCAACCGCCAGGATACTACACTTGGAGGACCATCATCTTCAGACTAAGAGGGATCGCCTAAGTAACCCAGAATATAGAGGAAGAAAATCCCAGTGTAGAAGGGTCCAAAGAGAGTGGCACCTTTACTCCCAGGCCCTTCCACACAGCCCTATATCCCAGATGTCAACTGTCAGTGTGCTGGAAGAAGCAAAGACCACCAGCATTGAAGCAATGGTCCTCCGCCATCAACTCTGCTGGACCGGCCACGTTGTCTGGATGCCCGACCACCGTCTCCCAAAGCAGTTGCTCTACTCCGAACTCAAGAACGGAAAACAGAATGTCGGTGGGTAGGAAAAGAGATTGAAAGACGGGCTCAAAGCCAACCTTAATAACTTTGGCATAGACACTGAGAACTGGGAAGCCCTGGCCCTTGAGCGCTCCAGCTGGAGGTCAGCTGTGACCAGCAGTGCTGTGGAATTTGAAGAAGCACAAATGGAGGGCGAAAGAGAGAAATGTACCAAGAGGAAGGCACCGCCGGGATCACCTTCCACCTGAAAACCGATACCCTCATTGTGGGAGAAGATGAAGATCAAGAATAGGGCTCCACAGTCACCTATGGACCCACCGCCAGGACACTGATCCTGGAAGGCTATCCTACTCGGACAACGAGGGATCGCCTAAGTAACCTTTAAATAGCATTGTATGAATCTGCACTGCCAGATAATCTGGAATAAACCAAAAACCCTATATCTCAGATCCTGAGATATAGGGACTGTCTGGAAGGGCCCCGAGTTTCAAACCAGTATAGAAGCAATCCTGGAACCAGTCTGAGACCCAGATTGTGATTCCACACAAATACAGAACATTGGTGTGTGTTAAGAGTTTTCTTTTGTGGGAGTTTGAGGTCTGGTCGCTGCAGTTTGAAGCTGCATCTAATGGTTAGTGTAGATGAGGTCTGCTTTGCAGCACTGCTTCACCGAAAACCATGGCGTGTGTCACTGAAAGTGGTTTACCATGTCAAAGAAGAATCCAGATTTGCTCAGGCTGGATCTACACTACCAAATAATGTAGTTTGAACTGCATTGTATAGTCAATGAACTACATTGTATAGTCAATGTAAACCCATATAATACAGTTCATTCTGCATTGCATAGTTTACGCCAGGGGTCCTCAAACTAAGGCCCGATGGCCGGATATGGCCCTACAAGGTCATCTACCTGGCCCTCGCTCAGGGTCTACCTAAGTCTGAAACGACTTGAAAGCACACAACAACAACAACAACAACAATTCTATCTCATCAGCCAAAAGTAGGCCCACATTTCCCACTGAAATACTAGTAAGTTTATATTTATTCAAATTGTTCTTCATTTTAATTATTGTATTGTTTTTAAGTGGTTTTTTGCACTATAAATAAGATATGTGCAGTGTGCATAGGAATTCATTCATGCTTTTTTCAAATTACAATCCAGCCCTCTAACAGTTTGAGGGACTGTGATCTGGCCCTCTGTTTAAAAAGTTTGAAGACCTCTGGCTTACGCTGACAGGAAAATACAATACAAGCCACATTATTTGGCAGTGTAGAGCCAACCTCTGAAATTATTTTTCCCAGCTAGCAACACATTGGATTACAGGTATTATCCAATAAACAGATAAGTGAAACTAATCTAATTAGAGGTAACGAAAATTAATTGGACTGCTTGTAATCTGGATTAGTAGCAGGACAGAGTCCTCTATGGCCCCTTCCAGACTGCTCTATGTCCCAGGATCTGATTACAGATTATCTTTATATCCCAGATTATCTGTCAGTGGAGACTCGTATAATCCAGTTTAAAGCAGATAATCTGGGATCAGTTCCTAGGCTACAGGGCAGTGTATATTCCTTTTAGTTGGAGTGAATTTGCTGAACTTGAGGTCATACTTCCCAAAAATAAATATTTACTTGCTACAAGCCAGCAACCTGGAATGAGCAAACATGACCCCATATTTGTATTTCTGGATGTTTATTGGGAATTTGAATTTTTGGTATAAGTCTGGGATATTATTGGGTTAAAACAAGTGCTTTGGTAAAAAAAAAAATAAGGCAGAATTTACATGCAATGCAATAACTCTAGAAAGAGCAGATTTTGTTTGATCAGGAGTGTGTAACATGAAAAGCTTCAGAGATCCATGAACTGATTGAAGGGCATTTTGTTGTCTTCAGCTGTGCCTTTCACATTGCACACTATATGTAAATATATAAAAAGTATATATTTATATTACATGTAATCTTACTAATAAAATTACAATATAATGGTATAATACAATATAGTAATACTTAATACTGATATTGTACTATGCTAATAATGGCACTCCATGCAGTCATGCCAACCACATGACCTTGGAGGTGTCTACAGACAACGCCGGCTCTTTGGTTTAGAAATGGGGATGAGCACCACACCCCAGAGTTGGACACAACTGTACTTAATGTCAGGGAGAAACCTTTACCTACCTTACTATCCTAATAATATAGTATATTTTATGTATATATAACTTGTAAGCCGCTCTGAGTCCCTTTCGGGGTGAGAAGGGCGGCATATAAATGTCATACATATACATATACATATATATATATCTCCGAAGCACTCATTCATGTATGTCGGTATGCATCCTTCATGTATACTTCTTGTTTATTTGAAATTAATTGGGGGAGGCATTTTTTTCAAGGGACCCTAAACCTTCCTCCAACCCTCAGAGCCGATCACTTATCCCAGGGCTGATCTGGAGTTTAGACTGCCACCGCCAGCTGCTGTGGAGACAGGATCATCCAGTGACACCAAATCCAACTTTTCACATGGATGACATTCAGTTCAAAGCAGATAATCTGGATTTTATATGATTGTGTATTAGGAGCCTTACATTACCTGGATTTCTAGTTTTAGGCAACTCTTGATTTTCTGGACTTCAGATCAGATTTCCCTAGAGCAGAGGTTCTCAACCTGTGGGTCCCCAGATGTTTTGGCCTTCGACTCCCAGAAATCCTAACAGCTGGTAAACTGGCTTGGATTTCTGGGAGTTGTAGGCAAAATCATCTGGGGATCCCACAGGTTGAGAACCACTGACCTAGAGTGACTAAACAATATTTTCTACATGCTGTTACCATACAAACTGGATGTTGATCTGTGATGTCTGATGTTGTCACTTCGAATTGTTCAAAAATACAGTGCTTATAAACACAAACTTGTCTTTTACAGTTACAGAAGTTTTATAGGCAGAGATCTATATTTTGACATGTGTTTAATATGGTATTGAAACAATGTCTTTGATTGTTCTCTCTTGTGATTCTTTCCCCACCGTAGATAGTGGAGAAGAATGCTGATCCAGAACACATGTTGCTGTCTTACTTAAGGAAAAGACGTATCTTTTTCTTGGTTGTACGTGTCCAGAAATCTTTTTAACATGTGTGTCCTGTTCTCCTCTATTGGCTTTTCTTTTTTGTTCATACATAGATATGTGTGCATACACACAGGTCCAAAATTACACCAGGCATGAAATAACCTTGATTAGCTGCCCAGTGTTTTTCCACTCTGTTATGTCACTCCAGGAATGGGTGTGTGTATATCTGAATGAAGACCCGGGGTACTTCTAGACAATCCCTATATTCCAGGATCTGATCCCAGGTTTTCCATATATCCCAGACTATCTGGCAGTGGGGACTCATATAATCCAGTCTAAAGCAGAAAACCTGGGATCAGATCCTGGGATCTGATATATATCTATATATGTTGTATGTCTAAATGGCATTGAATGTTTGCCATGTATATGTGCATTGTAATCCACCCTGAGTCCCCTGTGGGGTGAGAAGGGTGGAATATAAATACTGTAAATCTATATTAATAAAAATGTAATGTTCAATGTATTGTCGAAGGCTTTCATGGCTGGAATCACTGGGTTGTTGTAGGTTTTCCGGGCTATGTGGCCATGTTCTAGAGGCATTTTCTCTTGACGTTTCGCTTGCATCTATGGCAAGCATCCTCAGAGGTAGTGACCTCACTACCTCTGAGGATGCTTGCCATAGATGCAGGCGAAACGTCAGGAGAAAAATGCCTCTAGAACATGGCCATATAGCCCGGAAAACCTACAATAACCCAATGTAATGTTTATTTGTGGAGTTAACATAACTCAAAAATCGCTGGACAAACTGATACAAAATTTGGACACAAGACCCCTATCAGGCCAACGAGTGACCGTCACTCATAAAAACACTGAAAAACACAGCGGAAGGGACTTAAAAAGACAAAAAACAAAAATTACATTACAACACATGTGCAAAACCACATATACTGTATGTACGCAAACACACATATGTTGCAGGTTCAAATCTGAGGTGCAGAGTGAGCTCCTGTTGTCAGTCCCAGCTCCTGCCAACCTAGAAGTTCAAAAACATGCCAATGTGAGTAGATCAGTAGGTACCACTCCGGCAGGAAGGTAACAGTGCTCCATGCAGTCATGCCGGCCAAATGACCTTGGGGTGTCTACAGACAACGCTGGCACTTCGGCTGAGAAATAGAGATGAGCACCAAAGTCCCAGAGTCAGACATGACTGGACTTAATGTCAGGGGAAAACCTTTACCTTTACACAAATATACACACGCACAAAACACATATACACAGACTGGGCCACAGCAACGCATGGCAAGCGACAGCTAGTAAATAAATAAAAGGGCACTGTCTGGAAAGGCCCAAAGAAAAGAGGGAGTGCTGAATCAGAGCACCAAGAGCAAAATAAGTGCGTTGTCGCAGGTGGGAAATGCTGTAACATGGAAAGGGGATAGAAACAGCAACAATAATAACAGCAACTTGTGTCAATTCTAAGGAAGGTGAATACGTTTTAACTTTTGTGAAGGTGCTCTCAGGCTTTTCTTCATAAAACAATTTCAACTACTATGTATGAAAGCTGGGGTCGTTTGTTGTTGTAGTGTTCTGTTTCAAAGCAAGCTGAAACCTGTCCTAGTTAAGTATTTATGAAAATTAAACAGCCTATATAAATCTTCCCGCCATGTAGTACAGTTCATGCAGTACTACTAACATTTTTCACCCTGAAAGCAGGGGATCTATCTGTCTTGGATATTCAAGATACTATCCTAAGAATTTTAAATAGTGTTCCTTTAGAGCCAGCTAGTTCCCCAAAGAATAATCTATATCCATTAGTCTTTATTGCCATCAAATACATGGACAGAATGAATAATAATCTTCTATATAAATAAAAATGTAATGTTCATTTGTGGTATTAACATAACTCAAAAACCACTGCATGAATTGACACCAAATTTGGACACAATACACCTATCAGGCAGAAGGGACTTAAAAAGCCCAAAAACTAAAAAAATACATTACAACACATGTAAATATATATACACACATATACCCATATATACACACACAAAACACATATACACAGACTGGGCCACAGCAACGCATGGCAGGGGATGGCTAATAATAATAATAATAATAATAATAATAATAATAATAATAATAATAATACGGTAATAATATACATCACACAGTCCTAGACACTTGGGAAGTGTTCGATTTGTGATTTGTGATACGGAATCCAGCATATATCTCTTGTTTGCTGTGACATACTGTGTTTTTGTGTCAGTAAAATAATAATAATAATACTTTATTTATATTCCACGTTTCAAACATAAAAGGCAAACATTCAATGCCCGAATACAACAACAATACACCTAAAATTAAATTAAAAAAATGCAGCCTGTCATATCGACATAAGACAAAATATCAAAGTTCAAACAGAAGCATCAATTTCCCAGTTCCTTGGGGGCAAATAGATTCATCATTGGGTTGTTGTAGTTTTTTTGGACTATATGGGCATGGTCTAGAGGTATTCTCTCCTGACGTTTCGCCTGCATCTATGGCAAGCATCCTCAGGTGTAGTGAGGTCTGTTGGAACTAGGAAAAAGGGTTTATATATCTGTGGAAAGACCAGGGTGAGATAAAGGACTCTTGTCTGCTGGAGCTAGGTGTGAATGTTTCAACTGACCACCTTGATTAGCATATAATGGCCAAGGTTGTCAGCTGAAACATCCACACTTAGCTCCAGCAGAGCTAAAGGATTCTTATCCTTTGTCCCACCCTGTTCATTCCACAGATATATAAACCCATTTTCTTAGTTCTAACAGACCTCACTACCGCTGAGGATGCTTGCCATGTATGCAGGCGAAACGTCAGGAAAGAATGCCTCTAGAACATGGCCATATAGTCCGAAAAAACCTACAACAACCCGGTGATTCCGGCCATGAAAGCCTTTGACAATACAGATTCATCATTGCTCAAGATATCTATTGAGTTAATGGGGCGAACAAGGCACGGATGTGGATGTATGACAGTATTACCAACTCCTCCTCTTCCTCGTGAGCCAGTGAGCAAAGGTACATCTTCAGCTGTTTCTTGAATGCAGGGAGGGAGTTTGTACCTGGTGCAATGGGTTCATGGATGAGAAAGAATGAAATGAGAACACATGTGCACTCAGTGTATAACTTTGCCCTACGCCAAAGCATTTCCTCCTTAACTGCAGCTCTTTCAGTCCACCTCACAGGTACCAAATATGGCTGTGGTGGAGGTGGTTGCGGGGCCTGCACCGTGATGATATCAAGATATGAATCAGTTACTAAGAAGATAATGTATCCTTTTGAAGAGGCTGATAAACGGCACATTGAAATTATTCTTGAATGATGGATACTATTAGTGCTTCTGGCAGCATTTGGTCTTTCTCCCACCACAAACAGAGGCCACCTGCTTTTAAACATAGTGCTGAAGAATGTTAGTGATAGCTCACCATGAAGTGGGGTGGCAGGAATTTTATTGGGAAAAAGAGCTAGTAGACAGAAAACAGATGAACTTTGAGACCTGTCAGTTTTATCATGAGAAAATAAATCACAACTTGTTTAGAAATAGTTGGGGAAACTGTATAGTTACGATATAACAATTTAGATGTATTTGTTTCAATCTATGACAGGCCTGCACAACTTGTGATCTTTCACGTTTTTGGACTTCAGCACTTAGAATTGGCAGGGACGAGGGACAGGGCCTTCTCAGTGCTGGCCCCCCGGCTATGGAACTCCCTCCCCAGGGATATTAGATTGTTCCCCTCCCTCCTGACTTTCCAAAAAAGGGTAAAAAGTTGGCTCTTTGAGTAAGCTTTTGAGAATGCAGCAGAATAGATAGCATGAAACTATGAATGATGAACATAGAATGGCCAGACGATGTTACTGGAAAATAATTTTAACAAGATGACATCGGTGACTACATGTTTTAATGGTTTTTATCAGGCATGTAGCCGGGGGTGGGGGCTCGGGGGGCTTCAGCCCCCCCCGAAATTTTTATGGTGGTTCGCGAAAAGGCCTTATTGGTGCATTATTTAAACTGTTATGTTTATTCATATCATGAACTGATCACCATACTCAATATATCCCATATGCATGGGGGTATTGGGGTAATGATACAAAAGGTTTGCTAGGCTAGACCCTCTTTCACTCAGACTCAGCCCCCCCCCCGAAACTCAGCCCCCCTGAAACCCCCCCTGAAAAAAATTCAGCCCCCCCCCCCGAAACGAAATCCTGGCTACGGGCCTGGTTTTTATATATGTTTTTATATTGTTATGTTGACTCTTTTTAATCGCACCTTTATGAATGCATGGCATCGACCCCATATGTCTTTTCAGTTATAGCTCAATAATGAAAATGTTCCTTGCCATGCTGTACTTCATAACCCCCCCCCCCCCCATTGTTCCCATTGACTTCCTGGTATGTGAACATCAGGAATGTATAGTAAGCTTTCAGTAGCCAGAAGAGGTACTTTGAAATAAAATGAAACTAAACTAAAACAAAGTAAAAGAAAAAGATCACATCAAGGAACTGGTATGGATTGCCTCAAATTGTTCATTCTTTTTTGTTTTATTCACAGCTGTCAGTGGATACAATAATTTTAGATAAGTGAAAGAGTAATAGTAGTTATAATACAAAATTGTGGATAGTTCCATTGTTCTGCCCGGCAAATAGTACATTGTTGAACTTTGATTATGTAATTTAGATAAAGAGGTACCAACTGTGCCTACTACGCAATTCTTTCTCCTGTTAGCTGAGCATAGTAAGCAAACACAAAAAATATTTGCTGAACCAACTAGACCCTGTTTCAATTCCTTCCAATCTGTTAAAATGCTACAGTATAAAAACTTCTTCCTGTAATCCAGCAAATAGAGGACATTATACCATAGGTGGTTTATTTTATAATCACTAACAAAAATGTAATATTAAAATAGTATATCCATAGTATCAGTAATACAGAAGCAGCATCTGAATACAGTATCGCAATACGTGGACTTTGATTAGAAATCACAATTTTCAAATATTTTCAGAGACCTGGGACATTCCGAATTTGGTCTAGAATTGTCAACATTCACACCTGAAGGCTGACATTCTCTAAAATTCACAAACAAACCTTATTTATAATTATAATACCTACTCAACCATGAGAAATAATACGGTTAAATAATATATTTCCAATAATGGTAAATATGCTGTCCTATACAATCTAAGCCATTATTCAGCCAACGCATGCTTGATTCCCATATGTTCACTGTATGGCGCTGCAGTTGTCACTGTGGAAGGAATTGGAAATACCAAAACCAGGATTCATCCAGTTCAGGTAAATGCAACTTTTTTTTTTGGAAATTTCAGCTCGTTAGTGCTATAAAAATACATGATTGTGCACAGTGACACTTTGTATCTTGATGCAGAAAGCTGGGTATGGCACAAAGTCTACATCCAGCACTCAAGAGGAGTCGACATGTGGAAATGCTCACTCAGTTGTCTCTCATATACAAATTCACACTCATACCACTGTCAACCAAGCAAAGAGGAGCTAGTGCCCCATCCTTCTATCCTAGGGACATATGCACTAATAAAAGATCTTTTTGAGGTACTGGTGACCAACCTTTTTGGCTTTTATCAGCCTGGCAAAAAAGCCGTGTATTGTCAAAGGCTTTCATGGCTGGAATCACTGGGTTGTTGTAGGTCTTTTGGGCTATATGGCCATGTTCTAGAAGCATTCTCTCCTGATGTTTCACCTGCATCTATGGCAACCTCTGAGGCTGCTTGTCATAGATGCAGGCGAAACGTCAGGAGAGTATGTTTCTAGAACATCGCCATATAGCCCAAAAAACCTAAAACGACCCAAAAAAGGTGTGTTTTGTGTTTTAATACACTTGTAACATTTTTTCTCAATTTTATCTTACCTTTTGTCTCAAGGCATAGATAACGATTTTCCAGCTGGTCTCCCATCCTGGCATTGTCGAGGCTGCCTTAGTTTTAACAAGATAGTCTTATTTTGTATGGCAAGCAAAGTCCAGGGACATCTGTGAGATCATTTGGACATCAATTTTACAGGCTGGAGGTTTAGCTCTTCCTGCTGAATGTTTGTGCTAGTTTATTTTTTCTTTTTAATATTACTTATTTAAAACTCTTTATGCCTATTTATAATTCCTTATGTAATAATAATAATAATAATTTAATTTGACTAGTCATATGATCATTTCAAAATACAACACAAATAAAAGACAAGGCAAAAAGATGAGAACATCAGCTGACCTTCTATTTATAGTCAGAGTCTTATTTTCCTTCTTTCAGGAAATGTGCTCTTTTCTTGATAGCTTTCAGAATAAAAAGGCTTACTCTGATTATAGTGGATCTTTCTTGTCCTTGCAAGAGGAATGTCAGAAGATAATTTCTGTTGCAGGACCTGCAGTTGGATAATATTGGATGTAAATATCTGTCTCGCAGTTCAGTATATGCTGGACAGTCAATTAAGAAATGTTCGATATCTTCCACAGTTTGTTCTCCCCAAACGCAGAATCTCTCACTTCTTGGGATACTACAGTAATGCTCAGTTTGCATCATAATACCGAGTGGTTCAAACCTAGCCCTAGTATATATTCTTCTTAAGGGTAACTGAAGTGGAATCGTCAAATAGTGTTCTAAATGAATATTCCTTTTTGTGGGAAGCTAAAAACCTTATGGCAGAAGACCTATCTATGCTTGCTAGGTTCAGTTGAGCATAGATATCTTGAGTGTGTTGCATGAGCACTTGTTTTGCCTTAGGTCCTAGATCATTCAGAAATCGTAAAGGCAGGCCGATTTTAGCCAACTCATTATTTAGAGCCACTATCCATGATGTCTTTTGGTCACACTGGATTTAATTCCTTATGTAAAAGGCAGGCCGATTTTAGCCAACTCATTATTTAAAGCCACTATCCATGATGTGAAATTGTGAGGTTCCTTGAGGGAATTTTCAGTTTCTGAATTGCAGGACATAAGTAAATAAGTAAGTTAATCACATCATGAATTTGGGATATTGGTGTGCATTTTTGACTTATTGGGGATAAGGCATCCTGTGTACAAATAGTGGTTGTTCCCATTATAAGTTCAATGAACCACAGATCTTCTGCTCATGGTTCATTTATTGTGACTTCTGATTCCAATACTCTGATTTCCCAATGAGTGTGGCTCCCTCCTGTATTGCAGCACAGCTATACCCCGGATTTAGCCAGTTACTTGAGCGTGTTGAGACAGATTATGGCAGATTGTATGTGAGGAGCCCCTGGTGGCATAGTTGGTTAGACTGCTATGCTGCTGAACTTGCTTACCGAAAGGTTGCAGGTTCGAATCCGGGGAGTGGCGTGAGCTCCCGCTGTTAGCCCCAGCTTCTGCCAATCTAGTGGTTCGAAAACATGCAGATGTGAGTAGATCAATAGGTTCTGCTCTGGTTGGAAGGTAACGGTGCTTGCAGCTATGGCGGCCACATGACCTTGGAGATATCTATGGACAATGCTGGCTCTTCAACTTAGAAATGGAGATGAGCACCAACCCCCAGTATCGGACACAACTGGACTTAGGGGAAAACCTTTAGAATCATAGAATCCTAGAGTTGGAAGAGACCTCATGGGCCATCCAGTCCAACCTCCTGCCAAGAAGCAGGAATATTGTATTCAAAGCACCCCTGACAGATGGCCATCTAGCCTCTGTTTAAAAGCTTCCAAAGAAGGAGCCTCCACCACACTCTGGGGCAGAGAGTTCCACTGCTGAACAGCTCTTACAGAAAGTTCTTCCTAATGTTCAGATGGAATCTCCTTTAATTTTTTCTATGTGATGATACTGAAGTGCCTTGGGGTCTTGGTTTTTATGACATTTTGTAATCGCTAAACCAGACCGTGGCAACCTTTCTATTGATCTCATTTTCTACTTCACTATTCTTAATTTGTTTTTTAAAATTTAGTTACGTAAAATGCTTAAATAAAGGGGGTTCAGTTACCTTGTAGCACGTTTTTTATTGCCCTAGGAACGAATTGCTAAAAGTCATGGGTCTCAGTGTGGCTTCTGCACCCCTGGAATGGTGATGTCCATCTATGCTTTGCTGCGTAACCACATGGAACCCACATCAGATCAAATAATTGAAGCTCTAGCAGGTAAGTCTTTCAGTGAGAATTTTTTCAAAACCATTAATTCATTTGATTCTTGCTGTATAGTTATTTATTTGTATTTATTCATAATTAGAAGCACAATATGTTTCATTGTTGCTTTCACTATATTTTGTAAGCCGTTGTTCTTGACTCGTTGCTGTTGGAGTTTCTTTTTGTTTTGGTTGTTTTGTTCGGAAGGTAGCAATGAAATCAGTGAAATTGATACATATAAATGTAACATATAAATGTTACATTTTATATACAGTTTGCTATTTGTCATTCCTCCTGACATATATTTCAGATTGTATGCCTTTGCAAGAATTCATTGTTTTTTATTGTTTTACCAGAAAAGTTCTTCAAACATTTGAAGGTCTGATATAAACAATAATGACAATCTATATAAATCAAAATGTAATGTTCGTTTGTGGGATTAACATAACTCAAAAACCACTGGACGAATTGACACCAAATTTGGGCACAAGACACCTATCAGGCCAATGAGTGAACATCACTAAAAAAAATTGATTTTGTCATTTGGGAGTTGTAGTTGCTGGGATGTATACTTCACCTACAATCAAAGAGCATTCTGAACTCCACCAACTATGGAATTGAACCAAACTTGGTGCACAGGACTCCCATGACCAATAGAAAACACTAGAAGGGTTTGGTGGGCATTTTCTTGAGTTTTGGAGTTCACCTACATCCAGAGAGCACTGTGGATTCAAACAATGATGAATCTGGACCAAACTTGCACACAGATGGAGACCTTGACATTTGGGAGTTGTAGTTACTGGAATTTATAGTTCACCTACAATCAAAGAGCATCCTGAACCCCACCAAGGATAGAATTGAGCCAAACGTCCCACACAGAAACCCCATGACCAACAGAAATACTATGTTTTCTGGTAGTCTTTTGCAACCCTTCTAATAACCCCTCATGACCCCTCCCAGGAGTCCTGACCCCCAGGTTGAGAAATGCTGCCTTACGGCCACCCAGGCCAACTCCTTTCTCCAGGGCAAGAAAACATAAAGTACTCCTGACAAAGAGCCATCCATCCATAGATATAGATATATATGATTAACACACACAAACATGTATAGCACAGATATAGTATCATATATTCGAAAGGGGCCCCTAAAGAAGGACAATGATATGTTGCATATTCCAGAGTAGTCAAACCAGACAATCTCCACATCAACACTGACAAAGAAACAACAAGAAATACCGTTTACCCACAAGCATCAAGAAATTACATAGATTAGAAACCAACGCTTTCTCATTACTTTATTTTTCGGTTCACCAGAGTGGGCCACAGCAACACATGGCAGGGGATGGCTAGTGTTTTATAAATGTTAAAGGACTAAACCAGGCATGGACAAATTGCAGCCCTCCAGGTGATTTGGACTTTAACTCCCACAGTTCTTTACAACCTAATGGCTGCTAGGAATTGTGAGCCTTGAAGTCCCAAACATCCGGAGGGTCAAAGTTTGCGCATGCTTGAGCTAAATTCATTGAGATGTAAATTCCATTGTTTTGGTTATTGGAAGAAATCCCTATTCATATCTTTCATTGTTTATCTAGGTAATTTATGTCGCTGCACTGGTTACCGACCTATTATTGATGGCTTTAAGACCTTCTGTAAGGTAGGAATTGATGTGTGTGTGTGGATATGCAAGAGGAATTGATGCACTGGATGTGATAATAGTATTTGGGTAGATTATATTAGTTCATCCTATGGTACTTTTCAGTATATTATCTTATTCCCTTGGAGGCAGGCATGAACAATGGTAGATATACTGGATTAGCAGCTTCCCTTTACTGATTTTGAATCCATTGCCCAGTATCTGTTGGCTCACTTCTCAGAAGCAACTCCTGGGGTCTAACCCAGATGTAACTAGTTCTTTTGCAAGGGAAGAACCTGGAGTACGTTTCCTACCCAAAGGAGAGGTCCAGAAATCCCTCACCAAATCCTTCATTAAGTTCTGAAACCAGTTTCTTTTCAGCACAATTTAATCTAAGGATGTTTTATTTAAGCCAGAGGCTGAAATTAGAGGACACTAGTAGTTACTTAGTTAGGCAATCCCTCGTTGATCAAGTAAGATTGTCTTTCAGGTTCGTTGCACTAGTGGTGGGTCCGTAGGTGACTGTGGAGCCCTATTCTTGACCTGCATGTTCTCCTGCAGTGAAGGCATTGGTTTACAGGTGGGAGGCAGTCCCAGTCAGGGTTGGCTTGACATGCCTTTCGCTTGACACGTTTCTCTCTTTTGCCCTCCATTTGTGCCTCTTCAAATTCTGCAGCATTGCTGGTCACAGCTGACTTCCAGCTAGAGCACTCAAGGGCCAGGGCTTCCCAGTTCTCAGTGTTTATGCCAGAGTTTTAAAGGTTGGCTTTGAGTCCATCTTTCAATCTCTTTTCCTGTCCTCCAACATTTCGTTTTCCGTTCTTGTGTTCGGAGTAGAGCAACTGCTTTGGGAGACGGTAATCACTAGTAACACCAGAAGCAGGAACAAGATCTTGTGACAACCTCCAGAGCCTGATATCACTTACTAGAAAAAAAAACTCACATACTCCGGAGTGGTCATATCCAGTGGTCAGATCCTAACGGTTCAGGCCCTGCCTATCTCTGCGATCGCATCTCCTTCTATGAACCGGCACAAGCTCTAAGATCTTCTGGGGAGACCCTCCTCTTGGTCCCACTACCGTCTCAAGCGCGATTGGTGGTGACAAAAGAGAGGGCCTTCTCAGTGGTGTCCCTTCCAAGGGAAATAAGACAGGCCCCATCCCTCCCCTCCTTTCGTAAGAGCTTGAAGACCTGGTGGTTTCAACAAGCCTTTAAAAATGGCCAGTTCTAACTCAGCCCCACACATTGTCTAATATGGTCTTATTCTTCCTACCAATTACCCAGATTCTTTCCTCTAATCGGCCCAGGAATGAATAGCCACAGAACCGTACCTAATACTATTGTTGCCAGCCATAGCATTGCACTTATTTCCCGGGCCCCCTAGAATTTTGGGGCTTGCACAAATCTTGGCCCGGCCTTTTAAATTTTTTAATTGCCTTGAACAGGCAGGATTACTTTTAATATATGTGTGTTATGGCAACAATTTTTATGCTTATATTTTGTTTTGTTAATCTTATGGTTATTTTGTGTTTTACTTTGCATGTTTTGTGATGTTACCTGGGAACCGCTGTGAGTCCCCTCGGGGAGATGGAGCGGTATATAAATAAAGTTATTATTATTATTATTATTATTATTATTATTATTATTATTATTATTAAGAGGCTGTACCAGCTCTGTGGACCGTCCACAAACAGTGCTATCCAAAGCTACATTATAGATAAACAGATAGATGGATAGATAGATAGGCTGGAATTGCACTTAAAAATGTACCTGTTCCAACTTACATACAAATTCAACTTAAGAACAAATCTAAAGAACCTATCTTGTTCGTAATTTGGGGACTGCCTGTGTACAGTATATTTAGACGTAATTTTCTGATGAGCTTAAATCCAGATCCAATTCCTTTTCATGACCATGGAAATAGTCCGTTCCATCTTTATTTAAATTGCTGCACTAATATTTAACTGAATGTTCCTTTTTGTTTAGGAATCGGTTTGTTGCCAAAATAAAGAGAATGGGGTTTGTTGCTTAGACCAAGAAAACCAGTTATCTCTGTTACCTAACAGGGAAGAATATGTAAGTGCGCGTGTTAATATACTCATGTTTGTTTGATCGGTGGATTACAAAACATGGCCGGCATCACTCCCCTTCTTTTTTAACCTTTTCCTCCTTCTCCTGCTGGGTCCTAAGGAGGAGAAAGTGGAGTCAGGAAGGGAAGAAAGGAAGCAGGGTAGGAGGGGGGCACGCCACAGCCGCTTCCTCAACTGTTGTGTGTCTCTGCCTTGGCCCTTTTCTCAATCTGGGAAGGAGGTAGGCCACCATGTCCACAGGCTGAGAGGAGGACTGAGGCAGATGGGACCTGGACAAAAGAGCCAAAAGAGCTGCATCTGGTTTACAGACCCGGGTTTGCCCATGCCTGTTATAGGTGATATATTTGATTGGAAGAAATGGAGAGAGACTGGGGCTAATTCCTATTTCAGACCATTCTATACTGGCATATAAAATCCAGATTATCTGCTTTGGACTGGATTATATGGCAGTACAGACTCATATAATCCAGTCCAAAGAAGATAACATGGACTATCAGCTTTGATAATCTGGATTATATAAGTGGCCAGTTAGTGGGGTGATGAGGCTTATGCTGGATCTGCACTGCCCTATGCCCCAGGAAATGGAAGGAAAAGGGAAGAGGGGCCAACAAAGGACAAGATGGACGGATGTTATCCTTGAAGTGACTGGCTTGACTCTGAAGGAGCTGGGGGTGGTGACGGCCAACAGGGAGCTCTGGCATGGGCTGGTCCATGAGGTCACAAAGAGTCAGAAGTGGCTGAACAAATAAACAACAAAACCCAGGATCTGATCCCACATTATCTTCTTATTTCAGATTATCTGGCAATGTAGACTCATATAATGGATTCATAAAGGAGATATTTATTTATCGTGTCAGGCAACCGAACAGTTGTATTACATTTTTAACAGAGCAAACAAACAAACAAACATACAAAACACAAAGTTTGCAAGCTTGGTAGTTGATTAAATGCCCTTTGACCAGTAGCTGGCCACTTGGAGTGCTTTTGGTGTTGCTCTAAGAAGGTCCTCCATTGTGCATATGGCAGGGCTCAGGTTGCATTGCAGCAGGTAGTCAGTGGTTTGCTCCTCTCCACACTCGCATATCGTGGATTCCACTTTGTAGCCCCGTTTCTGAAGGTTGGCTCTGCATCTCGTGGTCCCAGAGCGCAGTATGTTCATAAAGGAGATAATCTGGGATCAGATCCTGGGATATAGGACAGTATAGATCCAGCCTTAGGCCTCTTCTACACTTCCAGATATTCCAGGTTATCAAAGCAGAAAATCCATATTATCTGATTTGAACTGGAATATTTTAGTCTACGTTGCCATATAATCCAGTTCAAAGCTGATAATATGGATTTTATACAGCTGTGTCAAAGGGGTCTTCTTCTTCTTCTTCCTGTTGCTCCCTGATGTTATCTGATCCCAGCACTAACTTCTCATAATGATTGAATAGTCATTCTTCAAAGTTAAACTGAAATCTGCTTGGTTTAAATTTAATTCAAATTTTTTATTTAAATTTTTCTGAAATATTTTTATTTCAGAACTGTTATTGCCAAATGAAATGCCTATGTAAAGTTTTTCTTGTTTTCATTTTACTATTTCAAGACCTGCACAACACTGTTTTCTGCCAAAGAATTCCAGCCCTTGGATCCCACCCAAGAACTGATTTTTCCTCCAGAACTCATAGTAAGAAAATTTGGGAAACGCAGAGCATATGGGTGTGGGCAGTTCTCGCTATCTTTTGAATGTGTTAAAGTGTATGAGGGGTGAACATTGAGTATGTAGCAAAGAAAGTTTTTGATTGGTTTACTCAACTGCCTGTGCCATATGTTGTTGTTACCCTCTGAAAGGTAAGATGAGCTCCTCCACTTGGTAATCTATTGTGTTGATGAAATTGAATGGCCAAATTTAACAATTCCTGAATTTAACCAATTCCTGGGTCTCTTCTGCACTGACCATATAATACAGTTTGAAGCTGACTTGCAGCACAGGTGGCTAAAAAATTCACACCATTCTGACCACTACAACGCACATCAAGGGAGATACAACAGTCTTACAAAAAGTCTCTGTTAAATGTATTGTCGAAGGCTTTCATGGCCGGAATCACTGGGTTGTTGTAGGTTTTTCGGGCTATATAGCCATGTTCTAGAGGCATTCTCTCCTGACGTTTCGCCTGCATCTATGGCAGGCATCCTCAGAGGTAGTGAGATCTGTTGGAACTAGGAAAGTGGGTTTAAATATCTGTGGAATGACCAGGGTGGAGCTGAGTGTGAATTTTTCAACTGACCACCTTGAGTAGCATTTGATGGCCTGGCAGTGCCTGGGGCAATCTTTTGTTGAGAGGTGATGTCTGAGGATGCTTGCCATAGATGCAGGCGAAACGTCAGGAGAGAATGCCTCTAGAACATGGCCATATAGCCCAAAAAAACCTACAACAGCCCAGTCTGTGTTAAGCCAAAAAGGCACTGCTGCATGGGCCAGTATGTCTCAGGTCCAACATGAAATTAGTTTCACAAAATGTAGAGCATATTGTAAACACCTGCTCCTGCTGAAGCACAATAAAGGATCCAGAATGGGGATTGTTGGAAAGGCTAAGGCCCCTTCTACACTGCCCTATAATCCAGATTATTAAAGCAAATAATCCACATTATGTGCTTTGAACTGGATTATATGAGCATTTAATCTGGATTTTATATGACAGTGTAGATGGGGCCTAAGATACCCCCTGGAAGGGGTAATTGATTACTTCCACTGCTAACTGTCACTTACAATCATAGAATCAAAGAGTTGGAAGAGACCTCATGGGCCATCCAGTCCAACCCCCTGCTAAGAAGCAGGAATATTGCATTCAAATCACCCCTGACAGATGGCCATCCAGCCTCTGTTTAAAAGCTTCCAAAGGGGGAGCCTCCACCACACTCGGGGCAGAGAGTTCCACTGCTGAACGGCTCTCACAGTCAGGAAGTTCTTCCTCATGTTCAGATGGAATCTCCTTTCTTGTAGTTTGAAGCCATTCTTCCACGTCCTAGTCTCCAGGGCAGCAGAAAACAAGCTTGCTCCCTCCTCCCTGTGGCTTCCTCTCACATATTTATACATGGCTATCATGTCTCCCCTCAGCCTTCTCTTCTTCAGGCTAAACATGCCCAGCTCCTTAAGCCGCTCCTCATAGGGCTTGTTCTCCAGACCCTTGATCATTTTAGTCACCCTCCTCTGGACCCATTCCAGCTTGTCAATATCTCTCTTGAATTGTGGTGCCCAGAATTGGACACAATATTCCAGGTGTGGTCTAACCAAAGCAGAATAGAGGGGTAGCATGACTTCCCTAGATCTAGACACTATGCTCCTATTGATGCAGGCCAAAATCCCATTGGATTTTTTCGCCGCCACATCACATTGTTGGCTCATGTTTAAGTTGTTGTCCACGAGGAGTCCAAGAGGCCAGTTTCCATGTTCAATGTACTGGTGGTCATCCTCTTCCTGGCCTCAAACCATTTCTGGACTGTCAATTTAATCACCCTGCAGCAAAAGCAGTTCCTTTTAAACTATTTCCAAACTAGATTGTCAGTGCAAAAGCGTCCTCTATCTGTATTGATCTCCATACGACAAAGATTATGGGCATCTGTACCAAGGCACTTTTGGGGCAATTTGCTTAGCTTATGAGTTTGCATTCTTACTGTGCTGCCTTCATGATCTCTGGAGCTTTGTGTGAAATAAAAAGGCAGTTTAACAAACTACAGTTTTAGCCTCCCTTCTCTTTATCATCACTGCATGACCCTTGACCCAGGTCAAAGATTGGCCTGGATTTCAACAGATCAAGATTCCTGCTTACATAAAACTCCAAAATTGACTTAGAACTGGGTGCCTGTAATGCTTTTGGCTTTTCCAAAACAGTTTGTGTTCTCATAATAGTTTTCTGAACACTTAGGATGCTACACCACTTGCCTCTCAGCTCCAGTCATTCCTGTTGAGGTGAAGGAAGAACCTTAAGGCTGGGAGTGTTTGCAAGTTCCTTTTGCTGAGCAGGGCTGTCTGCCAAGCTCACAACTATGTGTGCTATCTCCATATACTGGTTGCTCTAAACCAGTGTTTCTCAACCTGGGGATCAGGACCCATGGGGGGGGGGGTCACGAGGGTATCTCAGAGAGGTCGCCAAAGATCATAAGAAAGCACAGTATTTTCTGTTGGTCATGGGGGTTCTGTGTTTGGCCCAATTCTATCATTGGCGAGGTTCAGAATGCTCTTTCATTGTAGGTGAACTATAAATCCCAGCAACTACAACTCTCAAATGTCAAGGTCTATTTCCCCCAAACTCTGTCTGTGTTCATATTTGGCCATATGGAGTATTCATGCCAAGTTTGAGCTAGATCCTTCATTATTTGAGTCCACAGTGCTCTCTGGATGTAAGTGAACTACAACTCCCAAAGTCAAGGTCAATGCCCACCAAACCCTTCCAATATTTTCTGTTGGTCATGGGAGTCCTGTGTGTCACGTTTGGTTCAATTCCATCATTGATGGAGTTCAGAATGCTCTTTAATTGTAGGTGAACTATAAAACCCAGCAACTACAACTCCCAAGTGCCCAAATCAACCTCCCCCGCAACCCCCTAGTATTCAGTATATCTTCCAAATTTGGTCCAGTGAATGAAAATACATCCTGCATATCAGATATTTACATTACGATTCATAACAGTCGCAAAATTACAGTTATGAGTTAGCAACGGAAATAATTTTATGGTTGGGGGTCACCACAACATGAGGAACTTTATTAAGGAGTTGTGGCATTAGGAAGGCTGAGAACCACTGCTCTAAACCATCCTAGACTAGTCTACTGCCTTCGGGCCTATGAACCTTGTTTCCTTCTCAACAAACCTTGTTTGTTTTCCTTTTCAGAAAATGGCTGAAAATCAGACAGGGCAAACTCTTATCTTCCACGGAGAAAGAACAACATGGATTTCTCCTGTGAATCTAGATGAGCTTCTGGAGTTGAAAGCAAAGTACCCGCAAGCTCCTCTTGTAGTAGGGAATACTTCTGTTGGTACGTAGTGTATTATTCCACATTCGACAGAAATATTTTCTAAGATGATCCACTGCAAGCTAATCAATAGTTTGTGCAAAATCACTTCTGGATCCTTCTGTTATGGGACAGGGATTCACAAGCAAAAGAGCAAAATTCCGTTTTTTATATAGAATTTCTGAAGAATTTGATAAGGTCCCAGCAAGTGTTGTAGTTTGATCATTGGACTATGACTCTGGAAACAAGGGTTTGAATGGCTGCTTGGCCATGGAAACCTTGGACAAGTCACTCACAATTAACCTCAGAGGAAGGCAAAGGCAAATCCACTCTGAACAAATCTTTCCAAGAAAATCGCATGATTGGCCTTAGCTATTGAATTTTATTTATTTATTTCTTTTGTTGTGTCAGAAGCAACTTGAGAAACTGCAAGTTGCTTCTGGTGTGAGAGAATTGGCTGTTTGCAAGGAGGTTGCCCAGGGGACGCCCGGATGTTTTGATGTTTTTACCATCCTTGTGGGAGGCTTCTCTCATATCTCCGCATGAGGAGCTGGAGCTGACAGAGGGAGCTCATCCACACTCTCCCTGATTCGAACCTGCAACCTGATGGTCTTCAATCTTGCCAGCACAGGGTTTTAACCCACTATTGAATATTACAATAGGATGACAAATTCCTAGCAATTTAATTTGTTATTTTACTAACAAGGTAAGAAGAAGTGATTGTGGGGTTTTTTTGTGCCGGATGCCAAAAAGAACTTGATTGACTTGGAATATAAATCACTTTTGATTTGGTTGGTGTGCATGTAAGAACCATTTGCTGCTCTACTTCAGAAAAAAAACAATAGGTCAGCTCTACACCTGCAATGATCATATCTGAAAAGTCCTATAGCTGAGCCTTTTCAGTGGTGATTCCACCTGTTCAGAATATTGTGCTGACATCTTACTAGAGCAAGAATACCTCATTTCCAGTAACTAAACTTTTGCCAGTAACTAAAGACATCTATGCTTAGTATTGTTCATTAATAATGGTATGTTTTAATATAGTGTCTGTTTTGTTTTTAAAAAATACATTTTTATTTTCTTTGAGTTGTTTACTACACTGGTCCTAGCTTATGAATATTGTCAGCTGAAAATCACAAACTTTCTAAGTTTTTAACAAACAGATGAATATATTTCAAAAGACTGTCGAAATAGTGATCCTCCACATTTTCCTTGCCCCTGTGGGCACTTCCAGACAGCACCAAATCACAGGTTTTCCATGAGGGGCAAAAAGGACCCAGGACATGAGAACAATTCTGCACATAGACCTGTTGGTCCCGGGATTTTTGCCTGTGATGTCACAACTTGCTGCTTTGTTAGGGGATTTCGAAGCCCTCCACAGGACATCCACTGGAAATGTCATTTTTTAAAAAACCTTTAATGCGCATTGTTCATACAAGTTTTCTTCCTGGGTCATACATATCTGTTCCTCATTGATTTTATCCTGAAAAGGTGGCAAAAGTTGACTAAAGGGTGAAAACTTTTTCCTCGCAATAGAAACTTTGTTCTTCAGACGTTTAATGAACTTTGTGGCACACGAAAAACATTTGTGGAGTAAGACCACTACTTTCAAAGGCAGGACTACACTATTAAACAGGAACTGACACTTTCAAGCCAGGAACACAGAACTTCATCATTATTATTATCATTCAGAGGCTGTATGGCCATCTGTGCAGACAGATGTTGTGGTGTACTTGTGACATGGAACAACAGAGTGATTTTCCTGGGTTATACAAGTTTGTTCCTCATTGCCTTTATCATAAAAATACAGGGGAAGTTGATTACATGGCTAAATCTTTGTTTGTGTGTCACAAAATTCATTGGAAATGTGGAGGATGAAGTTTCTCTTGTCAGGATAACGTTTTCGACCTCTAGTCAACTGTTGCCATGTTTGTAGGATACAACCAATCAGGAACCGTCATGCATAACCTGGGAACAAACCAACATGAAAAAATCCCATGTTTTCTGAGGTAGGAACATAGAGAGATTCGCATATCCGCATTTTCCAGCCAGAGATGGGATATACCCGCAACTGAAATTCTCACCTTTTTAGTGCTTTGTAGCGTTTCCTCCCGTGTTTTCAGGGTATCCCCCATTTTGAACTAGGAGCTCCTGGGATTAAGGTACAGTGTGGATGGACCTTCAGTCTCATGGTTACATTTTACTTCACAGGACCTCAAATGAAATTTAAAGGTGTATTCCATCCAATTATCATCTCACCCACCAGAATATTGGACATCCACATGGTGAAACTTACAGGAGATGGTCAGTAAGCTTCATTTAACCATTTTGGGTATCATGTGAGACAGGCCCGTAGCCAGGATTTTGATTCGGGGTGGGGGGGTGGGGGAGCTGAGTTTGATTCGGGGGGGGGGGGTGAGTCTGAGTGAAAGAGGGTCTACCCTAGCAAACCTTTTGTATCGTTACCCCAATACCCCCATGCATTTGAGATATATTGAGCATGGTGATCAGATCATGATATGAATAAACATAACAGTTTAAATAATGTACCAGTAAGGCCTTTTCGCAGAGCACCATGAGAATTTCGGGGGGGAGGTGGGCTTTGGGGGCTTCAGCTACATGCCTGATGTGAGAGAGACCATGTTAAGAGCAGTGGGAAGGAACAGTTCAAGGGTGTTCTTTATGATCTATATAACAATATCTTTTAGTTCTAAATTGAGCTGTGAAACTTGAGTTTCTGAAGGTTTCCAGCATTTATTGATCTAAACCTGAGAAAATCCAAGTCTGCGAACAGTACTTATTAAATTGTGTAAGTACATGGCCAACACAGTTCTCCAAGTCCTGAGTTTTTCAAATCTACTAAAAAAATATGTACATGCTTTTAAAGAACTTACTTTTTAAAAACCTGATAGACAACTTCTCTAGAAATTTTCAATGATTCTATGATAAATGTCTGCATGAAGTCACCAAGGAATCACTCAAGAGACCATGAATGAATATTTAATAAATGTTGTAAATATAATAATTTTCATGCAGGAGTTTCCTGAGATCTCAAAAGTAGGCTTGGGTAACAATGGAAAAATTTGTTTCTAAACTCGTTTCGTTTTTAGGGGTCCATCGCGTTTCGTTTTTTTTAAAGAATTCCGAAATTTTCCTTTAAAAAATTTCGACATTTACAAAATTTCGTATAATTATGAATTGATTCGTTAATGGTGGATGCGATTGCGCAATATGCTAAAAAAACCTCCAAATGGGACAGGGGGAACTTCTGAAGTTTCCCTCTCCCTCTGTTGTTGACTGTTGGTGTGATAAAACAAACAACAACTATAAAACTTGCACCAGACATGCGAAAATAATTACGAAATAATTTCGAAATAATTACGAAATAATTATGAAATAAATTGAAAAAATTGTTTCGAATCTAATTTACTCCTCACACTATTCTTGCATGGCTCAATATTGGATCGTAAGCTAATTTAAATACGAATTAATAATGAATTACGAAATTAATGAACGAAACCGCCCAAGCCTACTCAAAAGTATTTCAGGAGCTCCTCCATTGTAAACAAGTTGAGAATGCTGTATAAAGATACCTTGAAACAGACACATTTATACTGTACCAGCCTCATTCTTTTGATTCAAGAAAGGGACATTGCATGGTGGGGTGTTTTTCACACATAGCATATCTTGGATGTGCCAAGAAGCTCAAAATTGATGTGCTGTAACTTCTACTTTTGTTTTCAGCTGGAAGGTTATTTTTGTTAGGGGGTTGAGGCTGAAGCATTGGGAATAAAACAAAAAAGTTTTGGAACTCTATTGAGTGATTTAAAACTATTTGGGCATGAAAATTATATCTTTTTTTGGCCTGATTGATGTTTGGGGAGGCTGCTAAAATGGTATTGTGATCAGCATGCAGCATGCATGTTGCACCTTCCCCACATCAGCTTTAATAAGTAAACATAATATATCCATTTTCTTCATGCTATTCTTTAATAATTTAAAGAAGTGAAGGATTATAATTGGAATAAAATTGAAACCTATGTCTGTAAAATGATCTTCATATTTTGCTCTTTTCAGGACTAATCCTTGGAGCTGGCTGTAGCCTGACAGTGGTGAAAGATGCTCTGACAAAGGCTGTTTCAAAACTTGCAGCAGAGAAAACCAAGATATTCAGTGCACTCTTGCAACAGTTGAAAACTCTGGGTGGTCAGCAGATCCGGAATGTGGCTGTATGTTTTGTTAGCTGAAGCACTGTTTTTCAGAGGGGTAACTGTAAGAATTCATTTATTTACAGCATTTATATTCCGCCCTTCTCACCCTGAAGGGGACTCAGGGTGGGTCACAGAACACATACGTGGCAAACATTCAATGGCCATTATCATTACCACTCCAGAAAAATGAATTCTGGAGTGGTAGACGTACAGGACAGACAGATAGAGGTATGTGTCTCGGCCTTTTTCCAACTTCGGCGTCCTATAGGTTATGCTCGATTCTGGCCACAGGGGGGTGCTGTCGCTCCATCCCCTATGACGGTGTGCCTTTTTGTTCACAGGCTTTTCCTCCTGTTCTTTGATCACCGGCTTTTTTATGGTGTCGTAAATGCTGTAAATAAAATAAGAATTTGCTGCAGCAAATATTGTCCTAGGATACCATGGGAACCAGCAATGGTCTCCAGATCATTAGTCTGTGAATGAGCCATCAGGAACTAAATGCTGAAGAGTTTCCAGGAAAGAAAGAAACAATTGTAGCCAATGGACACAGATATGGTACCAGTCCCTGGCACACTGGGAAAAATAAATAACTGTTCATCTCCCATGTCCAACAGCTTGAAGCTCATAGTCATAGTCTAGCAAATTTATTGTGACATAGGCTGGTGTCCCCAGAATCAGATATCATAATAAGTGTGTTAATTTGCAATAGAGATTTTGTAGCATCCAATCCTTCAACCATCTAGATTCAAAGGAAAAAGCCCCGAATAAAGAAGCAATACTCTTTTTCTATTCATGTTATTTTTTCTTTTATTCCCTTTGACATGACTGTATATCTTTTTATTTCTGACATTCAGGCCACTACATGTAAGTTTACAAAGTAGGTAGTATAGATTTTTTTTCACAACACAGAAATAGTTGCTCCATTTCAGACCATAAATATTATGTGACAGTCCTAAAATTGCCTATTGTTTTTTTTCCACCAAGTCAACTTTGGCTTACTCTGACTCTCTGAATGAGAGAACTCCAAGAGACCCTGTAGCATCCCTGATGGAAACAATCCATCTGAAATCTCTCTGCCATGTTTCTTTCATGTCTTGGTGCTGTTCTCTTAAAAAAGCAATAACTCAGAAAAACTCCAGAAGGATCAGCTTACAATCTTTTGTTTTTATAATATTATGCAGAGCATTCAAGCAATGCAACTACAGTGTAATACGATGTATTGTAATGTGATGGATGCATGTTCAGGATTTATTTATTTATTTATGGTGTCAGAAGTGAATTGGGTACAGTTATTGTATAATGTATTCAAGAAGACACAAACAAAATTAAAACTCAGTGTTTTTCCACAGACAAGCAGGAAATTGAATCCTGGCCTCCAGAGTTGTTGCCCAATGGTCAAACCACTTCAAAGACCTGTCTGACATTCACTGTTGTTTTCCACTGTACTGGAGAAGGGGATACACTGATTTATGATGAGAAAGCAGGAAAGTTTTCCTCTAGTAGGAGCAAAATATCTGCTTGTAGGTGTTCAGATCCTACCCAGTATGTGTGTGTGTTTTCATCCATTCATTCCTCCATACCCTTTTACCTTAGATCAGTGGTTCTCAACCTGGGGTCCCCAGATGTTTTTGGCCTAAAACTCCCAGAAATCCCAGCCAATTTACCAACTGTTGGGATTTCTGGGAGTTGAAGGCCAAAAACATCTGGGGACCCCAGGTTGAGAACCACTGCCTTAGATTAACTTCATCAGTGACAGATTATGGTATATGTTTGCCAAGAAATCAATATTACTTAATATTCATTAATTTAATAAGCATTTCTCCCTTTTTACTTTCTAACTGCAACCTTTACCCTCCCTTTTTCTAGTCTTTTGGAGGAAACATTATAACCAGAAGTTCAACATCTGACATCAATCCTATCCTAGCAGTTGGCAACTGCATCCTCAATGTGGCATCACAAGGTAGGGCCAGAGACCATTCCCATATGCCATTTAGTGTAGCTAACTTGATTAAGGACCCTTCCACATAGCCATATAACCCAGAATATCATGGCAGATAATCTACAATATCTTCTGTGAATTGGATTATCTGAGTCCACAATGTCATATAATCCAGTTCAGTGTGGATTTTATATAGTTGTGTCGGACCTCAGATTGTCCAGATATTAATTTATTTGCAACTGACTAGAGATTGAAGAAGTTAGTCTTTCTATTATTAAAGGCTTGATTGTGTAATGTTAATATGCAATGCAACTTTATCTATTTGAACTGAAGACACATGTCTATGTGCAAACCTATTTCTGGTGCCTGCATATCATATTGGCAAATATAGCCTTCCAAATATCTATCCTTCCTTTCTATTCCTCCATTTTCTTATTTTGTGATATATTATATGTAGGGATGTCAATAAAACTCCAAAAATATATTTATTTCTTTTAAATGTTGTAGAAATTAACACAATCATTATTCCTTAAGTCTTGTGTACTCTTTGCTTATCCATCTTCAAGCCCTATCTGGAAGGCTGTAGCCCAGTGGTTCTCAACTTATGGGTCCCCAGATATTTTGGCCTACAACTCCCAGAAACCCCAGCCAGTTTAGCAGCTGTTAGGATTTCTGGGAGTTGAAGGCCAAAACATCTGGGGACCCACAGGTTGAGAACCACTACTGTAACCCAATATGTGTGCATAATAGTTGTTAATTTTCTTTATTAGGGAAATTACGACACATACCTTTCAGAGAGCTTTTTGCTGATGGATTTGGAAACAATACCTTTGAACCAGATGAGATCCTGATGTCAGTTCACATTCCATATTCTCAGAAGGTAAACCATTTTATATCTCAGCCATTTAAAGCAGAATATCAAGGCAAAAAACCCCACAATATCTGCTTTGAACTGGGTTATCTGAGTCCACACTGCCATATATTCCAGTTCAAAGCAGAAAATGTAGGATTTTATTCAGCTGTGTGGAAGGGGCCTCATTTTATTGTGGAAATTAATTAGAATGCATCATACAACTTGCATAATCTGACCTTTTAAATAATTTTAGAATGTTTGGGTTTGCTTGAGGCTTATACCAAATACTTTCAATGAGCCATTAAAGTAAGGATGGGGAATCTGTATCCCACCAGAAAGTGGAGCATTACATCTCCTCCAATCCTTGATCATTTCTTTTGCTGCCTAGAACTGATAGGAGCTACAGTCTCACATCATCTGGAGGACCATGGGATCCTGATCCCTGTACCAGTGGAGAATTCAGTCCATGACGCTATCTCTCTCTCTCTCTCCTTTCTCTTTTTGCAACTCTACAGAATGAGTTTGTTTCAGCATTTCGGCAGGCCCAACGGCGGGAAAATGCGTTGCCAATTGTGAATGCAGGGATGAGGGTCCTTTTTGAAGAAAGCTCTAACATCATTAAGGATTTCAGTATCTTCTATGGTGGTGTTGGCCCCACAACTTTGGCTGCGAAGGAAACATGTCGGGCACTCATTGGGAGGTACTACATAATGTCTTTGGGATGATAATCTTTAGAGTAAACTAGTCAGGTTCAGGGGGTGCGGGGTCAAATATTTGCTCCATTATCTCTTATGAGCAGAATCAGGTCACCTAACTGCACCCAATTCCAGTAAAAAGTAAAACATTTCAATTAGAAATAACTCTTTCCCCTGTCATGGTCCCTGTGAATCGCACATATGGTAGTTTCTGTGCCTGAGCAGACAGCTTCGGAACCTTCTAGATAGATTTGAAAACTTTATGCTCCAAACATCCACTGCTTCAGAATGCCAAGAGTGGAAAAATATTAATTACCATACAAAATAAATAATTTAGGTCTGGAGGAGAAAATTAGGTATGCTTCATTGGGAAGTCGGATCTGGCCATGGTGGTCCATGCTCTTGTTACATCTTGTTACATCCCGGATAGATTACTGCAACGCACTCTACATGGGGTTGCCTTTGAAGACTGTTCGGAAACTTCAATTAGTCCAGCGGGAGGCAGCCAGATTGCTCACCGGAGCATCATACAGGGAGCATACCACCCCCCTGTTGTGTCAGCTCCACTGGCTGCCGGTCCAGTTCCGAGCACAATTCAAAGTACTGGTTTTGACCTACAAAACCCTATACAGTTCCGGCCCAGCATATCTGTCCGAACGCATCTCCCTCTATGTCCCACCTTGGAGTTTAAGATCCTCCGGGGAGACCCTGCTCTCGACCTCGCCTCTATCACAAGTGAGAATGGCGGGGACGAGGAGCAGGGCCTTCTCGGTGGTGGCCCCTCACCTATGGTATTCACTCCCCGGGGAAATTAGATCATCTCCATCCCTCCTTTCCTTTAGAAGGAAATTAAAAACATGGATTTGGGACCAAGCGTTTGGACAATCTGGCAGATAAATAAAGGACAACGATGACTGATAGGAATGGAAAATGTGGAATGAAGTTGCGAACGTTGAGCATAAGATTGGTTTTTTATTGACTGTAATATATATTGATTGTTTTTAACTGTTAAAACTGTTTTAATTGCTGTCTATATTTTATCTGTATTACTGTGTAGGCATCGAATTGTGCCTTTTTGTAAGCTGCCCTGATCCCCCTCGGGGGTTGAGAAGGGCGGGTAGAAGTACACGAAATAAATAATAATAATAATAATAACAATAATAATAAGGTGCAGAAGACTGCCTTGAGGGCACGCCTTTTGCCTGCCTCTGGCTTGGAGGGGTTCTCATACTCAAAAGTTCTTTAATGTCATTGTTTCGCAATCTGTTAGATACTTCAAGTACAACAGTTAATGCTTAACCAAGTGGAGTGGTAGCATTGGCCACACGCTGGAGATTTCTTTCATGCTCGGCAGTCACGGTTATGGATCCATTTTCCTCTTGAGCAGTCATAATGAGATCACTGTTCAAAATATGGGAGTGGTCATGGGTTAAAGAATTTTTGGTCACCAGAATAACAGATTTTGTGTTTAGATTAAAATCAGTTTCAGCACATTTTGTGCTTGAATAGAAAAAGTGCAGAAGACCCAATTACAAAACAAAACAGATTGTTATTTGTTTGGATAGCCTTTTAGACCAATGTAACAGTTCTAAACTTCAATTTGAGGAAAACATGTTATACTAAATTAATGCTTGCGGCAGAGTGATTATATTGTCAAATTCATATTTAATGCATCATCTGCTTTAATAAGTGCATTCCATTTATTATTTTGCCAGGCCTTGGGATGAACAGATGCTGGATGATGCTTGCAGAATGGTGCTGAAAGAAATTCTCCTCCCAAGCTCAGCTCCGGGTGGCAAAGTAGAGTTCAGAAGGACACTCATTGCTAGTTTCATCTTCAAATTTTATCTGGAGGTGCTGCAGTCACTACAGATGAGGGTAAATTTTTGCTCTCATTGTATAACTTTTGTACATATTTCTGTTTTGTTGTCAGCAGTCTGATCCATGAAGTGTTTGAAGCCAAAATGCGTGGATTTAAGATCATTTGATGTGTTTCTTTTTGCCTGGGTTTTTATCCACTAAGCACTTTGTTTGTAAAAAAAGTTCCTGAAATATATATATATGTTTCCACAAAAAAGGGGAAAAACAGCTGGTCGGTGGGAGAACTTTGTGAACAACTGAAAACAACACCTCACACCCACTCAGGTAGTAAACTATTGATAAGAAGAGAAGGAAAAACACTTTTAAGTTCGCTAAATTTACTTCCATAAAGGATGTGGTGTTTAGTGTGGCTGGGATGGGTTTCTCTGTGCCACTTTACAAAAGAACAGAAAAGAAACCTAAAGCCATCCATAAAATGAGGCACTTACATGGCCTGTCTGGGTGGGGTAGAATTCTCAGGATATGTGAGTAATTCTCTTTTTAAGGCTGTGCTGTTACACAAGTACAATGGCTAGGAAATCTACTTTGGATAATATTCATTAATGAGCCAGTATACAAATACGCTTTTTTAATTAGTTACAAAATCTGACCAATGATATATTAATTCTAAGTATAGTCTAGCTATATGCTATGAAGCTACACTTGATTACCACAATTTCACAAATTATTATTATTATTATTATTAAACTTTATTTATACTCTGCCACCATCTCCCCGAAGGGACTCGAGGTGGCTAACATGAGGCTGAGCCCAAAAATTACAATAAGGCAAGATAAATACATACTTGAACAGGTACTACAGCCCTGAGCTCATATTTTGTGTTGTAGTCAATTAGCTCCATAGCCACATAGTCAAATGAAAGGTAGGGAATGAGTAAATGCACCAAGGAGTGAACAGTAAGACCCCTGTATCCATGAATGATATGTTCCCAGTCAGACATTTACATGAAGCTGGACACCACCAAACACCATTGAATTACCTCACTTCCGATTCCAACATACCATAGTGTTACATCAGAGCACTTAGAATTTTCTAAAGAGGTGTCCTCTCAATTAATTTCCTTGGTCCTGTAATACAACTCTCTGGTAACCTCCAGGGGAAGTACGCATATCATAAAATTACCTGGAAAACTAAAGATTATTCCCCCTCCCCTGAGCTCAGGTAAGTGAAACTATGAATATGGAATCTTACTGTATTTGAACAATGGCGAGAAAGCCCAACCACATATCCAAAAGTTTTGCTCTAGCACATTTCCCCAACTGCATTCTGGCCATGTTGCTGTATATTGAAAAAGCATGAGCTGATAGTTCCTCCTTAACAGGAGTTGATATTGTAGCAACAATGAAGAGAATCCTACTCTTCTATCATGTGCTGCTATTTGGACATTGCATCCATTATTGCTAGGTACACAGCATATTTGTAGTAATGGCTATCAGTCAGAATGGCTATACTTTTCCTCCCACATGTCTCCAAATGCCAGGTACTGAGCAACATCCGCAAGAGGTTGCTATTATGCTTGTGTCTGGCTTGTAGAAGCTAGTCAGCCACTGTGGAAACAACATGCTGGACTCAGCAGGCCTTATGTTCTCATACCTGGAGAACCTGTTCAGGTCTGCAGGAGCTATTGTAGTTGGTTGTCAAATTATCTTGATTTGTATGTGGCTTTTAAAAAATATATATGATTGAATATGAATTAAATAAAGCTATTTCCTTTTTTAAAAGTGACTAAAATCATCTTCTTTCAGTGTCCTAGTCAGTGTTGCAGTATTCCAGAAAATTATGCAAGTGCCCTTGAATGCTTTCATACCAAAATGCCTCAGACTATGCAAAAGTTCCAGGTCAGTGGCATTAATTTCATAGGTCTCTATATCACGGGTGGTTTTCTTTTCAAACTATCATTTTGTGTGGGTCCTGGAAGAAAAGGATTAAACATAACAGTTTAAATAATGTACCAGTAACACTTCTTGAACATGTTGTTTACGTAATCCTCAGCTCTGGTTTTATCTGCAATGGCAGCCTCTTCATACAGACAAACGCTCCTAAGACCATATTGAAAAACCACAAAACAGCGAATCTGTGAAAAGTGATTTGCAAAGTAGCGAGGGACCACTGTAGACAAGTGGATTGCAATATAAGAAGGGATGTCACAGTTCTGGGTACAAATATTCAGCAGTTCAGAGTTCCTGAGAGCCATAGCTGAGGCTCCACTCACACAGTCGTATAATGCAGTTTCAGAATGCAGTTTAACTGAACTGAACTACAGTATATGGCAGGGGTCCTCAAACTTTTTAAACAGAGGGCCAGGTCACAGTCCCTCAAACTGTTGGAGGGCTGGATTATAATTTGGAAAAAGCATGAATGAATTCCTATGCACACTGCACATATCTTATTTGTAGTGCAAAAAATCACACTTAAAAACAATACAGTAATTAAAATGAACAATTTTAACAAATATAAGGTTATTAGTATTTCAATGGTAAGTGTGGGCCTGCTTTTGGCTGATGAGATAGGGTTGTTGTTGTTGTTGTGTGCTTTCAAGTAATTTCAGACTTAGGTTGACCCTGAGCAAGGGCCAGGTAAATGACCTTGGAGGGCCATATTCGGCCCGCAGGCCTTAGTTTGAGGACCCCTGGTATATGGCAATGTATACTCATGATGGAATTCGGCTGCATTATGAAGCTGCAGTATATGGCAGTGTAGATAGGGGCAGAAAATAGTCTATAAAAGTTTGTTCTGATTGCTGTAGCTCATTTCGGTTTTTCAGGGATATATATCAAAGAATGGACCTTACACGCCTGGACCCTAAGCACATCAGTCTTTTTCTGCAGCTTTCCAGAGAACTAAGGTCCTAGAAAATTTCACCCAAGGTCCATACTGCCTTCAATAGTTCCAATAATGAGTCTTGGTTAGCTTCAAAAATGGATGAAATCGGGTATATTCAAGATACTAGGATGTTTTCAGGGAAGCATAGCGATTGCCATCCAAATAGGTGGGAAGGTGAAGACTAAAATTATTTTCAGCCGCAAGACATTGAGGGAACCTGACAATAAAAACAGACTAAACCCACCAGACTCTCTTATTTTTGTTTGTTTGTGTGTGTTGTTCCCCATTAACTGAAAAGGATGTGGAGCCAGGGCAATCTGCCCAAGATCCAGTGGGACATCCGATGATGCACCAAGCTGGTATTAAACATGCCACAGGGGAAGCGGTGTATTGTGATGACATACGTACCATTGATGGAGAACTCTTCTTGGCTCTAGTAACCAGTACTAAAGCCCATGCGAATATTGTGTATGTACAGCTTTTTTCTAGATTTCTGGTGGTGGTAATAGTGAAACAGAAAGTTTATTTTTCTAACTATAATTGCCAGAATTCCTTTCTGTTGAGTATTTTCAGGCTGAAGGATGAGGAATGTGAGGCTGTGGGAAACAATCCTCCTTATTTAAACAGGGGCTATGTTAGCTAACTGCAGAAGGTATCAAAAGAGCTTCCTTTATGATCTTCAAGACCTGCTTTGTAATGATACTTTGTACAATTTGCAAACGTTGTCAGTTATGAATAGGGAATATATTTTTGTGGTTTTCAAGCACTGAAAGTTAACCAATTTGTATTGCTTTTCCAGATCAATAGATGTTTCTGAAGCCCTGAAGATATCAGGCGTAGTTGATATCATCTCTGTTCAGGATGTCCCAGCCCAAAATGAGTTTTACAACTACGATGTCCCAGATATTATATTTGCTAGAGAAAAAGTAAGTTTGCTGTGACTGATGGTTTTGTTTATTATTTACACTTCCATATTTTTATTATTAATCTAAACAGAAATTGATGTAAATTCACAGAATGTATACTAATGTTCAAGGTTTCATTATAAACTATCCCTTTCTCCCTGCCGCTCTTACCCTTTTATCATGTATTTTTAAATTTTGTTTTAGATGTACCTACACTGTAGAACTAGTGCAGTTTGACACTACTTTAACTGCCATGACTCATACTTTGGAATAATGGGAGTTGTGGTTTTGGGAGGTCTTAGCCTCTCAGCCAAAGAGTGCTAGAGCCTCACTACTGATTGCGGGATCCTATAATGTTAAGCAATGGCAGTTAAAGTGGTGTATAAAACTGCATTAATTCTACAGTGTAAATGCACCTTGAGATTTTATACCATTGGCCATGGCTAGCATGAGGGAGCTTCACTTTCATAATTACTTCTGCTGATGCCCCTTCCCAAAGCTTCCAAAGTGAGGTAGCACCTCAAACACACTGATGAGTAGTATTGTAACAACCCCCTGTTGGTTCTTTATTTCTCATATTGTGTTTTATTACCACAAAAGGCAATATTTTGTGAGATTTTTACTTTTGTCTCAAATGCCAAAAAATAAAATAAAAATTAATCGTCTTGGGTTTTCTTACAGGCTAAAACAGCATGACCCAGGAGAAACTATGTACAGAATAACTGACTGCAAGATTGTGCCAGTCTAGAGAAAGATAGAGTTAGTAGGAACCCTGCTGTATCCTCATAAACATACTCCTGAGCATAATGAAGTACTGAGAACAGTAACTAGTAGCAGTTACACCCGTCAGCTACACGTACCCCACAATTCACTTTGCACGCTTTAGTGCACCCAGTAGTCTGTTGTCAAGTTGCATTGATTCCACTATGCACCAACATTTGAAAAAAAAATCTGTTCCTGGTTTGAAAGTGTTATTCCTGTTTAATTGTCTGGTACTTACTTTGAAAGTAGTTGTTCTACTCCGGAAACTTCATTTTTGTGGCTGCCACAAACTATATGTTGAATTGGTTGAAACTCAATGAGATTTTAATTGAAAAACTAGAGCAAAATGTGCTGTAGGATGTCACGCCAAAACAAAGTTTTTGCAGCTTAATACACTTTTCTCATGTTTTTATGACAGAACCAATTAGGAAATGACATTTATAACCCAATAACATAAATCGTGATACATAGTATTACATGCCAGTTGTGAATTGACAGATAGATGATATTGGGCTCTTGCAGGCAGAACAAATGTGCTGCCGAGGTGCTGTACTTGTTATTGTTTTTAAAGCATGTAAACAATGTTTTTGTAATTCCAGAATAGTTGTCCTATTTTTGGGGGCATTTCCAGCATTGGCTGTAATATTTTATCCGTAGCCTTATTTTTTCCGTTCCTAGATATATAGGATATATAGGAACAAAATTATATCCCTCTGCCCGCCCTCCCTCCCTCCCTTCCTTCCTTTCCTTTCCTGAAGTTATAGCACATCAATAGATCAAACTGCACTTTTCATTATAATACTATAATACTTAGGAGAAAATATAAATCACAGAGGACATAATGTTCCCTTCATATCATTGGACCATTTCAGCAAAACATGTTCTAGCATGGTTTTTTGTTTGTTTGTTTGTTTTAAAAAAACAACTTCTAAAGAGCTCTTCTTCATATCTAAGAAATCACCGCAATCTGGTTAATATGAAGGTGACAACAACTGACAAAACATGAGGAGCTATATCACAAGAACTCATGTTTCTATACATGAGCCTGGAATTAATTTGCAGATTTATGTGGGTGTGCAGGAAAGCAGGATAACCCCTTAGAAAAATTATGGTAGTGTGTGTGTTTGAATGAAAAGAAAATGAGGTAGAGAGTAAAATACCTCTGTGCATGTATTTATGTGTAGAGAATTCATTTCACCAGTTTTCTGTGGAAGAAATCTAACTAAAAATGCATGTCATTCAATTCCCTCATTTTTCAGGTGACTTGTGTGGGCCAAATTGTCTGTGCAGTAGTTGCTGATTCAGATGTTCATGCTAAACGTGCAGCTGCAAAAGTGAAGATAGAATATGAACCACAAGAGCCTGTAATCCTGACAATAGAGGTGAAGAAGGGCCTGCTACTTTTTGTTTTGTTTTTTGACTGAATATAGCGGTTTGCCCATAGCTGTTTCAGTACTTACTACTACTTAGGCCATCTCTTGTTGTCCGAGTAGGATAGTCTTCCAGAATCAGTGTACTGGCACTGGGTCCGTAGGTGACTGTGGAGCCCTATTCTTGATCTACATCTTCTCCCGCAGTGAGGGCATTGGTTTCCAGGTGGAAGGCGGTCCTGGTTGGAGTTGCCTACGACTAAAATGTCAACAGATTTATCAGCCCCCTTTCACAGAGCCATATAACCAAAAAGATTAAGGCAGATAATCCACAATATCTGCTTTGAACTGGATTATCTGCATCTACACGATCATATAATCCAGTTCAATGTGGATTTTATACTGCTGTGTGGAAGGGACCTCAGTCACTCCATATCTCAGCTAATTCAAAGTACTTTCATAATTTTTAGGGTCTGATTCTCACTGGAGTACCACTGAAATTACCATTCTGGTTTTAGTGTATCACATGCTGAGCTTTAAATATGCATATGTTATGCATTTATATCAGAATTTATACTAGTCTAAATGTCGCAGGTTTCCCCAATGGGCAGTTCATTATATTTTTTAAAAAACATGTGGATGCTAAAGTGCTTGAAAGTGTCTTCTGCTACTGCAGGATGGAATAAAGCACAATTCATTCTTTGAACCACAACGGAAATTAAGACAAGGAAATGTGGATGAAGCATTTAAAATGGTTGATCATATTCTTGAAGGTAAGTTACAGACTACTGGTTCAATTTCTTTTTTATGAAAATGGAGGCATATGCATCCCAGCACTGTGTGGATATTGTACAATTTGCAAGCAGTCTGGGGCCCTATCTACACTGTTGTATAATCCAGTTCAAAGTAGATAATGTGAATTTTATCTGGCTGTGTAGATGGAGCCCAAGACCTTGAGGAACTTCTGTGTTGCCCTTGGTTATCCCTAAACTCAGTATCTCATTTTTGGATCTCATTTTTACTCTTTTTACAGGCCTTATTTTTACTCTAAAATGTTCTTTCCCCACCTATCTATCCCCAAAACAGAGAGCATTGTTCTCAAAAGTTACTTATGGAAAATGGCACTTTCAGTAGTATGGTGGAGCCCCCGGTGGCGCAGTGGGTTAAACCTCTGTGCTGGCAGGACTGAAGACAGACAGGTTGCAGGTTCGAATCCGGGAGAGCGCGGATGAGCTCCCTCTATCAGCTCCAGCTCCTCATGCGGGGACATGAGAGAAGCCTCCCACAAGGATGGTAACACATCAAAATATCTGGGCATCCCCTGGGCAACGTCCTTGCAGACGGCCAATTCTCTCACACCAGAAGCAATGTGCAGTTTCTCAAGTTGCTCCTGACACAACAAAAAAAAAGTAGTATGGTATGACCTATGTGGAGTAGGTGGGTGCCGAAAAATTGTCTCTTCAATACTGCCATATAAAATCCAGATTATCTACTTTGAACTCAGTTATATAGCAGTGTAGACTTATAATCCAAAAACAAGAGCTAGAGCAGGGTAAAAATACAATAAATAAATAAATGTGTAGAAGGACCCTCAGTCTTTGCTGGGGTCTGCACAAGCACTAAATTCAGGATTTGTGATAATCCATGTGTCAGAGATTATGAGAGTTACAGTCCAGCAACATCTGGAGGGTCACATATTCCCTATCCCTCTACCAAATTATGTCATACTATTACATACAAACTGGACCTACGCTATTCAGTCAAATTCTTGTAATTTCCTTATCTTTCACATGTATCGTGGCCGACATATATGCTTTTGTTTATAGTGTCTGTGCTACTATGAAAGATCCAAATGCAACTTTCATGTAAGGGTCCCTGAATATCATATATGTCTTCCTCACACCATGTCTCCTCATTTTGGAAGGAACGCATTCTGAGGTGTCCTGTCTTTGAAACAGGTGAGATCCATGTTGGGGGACAAGAGCACTTTTACATGGAAACTCAGAGTTTTCTTGCTGTGCCAAAAGGAGAGGATAAAGAAATGGATGTGTACGTGTCTTCCCAGTATCCAGCACATGTCCAGGTTAGGAGGAAATTTTGAATCGTTGATAGCATATTTCTTTCTCTTTTAAAAGCCCAGAATTCTGTAATGCAATCAATGGGTGCAGAAAGGGGGAGTATTTCTATACTGATAAAGGTATTGCTCCCAAACTGGATTTTGGAGTTTATTCCCTTTTAAAGCCCCAGTTCATCACATGGTCTCTTTGGAAATGGAATGGCAGAGTGGTGCATCCAACATGGTCCATGGCTCCTTCCATTACCTGAGACCACTAAGGTAAATAGGAGATGGCTGGTTTGTCACAATTTCTTACATGAGAGATACGTGATAGAACCAAATTGTAACATGGTTGGTACACTAATAGGACATTCGTAATAGTGCCCCATCACACTTGGGCATATAATTTCCCCTGGAGGATCTGCAAAAGTCTAAACCTCAGCACTTTTCAGCAGCACAAGGCTTCTTTTTTTAAAGATTTTGATTGGCTGCCAATGCCGATGATTGAGCACATAGGAGGGATTTAAGCATCTTTATTCGCCTGCCTGTATTACTCTTTAGTAAATGTGGCTATTTGGCACTGTAAGATAGTGTCCAAAAGAATGAGCTGTGAACCAGGCAAATGTTGGTCTCCTTGTCTTAAGCTATTGTAAAACTGGGCAGCAGGAGGAGTGGAGGTGGAGGTGACCAGGGGAATATTTGCACAGTTAAAACTTGTGCGCCAGTTGCGCCCATACCTTGGGAAGTCTGACTTGGCCATGGTAGTCCACACTCTGGTTACATCCCATATAAACTACTGCAACATGCTCCTTGTGGGGTTGCGTTTGAAGACTGTTCGGAAGCTACAAATGGAGCAGCAGCCAGGTTGCTAACAAGAGTGGCACTCAGGGAGCACACAACTCCTCTGTTGCACCAGCTCCATTGGCTGCCTGTTTGCTTCCAGGCACAATTCAAAGTGCTGGCTTTAGCCTATAAAGCCCTAAATAGTTTCGGTCCAACTTACCTATCCGAACATATCTCTCCTTATGAACCATCTAGGACGTTAAGATCTTTTGGGGAGGCCCTGCTCTTAGTCCCACCTTCCCCACAGATACGTCTGGCAGGGACGAGAGACAGGGCCTTCTCAGCGGTGGCCCCTTGACTGTGGAACGCCTTACCTAGAGATACAAGATCAACTCCCTCCCTCCTGACTTTTCGAAAAAAGGTGAAAACCTGGCTTTTTGAGCAGGTTTTAAGACTTTGTATGGTTTTTATATTTCTTATATCGTATGCTATTGTTTTTAACATAATTTTATGATTGTTTTACTTGTTATAATTCTTGAGGCATCAAATTGTTGCCAATCTGTGAACTGCTCCGAGTCGTCTCTGGGCTGAGAGGGGCAGTATATGAATATGGTAAACAAACAAACAAATAAATAAATCATTGTGTAATGGACTTCTTTAGGTTTGTGGATTGTGAATGGGCTTCCCTCCTCATTAAATGTGATTCGTTGCAGCATATATGAGACAGACCCATACACTTTGATTTGTGACAGTATAATGAAATATTTGATTTTTATGCAGGAAATGGTAGCCTCCTGTTTAGGAGTGCCAAGCAATAGAATCATGTGCCATGTGAAACGGATTGGAGGGGCCTTTGGTGGAAAACTGATGAGAACCAGCCTGCTGGCATGCATTACAGCAGTGGCTGCCAACAAGTAAGTGGGTATATACCAGTGATAGTGAAACTTTTAGAGACCAAATGTCCAAACTGGAGGGGGGGCATTTGTTGGGGGGGGGGGGAATAAGACCGATTGGCAACTATTGAGAAGATACCTCAAAGAAAAGAAGATAACATAGATAGTTTATAAAGAGAAAAGTGAGACAAGTAAATCATTCAAAAAAAGAAGGAAGGCGACATACAAACCAAATAAATTACAAATAAATAAAACTCCTAAATTTTCCCTGTAGAATGGACTGGAAGTTCACCTACTACTCTTCTCACACATGGACACTGTTTTATTTTATTGCTGCTTTGTGGGTTTTTATGAGAAATATAGTTTTTTTCTTTTTTCTTTTCTTTCTTGTCTTTCTCCCTTTCCTTTCCCTCGCCTCCTATTTCTCTTTTCTAGTTATATCTTACTATTGTAAAAATTGCCACAATAAAGATGATATATATCTATATCTATATCTTCTATATAAATAAAAATGTAATGTTCGTTTGTGGGATTAACATAACTCAAAAACCACTGGACGAATTGACACCAAATTTGGACACAATATACCTATCAGGCCAATGTGTGTCCATCACCCCTAAAAAACACACACACACAAACCCCCCCCCCCAGCAGAACAGACTTAAAAACCCAAAAAATACACCATATATACATATACACATATGCTCATATACATATACACATGCTACCACATTCATACACACACACACACACGTATATATATATATATATATATATATGCACAAGCACACATAAATATACATATATACATACACACATATACACAAATGCCCACATACATATACATATACACATGCAAACACATACACCTATACCCATGCACACACCTATACATATACACATACATGCACACATATATACACACAAATATGCATATAGACATGCACACACATACACAGTATACATACATATAAACACACAAATATATACCCATACACACACACATATATACACCCATATATACAGTATATATGCAAACACACATATATACACACACACGTATATATATGCACAAGCACACACAAATATACATATATACATGCACATATATATGTATACACAAATGCCCAAGTACATATACACATGCAAACACATACACATATACCCATGCACACACCTATACATATACACATACATGAACACATATATACACACAAATATGCATATAGACAAGTGCACACACACACATATACATACACACATAAACACACAAATATATATCCATACACATACATATACACCCAAATATACAGTATATATGCAAACATACATATATACACATATACACAAATATATACACACACATAAACGCATACATACACACACACACACACACACACACACAACACGTATACACAAACTGGGCCACAGCAACACGTGGCAGGAGATGGCTAGTATATGTATATATGTGTATGTGTGTTATGGAAGCCATGCAAATTTCATCATGGAGGGAAACAGACCCCTTTGTTACCTCATGGAAAATTCCTTTGGTCATTCCAGGGAAACTTTTATGTACCTAACCTTTCCTTATGACTTCTGTTTGCTTCAGAACAGGCCAAGCGGTTCGCTGCATTTTAGACAGAGGTACGGACATGTTAACCACTGGAGGGCGACACCCATTAACTGGCAAATATAAGGTAAGCAACATGACCGAAATGACTCGTGCTTTAATTTGTGAATTTGGTTGCAAAAGTGCATGGCAAAATGTGTGTGGCATCAGCTGTGAACTTACACTAAATGTAATGGCTCAACTAGGTGAGCTCAACTAGGATGGGATGTAATCTAAATTTAGCTTTTTTTTTTCTAAACTCACAGAGTAGCTTGAACCCTTCTTTTGACATTAGTGCTCTCACGTGTCATGTAGCTTTAATGTTCAGTGAACTCACATACAACATTCTGAATGTATTCTGTCACCCCTTGCTATATTCTTATTCAAAGATGTACCTCTCACAATGAATTAGAAAAGTGACTCTGTTGATATAAGCACCCACCTATTGCAGAGAAGTGAAGGAATGAAGGGAAAGCAAGGATAGAGCCTGATCTTTTCCTTATAGTATGTGCATGATTGCACATGATGTGTTATGGCATCAAATGGCTGCCAATTTGTGAGCTGCCTTGAGTTGCCTTCGGGCTTGAGAAAGGCGGAATAGAAATATCTTAAGTAAATAAATAAAGGCAGAAATGTGAAACTAAATATTGAAAAAAAAACTTTAAAAGGAGGGGAAGGAACATACCAGGCATGACCCAATGAGGAGTAAATATGTTCAGAATGCCGAATGAACCTTTTAGAAGTGATAAGAAAACAGTAGAAGGGAGAATGGAATGCAATATCCTGTAAGACAGCATTTCTTTTTTTGTGAAATGGCTAATCAGTTTAGTTTAGAACTTCAAAATGTAACAACAAGTTCAACATCCTCCACGACCGGCAGGGAATTGGATGCAGGATGCAGGGGCTATTCTTCTGAGGCCCCCAAGCACCCTCCCCTAATAAAGCAATTTATGCTGTAAAAAATGTAAGTGTAGAAAGAAACATTCCAATTCAGCTCCATGGTTGCTTTGAGTGTTTTCTGATGAGCTTCATTGACTCTGAAAGTGATCAACTGCACACACTTGATTGAGCCCAAAGGCCAAGAAGAGATGGCCAAGGCCAGATCTACGCTGCCTTATAATCCAGTTTCTGATTCCAGATTATGTGCTTTATATGGCAGTGTAGACTCTTATAATCCAGTTCAAAGAAGATAATCTGGAACCAGATACTGGATTATAGGGCAGTGTAGATCCAGCCCAACAACTGATGAACTGAAAGCTATTGTCAAAGGCTTTCATAGCAGGAATCACTGGGTTGAAAGTTTTTCGGGTTGTATGGCCATGTTTTAGAAGCATTCTCTCCTGATGTTTCGTCTGCATCTGTGGCAGGCATCCTCAGAGGTTGTGAGGTCTGTTGAAAAGTAAGAAAATGTTCCTAGTTTCCAACATATATAACCCAATTTTCCTAGTTTCCCTCTTTTCCTGGTAGGTACCTGAAGGACATGCATTTTGGAACAGGCTCTTGTGTGCAGTCAAGGAAGATCATTAGAGCAGTGTTTCTCAACCTGGGGGTCGGGACCACTGGAGGGGTCGCGAGGGGGTGTCAGAGGGGTCACCAGAGACCACCAGAAAACACAGTATTTTCTGTTGGTTACGGGGGTTCTATGTGGGAAGTTTGGCTCAATTTAATCATTGGTAGGGTTCAGAATGCTCTTTGATTGTAGGTGAACTATAAATCCCAACAATTACAACTCCCAAATGTCAAGGTCTATTTCCCCCCAAACTCCCCAGTGTTTACATTTGGGCATATTGAGAATTCATGTCAAGTTTGGTCCAGATCCATCATTGTTTGAGTCCATAGTGCTCTCTGGATGTAGGTGAACTACAACCCCCAAACTCAAGGTCAATGCCCACCAAACCCTTCCAGGAGTTTCTGTTGATCATGGATGTTCTGTGTGCCTAGTTTGATTCAATTCCATCATTGGAGTTCAGAATGCTCTTTGACTGTAGGTAAACTAGAAATCCCAGCAACTACAACTCCCACAGGACAAAATCAATACCCTCCCCCAATCCCACCAGTATTCAAATTTGGGTGTATTGGGTATTTGTGCCAAATTTGGTCCAGTGAATAAAATACATCCTGAATATCAGATATTTACATTGCTATTCATAACAGCAGCAAAATGACAATTAAGAAGTAGCAATGAAACTAATTTTATGGTTGGGGGTCACCATAACATGGGGAAGCGTATTAAGGGGTCGTGGCATTAGGAAGGTTGAGAACCACTGCATTAGAGCATGTCTTTTTAAAGTCACATATCTCTCCCCCCCCCCCCAGCACCTTAAATCATGATCTATAAAATATATTCTGAACTCATGTTTATTTTTGTGCTCTCTTTTTTACCATTGCATATTGTTGTTGTTTAAAAGATGCATATTCTCTTCATCAAAATGTCAGTGCAACTTTTAAATAAGTACTCAAAAGTGACCTGTGCTTCAACTCATCTGACTCAGGTTGGCTTCATGAATAATGGCAAAATACTGGCCTTAGACTTCGATGCATACGTTGATGGAGGATGCACCCCTGATGAATCAATTCTGGTATGTGTTTTCAGGTTGCAACATTGTTCTGAACACAGTGGCCATGATTTGAGGGATGTGGGCATGGAAGGCGGGGGGGGGGAGGGGGGATTCCGGACATTGTTGCTAAAAGTGACAACTTTCGGACACTTTGATATTAAATAAAAGACTAGAAATAATAAAAACAACTTGTCAAAAGGCCCTTAGACATATGTGCCAGACAAATGGGTCAGGTAGACATATGGGCCAGAATGTGGTTGGAATACTATTTACACTGGAGTATATCAAGCTGAACTGACACACTCTGGTTACCAGCCCCAAACATTAGGGTTTTGTTAAGAGCATTAATATCAAATACTTAGTGGAGCCCCCGGTGGCACAGTGGGTTGAACCCCTGTGCCGGCAGGACTGAAGACCGACAGGTCGCAGGTTCGAATCCAGGGAGAGTGCGGATGAGCTCCCTCTATCAACTCCAGCTCCTCATGCGGGGACATGAGAGAAGCCCCCCACAAGGATGATAAAAACATCAAAACATCCGGGCGTCCCCTGGGCAATGTCCTTGCAGACAGCCAATTCTCTCACACCAGAAGCGACTTGCAGTTTCTCAAGTCGCTCCTGACACGACAAAAAAAAATCAAATACGTAGTCAAAATGTTGAAAACTTACATGGTTTGGACAATTTAGACTTGTACTCAAATTCTTATTTTTACACCCCCCCCCCCCCAGGTCTGAATTTACTTCATTGATATTGACACTCATAATCAGTGTCTCAATTCCAGTCTTGACGTTGATTCTGCTGCACATTTACATCTGTGCAATCCTTCTCTTTGTTTACTCCCCATTTGCATTTCTACACATTGTATCCTCACAAAAGGCATGATGATGATAATAATAATAATAATAATAATAATAATAATAATAATAAAAACTGGAAAAGCTGACACAATATGAGGATTTAAAGATCGAACTGCAAAGACTCTGGCACAAGCCAGGAAATGTGGTCCCAGTGGTGATCGGCACACTGAGTGCAGTGCCTAAAGACCTTGGCCTGCACTTAAACACAACCGGTGCTGACAAAATTACCATTTGCTACCTGCAGAAGGCCACCTTACTGGGATCTGCACGCATTATTGACCGATACATCACACAGTCCTAGACACTTGGGAAGTGTCCGACATGTGATCCAATACAACAGCCAGCATAGTGATCTTGTCTGCTGTGGACTCATCTTGTTGTGTTTCAAATAATAATAATAATAATAATAATAATAATAATAATAATAATAATAATAATAATAATAATAATGTGTTACCCCTCTGGTCTATCCCATTTCCCATCATACATGACAAATACAACACTAAATTAAATGGAGTTACTTAAGACAGAAGGTGGAAATCAATCCTATGATTAGAAGATGGATTACCTTTTGATGTTTCCATAATCAAGGTTACAGAGATGCTGCTCCTAAAAAATGACAATGCTTACAAGATACCAAATATCCGGTCTTCGTCCCGTGCCTGCAAGACAAACAAGCCAAGCAACGGCGCTTTCCGGGGCTTTGGTTTCCCACAAGCTGGATTGGTTACTGAGAGCTGGATAACACGTGTTGCAGCCAGATGTGGTTTACCACCAGAGCAGGTATTGTAGGGAAGCAAGGGGAGAAGTGATTCTAAAAGTAATATGTGCAAATAAGAAAGAAGTACTGCCTTGAAAAGGAATTTCATGGTCACGGTGTGGAAGCATGAACACTGGGCATGGACTCCAGAGTGAAATCCTGTGAATTATCAGGAGGATAAGACCTGTGTGGAGACAGAGGCCCCTTTTACACAGCTGAATAAAATCCCACATTACTGTGTCTGCGTTGAACTGGGATATATGGCAGTGTGGACTCAGATAATCCAGTTCAAAGCAGATACTGTGGGAATTTCTGCCTTGGTATTCTGGGATATAGGGCTGTGTGGAAGGGTCCAGAGAGAACAATCTCCAAAGGGTCAAATTTTGGAGGCCTGAGATAAAAGAAGAGTCTGTCCCAAAATATGTCACAGATTTGGTAATATTAATTGTCCTGAAGCCTAGTCATAGAAGATGTGTAAGAGATTAGAATTTTTCTTAGTGGAAGGTAACTTGAGACTTTTAATTAAAACTATCTTGTAAGGGAAGAGGGCATGTATTTTGATATTAACTCCCAACATGGACCTTTCCATTAAATAAAGGCTGCATTCTCTGATTTAGAGAAGAATAACTGATTCTTGGGCTATCTTTAGACCCCTTCCACACTACCCCTATACCCCAGATTCTCATCCCAGATTATCTGGCAATGGAGACGTATATAATCCAGTGTAAAGCAGATAATCTGGGATCAGATCTTGGGATATCGGGGCAGTATAGAAGAGGCCTTAGAGGAATGTGGTTCTCTATATTTGAAACAAAATTTATGGCTATGGCACAGATGGTGGTCTGAGGACATCAGAAGTAGATGAAAGCAAAGTAGGTCCTACAAGCAATGGTGCCAACATTCATTGCAAAATTTGAGCCCCAAGCAAGAGCAACCCTAAGGACTCCCTTTTGAGGTGGTGTTTGCTTATTATTTTCACAAATAAAGAATATTAACCTACTTAACAAATGAAATTCATCAGAAATTAGTTTTAATGCTTATAGAATGTATGCCTAAGAATTAAAAGTTTGTTTGTGCATTTTATTATTAGTTTGTATGTTTACTATATTATGTAGTATATTTTTAAAAAATAATTTTTTATTTACCACAAAAGAGATTTTATATACTGTACATAAAAAGAGGTGGAACAATATGATAAAAGAAAAGTAGAAAATAAAGTTGTATAGATCTTAACAAGGACTACAACTACAATAGAAAAAAAATGAGTCTCTTTAAACTTCCATTCTAAGCCTCTGTGGATTATAAGTTTCTTTGTGTATATATAAAAAATAAGAATTTTAGTAAAGAAAATTACGATGAAGATAGCACCAATTTGTATTATCACATGATATCCCTGTTTTTATCTTTTTCATATTCTTCTAAAAGCTTCCAATTTGTCTGTTTTATTGGGCTACCCGAGATCTTTTTCATAAAAAAGGTTAATTTGTCCATATCTTTGATTTCTCTTAATTTACTTATCTAATTGTTTATGTGCGGTATCTCTTCAAGTTTCCAGAGTTTCACAGTATAATTTAGAAATCATGATACAATGTATATTTTCTTGATTTTTGAAAAGGTCATTGCAGATGATAATATTTATTCAAACCCTTTATCTTTCAGGTCAGGGAAATGAATATGTACAAAGAAAACGATCTGATACCTTGTGGACAAGAACTCCAGCCAGAAAACCTCCACAGATGCTGGAATGAGTGCATGGAGAAGTCTGAGTATCACACCAGAAAAGAAGCTGTGGATGAATTCAACAGAAATAATTATTGGAAGAAAAAAGGCATTGCCATTATTCCCTTGAAGTTCCCAGTGGGTTTTGCGGTACGCTTCTTTGGTCAGGTCAGTTTGGAAATGTCCACAAATGTACTTACTGCTCATGCTGCTTTGTACATCACTGCTTCCTGATACTGTATATATCTATGTGTCAGATCTTTGATAAGTGTCAGTAAAATTCGACCTCAGAGCAACTGCTAGGAGCCATGCAGTAAAACAGAGTGCACCATCTTCCATCAGCTTCAAAGCCTTGAAGCAGCATGTTTACTTAGTTGCTTTCTAATAGCTAAATAGTCTGATCTGGCCACGGTGGTCCACGCTCTTGTCACATCCCGGTTGGATTACTGCAACGCACTCTACGTGGGGTTGCCTTTGAAGACTGCTTGGAAACTTCAACTAGTCCAGCGAGAAGCAGCCAGATTGCTCACCGGAGCGGCGTACAGGGAGCATACCACCCCCCTGTTGCGTCAGCTCCACTGGCTGCCGATCCAATTCCGAGCACAATTCAAAGTGCTGGTTTTGACCTACAAAACCCTATACGGTTCCGGCCCAGTGTATTTGTCCGAACGGATCTCCCTCTACATCCCACCTCGAAGTTTAAGATCTTCTGGGGAGGCCCTGCTCTCAACCCCGCCACTCTCACAAGTGAGGTTGGCGGGGACGAGGAGCAGGGCCTTCTCGGTGGTGGCCCCCCACATGTGGAACTCACTCCCAGGGGAGATTAGATCGACGACTTCCCTTCTGGCATTCAGGAAAAAACTGAAGACCTGGGTTTGGGACAAAGCCTTTGGACACACTGGCAACTAAATTAAGGATCTGACGATAGACAAGGACAAATGGAATGGAATGGATATATGGACTCTGAACCTGAGCATGAGATTGTTTTAATATTTTATTATGTATTGATGTTTTAATTTTAACTGTTGAATTGCTTTTTTGTACTTTGTATTGCTGTCAATTGATTTAGGCATCTAATTGTGCCTCCTCTGTAAGCCGCCCTGAGTCCCCCCCGGGGTGAGAAGGGCGGGGTATAAGTAGATGAAATAAAATAAATAAATAAATAAATAAAATAAACAACAGAACATAACTATGTACAAGAGAAATCACAAACTCGTCTTGCTCGTTCCCCATCATGGCTGGAAGAGAATGCCCAGCAGTCCATTATCTCAAGTCCACGTCATTGGAATTTGTGACATATACTGGAACTGTTCACAGTTCACGCCCTAGGCAGTGAATCACATCTATGCCTTTAACCTTTGCACAGCATGCCATTCTAACCGGACACAGACAGAGATTTAAAACCTATAAACTATATTTCACCCTAGTTAAACCTTTATACTGATAATAAGTTCAAATTTAAAGGAGAACGAAAAGGTGGTGAGCTCCTATGACATCGCAGATTGTTGTTTGTTCTGGTGAGAAACATCCCTTGTTGCTATGTGTGGTTAAGCACAGGCAATGTCAGGCAATCACAAATTTCTGCTCTAAACCAAAAAGATCTTCTTTAAAAAGCTACTAATCCACTCTTACAGCCATCTCCAATTTCTGTTTGCCAGATTTGGGAGGAGGGAACTGACAAAACAAGCTTTGAATATTCCCTTCCTTAAAAGACCCTATAACGGCACTCCATGCAGTCCTGCCGGCCACATGACCTTGGAGGTGTCTACGGACAACGCCAGCTCTTCGGCTTAGAAATGGAGATGAACACCACCCCCCAGAGTTGGACACGACTGAGCTTCATGTCAGGGGAAAACATTTACCTTTGCCTTAAAAAACCCTATGAAATTCATAGGATTGTCATAAGTTGACAATGACTTGAAGGCACACACACACACCACTTGAGGGCAGCAGTCTGATGTAAGGAGTGCAGGGAAAATTGCATGAGACACATAGCTCTATTCCCCGCTGCTTCTTCTTCCCATGCCCGGAAGCAGCATTTTCACTCTGTCCCTGGTGTATACTGTTGTGTGGCACACCAGACTTGTTTTGTTCAAGAACAGTTTTGCTTTATAGCATTTGAATTTTAGGTATTAATTTAAAGAAAAAAATTCTAATTCTAGGTTTGTAAAAATAATTTGCCCAGATAGACTTCTGTTGATTTAATGCAGTGTTTCTCAACCTGTGGGTCAGGACCTCGTGGGGGTGGTCACGAGGGGGTTTCAGAGGGGTTGCCAAAGACCATCAGAAAATATATATTTCTGGTGGTCTTCAGAACCCCTTTGGCAGAGAAGACTGAAGGTCTCTTCAGCTGTCCTTATCTTTCTTTTTGGAAACAGACTTCAAATCCTCCCACCAAAAGCCCTCCTCTGCTGTGATTGGCCTCTCAGACAAGGAGAGGGCTGTTTCTGATACTCCAAGCAGGGAGGAAGAGCAGGCGTGCTTGACACATGGCAGCGTGGTGTACATGTGTGGGTGAGGGATAGCGTGCCAGGTTGAAGGGAGGCTCATGGCAGTGAGTCCCTTCAAGGCATGGGGGTTCTATGTGGGAAGTTTAGCCCAATTCTATCATTGGTGGTGTTCAGAATGCTCTTAGATGGGAGGTGAACTATAAATCCCAGCAACTACAACTCCCAAATGTAAAGGTCTGTTTTCTCCAAACTCCACCAGTGTTTACATTTGGGCAAATTGAATATTTGTGCCAAGTTTGGTCCAGATCTATCATTGTTTGAGTCGACAGTGATGTCTGGATGTAGGTGAACTACAACTCCAAAACTCAAGGTCACCAAACCCTTCCAGTATTTTCTGTTGGTCAGGGGAGTTTTGTGTGCCAAGATTGGTTCAGTTCCATTGTTGGTGGAGTCCAGAATGCTCTTTGATTGTAAGTGAACTATAAATTCCAGCAACTACAGCTCCCAAATGACAAAATCGAACATCACCCTCCAACCCCACCAGTATTCAGATTTGGGCGTATCAGGCATTTTTGCCAAATGAAAATACATTCTGAATATCAGATATTTACATTAAGATTCATAACAGAAGCAAAATTACAGTTATAAAGTAGCAACAAAAATAATTTTATGGTTGAGGATCACCATAACATGAGGAACTGTATTAAGGGGTCACGGCATTAGGAAGGTTGAAAAACACTGATTTAATGCAGTGCGTAGAGTCAGGTTCTCATTGTTACTGCTATTTTCTAGGCGGCTGCTCTGGTTCATTTGTATACAGATGGGTCTCTGCTTCTGACTCACGGAGGTGTAGAAATGGGGCAAGGGCTGCACACCAAGATGATCCAGGTACTGAGATGATTGTGTCCATTATGGTTTTGAGAATGTATGTGTGTATTGAGCTCATTTTAATTGGCCGTGTAGAGTTAGCCTTTGAAAACAATGGGAGTTAAATAAGTGAACAATGAATGTCCCATTCATTCAGTTGCTGTACTGTAGTTTATTTATTTATTTATTTATTTATTTACGGCGCTTATATGCCGCCCTTCTCACCCCGAAGGGGACTCAGAGCGGCTTACAATATATATTTTCATACAATATATTATATTATTAGCAAAGTACAATATCAGTATATATTACTATATTGCACTATACCATTATATTGTAATATTATTAGTAATATTACATGTAATTAAATATATAATTATAATTGCGACTAACATTTGGATTTAGCCCAATGAGATTATTTCCTCTTTTACTTTCTTACTTACAGTCTTCAGCTTTCTTTGACAAGCTTGGAGGGAAAACAAGGGTTGTATATCAATCTTTTTCAACTAAACCACTGGCTATTATTAGTCATCTGAATCCAGGGAGCTACATTCTAACATGATGAAGGTTCTCTTACAATCTGTTTCCTTGATCCCCCTTTTTTTCTTAAGTAAGCCAAGACAGTGCATTTTACAAATAGCACGTTTTGACACCTGACTTCTCTTAATGGGCTACAGATTCCCAGGAAGCATTAAGGAGTGCTTTCTAGTAACTCATAGTCTAGAAAACCGCTTCTTAAACTATGGGTCCTGACCCCAAATGGAGTCCCCTTAGGTCAATGCTGGGATCACGAAAAAATTGACAAAAGCAAAAGGTTTCTGAATGCCACCTAGTGACTATTTTAGACATTTACATGTATCTGTTAGCAACAATGGGCAGTGTTTACAGTGGACTGCAGAAAATGCTTTAGCTGTACTCCACAAAAGAAAAAAACAGCCTTGCAAATGCTGATTTATTACCATTGTTTTTTAAATTTTTATCCTTGTTTTTATTATTTTTATTATTATTTTATTTCTTACTCGCCTCTCCTCATAGTGGATTACAGCATTGCTAAAACGCATAATCAAAACACATAATCATTTAAAAACACTCCCTAAAATACATATATTAAAATGTATTTCCATAAAATACATATTAAATACACAAAACAAAAGCTAGACATAGAGTAGAAGTTTTAAATTCCTCATTAAAACTGTTTGGGTAGGCTTGTCGGAAGAGATAGATCTTCACTTATGTCTTAAATTCTGACAACGGATCTATATACTTATATACCAGGGATAATGTGAAAATTTCTTAGGCAGGAAGCGGTCATGAGTAGAAAGCCCTGGACCATTTCCAGAGGCAGGAGTCCTCATTTTAGGAAATAAAATGCACTGTCTGGCTTTTCACAACAAGTTTTCCTAGAAGTGAAAAATGCAAACTGTGGAAAAACAAAGAGCTACAAGTGGACAATATCATTGTCTGACGCACACTCAAAAAATTAAGTGAATGAGGCTGAGCAACAGAGTGATCACACAATAAATAAAGAAGTTGTCAACTCCTGATATGTATAGGAGGAAACAGGCTATTACTTCTTCACCATCATGTATGTTAACCATTGTAAACAACCTAAAGCTAAGCTCCATTTTTCCAGCACTGTAGCCCCCCTTGTGACTATATTCTGATTCAGTTATTGAAAATAGAAGTATCCCAGGGCCCTTCCAAGCAGGCCCTATATCTCAGGATCTAATCCCAGGTTTTCTGTTTTAATCTGGATTGGGTTGTTGTAGGTTTTTTCGGGCTATATGGCCATGGTCTAGAGGCATTCTCTCCTGACGTTTTGCCTGCATCTATGGCAAGCATCCTCAGAGGTAGTGAGGTCTGTTGGAACTAGGAAAAAGGGTTTATATATCTGTGGAATGACCAAGGTGAGACAAAGGACTCTTGTCTGCTGGAGCTAGGTGTGAATGTTTCAACTGACCACCTTGATTAGCATATAATGGCTTGACAGTGCCTAGAGCAAACTTTTGTTGAGAGGTGATTAGATGTCCTTGTTTGTTTCCTCTCTGTTGTTATGTGGTTGTAATTTTAGAGTTTTTTAATACTGGTAGCCAGATTTTGTTCATTTTCATGGTTTCCTCCTTTCTGTTGAAATTGTACCACCAAATGCAGCGCCCAAACACGAATCAAGGAACATGAAGGGCACTGCAGACTACTTCAACCAGAGAAATCAGCCATAGCAGAGCACCCGATGAACCAACCTGGACACAGCATATTATTTGAGAACACAGAAGTGCTGGACCACTCTCACAACCACCATGTCAGACTACACAGAGAAGCCATTGAAATCCACAAGCATGTGGACAATTTCAACAGAAAGGAGGAAACCATGAAAATGAACAAAATCTGGCTACCAGTATTAAAAAACTCTAAAATTACAACAGCAAAACAACAGAGGAAACAATCAGGGACATCTAATCACCTCTCAACAAAAGTTTGCTCCAGGCACAGTCAGGCCATTGTATGCTAATCAAGGTGGTCAGTTGAAACATTAACACCTAGCTCCAGCAGACAAGAGTCCTTTGTCTCACCCTGGTCATTCCACAGATATATAAACCCTTCTTCCTAGTTCCAACAGACCTCACTACCTCTGAGGATGCTTGCCTTAGTTGCAGGCGAAATGTCAGGAGAGAATGCCTCTAGACCATGGCCATATAGCTCGAAAAAACCTACAACAACCCAGTGATTCTGGTCATGAAAGCCTTTGACAATACATTAATCTGGATTATTAGAGTCCTCACTTCAAAATAATCTGGGATAAACAGAAAACCCGGGATCAGATACTGGGATATAGGGTCTGTCTGGAAGGGCCTCCAGGCAACATAATCTTTTGAATGACTTTCTAAATGTTACATCTGCAGGCAAAAACTTGGAATATTAATGCTTTTTCTTCACATCACCCTCATCAAAATTTACAAGATACTGTACTAAATCAGAGCATTAATGTATTTGTTTCTTTTTCTAGGTTGCTAGCAGAGAATTAAAAATGCCAGTATCAAATATTCACATCTGTGAAACAAGCACAACAACTGTACCTAATACAATTGGTTCAGTAGGTTCTCAGGGAACTGATGTCAATGGAATGGCAGTGAAGGTAAAGTGTGGTATTCATATTCTATCCCTAGATTAGGTTCCAACCTATTGACATATATTCACAAAAGAAATAATGGTGATTCACTGTGCCCTTTTTCTGAAAGAACACTATAGAAACTGTTATAAAGGGTTTTATTCATATCTTACTTCACAAGGAATAGCACCAGCTTCATACAGTAAATGTTAGTGTTTGGGAGAAACTCTTTGTGATTTCAACAGGCTTTTACTTTCAGATAAGTGTGTTTAGAATTAGAAAATGTTGGCATGTTGGCATCATTTTCTAATTCTAAACATGCTTATTGTGTTTAGAATTAGACATGCCACGTCTTAAATCAAGAAATAGCTTCCTAAGATCTACAGAGATACTCGCAGGAACACCTCAGCATGCAAGAGCCCAAAAGTGGCAGAAACTCAATCAGTGGTTGATACTGAATGAGAGACTCCCTCCTGGGCACACAGAAGATTGTGCGACCTGGAAGGCAGTGAACAGGCTTCGCTCTGGCACCACGAGATGCAGAGCCAACCTTAAGAAATGGAGCTACAAAGTGGAGTCCATGACATGCGAGTGTGGAGAAGAACAAACCACAGACCACAATTAATACAATGCAACCTGAGCCCTGCCACATGTACAGTGGAGGACCACACAGTGGCGTCAGAGGCACCCCAAGTAGCCAGCTTCTGGTCAAAGGAAATTTAATATAATGCCAAGTTTTTAACTTTGTGTTTTTAAATACATTATAGCTGTTCCCTCAATTTGCTTCTGACACAATAAATAAAATTAGAAAATGCAAAAGCAGAGTCCTTATTAACATATATTTTCTCTTAATCTAGTATTTCTAATATAATTAGTTGAGAAAAATGTGTTGTGTTTAGGTGAGAAGCTATAAATTTGAGTTAAAATCAAGTACAGTCACCTATAAAATCAAGTACAGACTTCCACATTTGTTGGTTTAATTTTTTCAGTTTGACTGTAGAGTTGCGTTGGAAGATGTAGTTTTCTAGAGGTCTTTTTCTCAGGTTAAAAAGAAAGCTTTAATGTATGTTCCTCCCATTTTGTGGTTGAAAATTAAAACCTTGAGATGCAGAGAGTTCTTCTGGACTATGTGCCATTCATATGGAGTGCAGAGGGGAGGCCTGGTCTCTGAGAGGTCCCCTCTATCTTGTGGGGTTCCTCAGGGGGCCATTCTCTCCCCTCTGTTGGTTAACATCTAAATGCAACCACTTGCTCAGCTGGTTCGAGGTTTTGGGTTTGAGTGTTACCAGTACGCTGATGACACTCAACTTGTGCTGAAGATGGAAGGCCAACCAGACTCTGTACCCGATTGTTTCCATCAGTGCCTCGAGGCCATTACTGGATGGCTGCGTGCCAATAGGTTGAGGGTAAATCCAGCAAAGACGGAGATCCTATGGCTGGGTCAACCGGGCAGTGGGGATATCCAGCTGCCTACCCTGGATGGCGAGGCGCTACGCCCGTCGTCATTGGTAAAAAGTCTGGGAGTCCTTTTGGACCCTCTGCTGACGATGGAGGCCCAGGTCTCCGCCGTTAGCAGAACCACCTTTTTTCATCTGCGGCAGGCTAGACAGCTGGCCCCCTACTTGTCCAGGGACGACCTAGCTACGGTGATACAGGCTACGGTCATTTCAAGACTGGACTACTGTAACGGCCTCTACATTGGCCTTCCTCTATCGGTGATCCGGAAGCTCAAGTTGGTACAAAATGCAGCTGCTCGGCTTCTTGCGGGAATTCCGATGAGATGCCACATAACACCAATCTTACTGCAGCTGCACTGGTTACCAAATGAGCACCTGATCACTTTCAAAGTGATGGAACTCACCTTTAAGGCCTTGAATGGTCTGGGGACGATGTACCTGAGGGACCGCCTCACCCCCTACTAACCCCAGAGATCCCTCAATTCTGAGAACCAAGATCTATTGGAAATTCCCAGTGTCAAGTCCTTGCATCTAACAGCAACCAGATGCAGAGCCTTTACAGCAGTGGCACCATCACTCTGGAATACTCTGCCACCTGAAATCCATGCCTTGCAGGACTTACCAGCTTTCCGCAGGGCATGTAAGACATATCTGTTTTGACGGGCCTTTGATCTTTGATTGCTGTTTTTAAATTGTTTTAAATTGTTCTTAAATTGTGTTCAATTTTAGCCTGTTCTTGTAAGCCGCTCCGAGCCCTAGGGGAGTGGCGGCATATAAATTCAAATAATAAATAAATAAATAAAAATATGGAGTGTAGAGATTCTGCTACAATAAACTTGAAAACATAACTTTTTAAATTATGGTTCCTAGAATTTCCCACCAGCATGGTCAATGAGATTTGTAATCCAAAATTATTTCCCCCAGCTCTGGCCAATGCTGTCAATTAATATATACTGATATCTGCAAAAAGCAGAAGAATCTGTCTAGTGTTTTAAGTAAAGATTTTTCTTTTCTTCTCTATATTCTTCCTGATTGCACCAGGATGCCTGCCAGATCCTTTTGAAACGCCTAGAACCCATAATTACTCGGAACCCTAAGGGCACCTGGAAAGAATGGGTAAGGGATCTCGTATGTTTAAAATAATTAATGGTGATAGCAGTTGAAACTCGAATGGCATTTAGAACCACTTGCTCTGTAGTAGAAGATTCCTCATGCAATACTTTAAAGCCAGGACACAAATACTTAGTTGTGTTTACATCTGGATGTTTATAATATTTATAATACATTTGATTTGCAGTGATATGAAAGAGATTATTTTATTTCCAACCACTCCTGCTTCCTATATGCTACATTCCACAACTCCTCTCAGACATAACATAAACTTATTGAAGAGGGAGAGAGTAGAAGTCAATTTCATCAAAATAGCATTCATATTCACTGACTGATGTCAGTTGGCTTTTAAAAAATATGAGTTGTGTGGGAGGCCAAAAAGCCTTTTCAGCCTAACTCTTCCCAGAAAATCTTCCTGTCAGTATGATCAGAAATTTGACATAAGCCATAGCTTTGGATGCCCATGCCAGCCTCCAAACTGTATTGTTGATTCCTCCCCTAGTTACACTAAGCAACCCAGTAATATTATCTCTGTACAGATGTAATCCCCCCACCACAATTGTTGACTTTCACAACACACTGAGGATGATGTGGTAGCGGCATTATGCATTTCCCCCATTCATGCATATGAACTGTAAATGCATATGAACTGTAAATGAATTTCAGTTTTAGTTTTTGATCCCATCTCCAAGATATCTCATTATCAGAATGTGCATATAGAAGTATTCCAAAATTGGAAGAAAACCTTTCTGATCCCAAAGGGTCACTGAACATGTGTAGTTATGTGCTTGAGTCGTATTATCATATTAGCACAATCAGGCATGTAGCGGGGGGGGGGGGGGGGGGGTGGGGGGCTTCGCCCCCCCCCCCCCCGAAATTCTCATGGTGGTCCGCGAGAAAGGCCTTACTGGTACATTATTTAAACTGTTATGTTTATTCATATCATGATCTGATCACCATGCTCAATACATCCCATATGCATGGGGGCATTGGGATAATGATACAAAAAGTTTGCTAGGGTATCCTCAGCCTCCCCCCTTATTAATCAAGCTCAACCCCCTCCCCCTGAATCAAACTCAGCACCCCCGAATCAAAATCCTGGCTACGGGCTTGAGCACAATCCTATTAGCATGCAATATTGTATGATTTGTATATAGGAATTGAATTGTACGCATGTAGGAATTATACCAACTATGCTTATTTCTTTTACAGGCTAAAGCAGCTTTTGAGGAGAGTATTAGCCTGTCTGCTACAGGTTACTTCAGGTACTCAAGATTAGCATTATAAAAAAAAAAGGTCAAAAAGCATTTTGCTGCATGGCTGAGCATGTGAGCTCAATAATGAATAATATTTTTAGGTAATGCATATAATAAATATTTTGAGTGATTATTTGTGCTTCTCAAACACAAAGAGTGAAGGCCATATTTTTACAGGGAAAATTGATTTCGAGCATGCCTTCACAAAAGGGACCAAACTAATGAAGAGCTAGAGAAAGGAAAGGAAGATTCCAGCTCTTGCAGCTCCTTCCTATGTCATGTATTCCAGAAAGTCAAAACATCTTTCAAAGAGGTTTCTCTGGTATCACCCTGACCAGCATTCCATTAATGGCAGCAATGGATTCAAATTTCATTGAGGAAAATTGAGAAATGGAAACCATGTTCAGAAGCTTATAGAACAGGCATGAGCAAACTTTGGCCTTCCAGTTGTTTTGGACCTCAACTCCTAACAACCTACAGGCTGTGAGGAGTTGTGGGAGTTGAAGTCCAAAACACCCGGAGGGCCGAAGTTTGCCCATGCCTGTTATAGAAGAATGCTGTAGAACTTTTTCAAACTCAATGACTATACATGCACATTCTTTCCATACTATTATCTAGCATACAAATGCTGTCATGCAAGCATACATCTTATGTATTGCAAATTGGATAGATCTATTAAAAGATCCCAGTCTATGTTGAGCCCACTGCTCCCACAATGCAATTATACACACACACACACACACAAGCCGTCCCCTGCTATGCGTTGCTGTGGCCCAGTCTGGTGATCTGGAAAATAAAGTAATGAGAAAGTGTTGGTTTCAAATACATGTAATTTCTTTATGCTTGTGGGTAAACAGTATTTCTTGCTATTTCTTTGTCAGTGTTAATGTGGAGATTGTCTACACCGTTACTAATTGTTCTTCTTTAGGGGTCCCTTTTAAATCTATGATACTATATCTCTGTGTGTGTGAATCATATCTATCTATCTGTATCTATGGCTGTATGGCTCTTTTTCAGGAGGGCTTTGATTGCGTTTTCTTGCCCTGGTGAAGGGAGTTGGACTGGATTGCCTTAAGTATTTTCTGTCGGTCATGGGGCTTCTGTGTGGGGAGTTTGCCCCAATTCTGTCGTTGGTGGGGTTCAGAATGCTCTTTGATTGTAGGTGAACTATAAATCCCAGTAACTACAACTCCCAAATGTCAAGGTCTATTTTCCCCAGACTCCATCTGTGTTCATATTTGGGCATGTAGAATATTTGTACCAATTTTGGTCCAGATCCATCATTGAACTATAAATCCCAGTAACTACAACCCCCAAATGTCAAGGTCCATTTCCTCCAAACTCATTTGTGTTCGTATTTGGGCATATGGAATGTTCGTGCCAAGTTTGGTCCAGATCCATCCACAGCGCTCTCTGGATGGAGGTGAACTACAACTCCCAAACTCAAGGTCAATACCCACCAAACCCTTCTAGTGTTTTCTGTTGGTCATGGGAGTCCTGTATGCCACGTTTGGTTCAATTCCATCATTGGTGGAGTTCAGAATGCTCTTTGATTGTAGGTGAATTATAAATCCCAGCAACGACAACTTCCAAATGACAAAATGAATTTTTTTTAGTGATGGTCACTCCTTGGGTTAGGTAGGTGTCTTGTGGCCAAATTTGGCGACAATTCGTCCAGTAGTTTTTGAGTTATGTTAATCCCACAAATGAACATTACATTTACACACACACACACACACACTGTACTAACTGAGGGTCCAATTAATTTTTAAGAGACTTTGTTTTCCTTAACGATTCATTTCCACAGAAACTATCATTGCATATTTTAACACAAGTCACTATGACTTCTTTCAGAGGTTATGAAGCAAACATGGACTGGGAAAAAGGGGAAAACCACCCATTTGAATATTTTGTTTATGGAGCCGCCTGCTCAGAAGTTGAAATCGACTGCCTGACAGGAGATCACAAGGTAACTGGTTTATGGCAGCCCTTAGGAGTGGAGTAGAATGCAAGCTCAGCGGAGTCTCTGGATGGCTTGTTTAAGACTTTCATGTGCTTTGAATGCCATTGTATGCATAGTATTTTTAAATCACCCTGGTCTCTACAACGTAATTAAAATTGGATTGAAATCTTACACTGATAGTGAGAATACGGCACAACCAGTTTGTCATGACAATTGAATTTAGCTTTTTCTGATGTCTCAAGAGCTTTCTTTAGCTACCAAATGGACGACAACTATGAGAGGCAGGAAGTATTTTCCATTCTTTTTATCATACACAGCCATCTACACCTTTCCCAATTCTTAGTTTTTCTCCGCAGAAAACCAGAACTGTTGTAATCCAGAGGAATCAAAAGCATGTGGTGAGAATAGGATTTAAAAAAAACAGCCTAAGAGACTCAGTAACACCTAGAACAATAAAAACCTATGAATGATCGTTGTATGTGTGGTTAATTTCCCCTCCAATTTAATCCACTTTGTCCTTCATTGACAGAACATCAGGACAGATATTGTTATCGATGGTGGATGTAGCATCAATCCTGCAGTGGATATAGGTCAGGTATGTCTCTAACCATTTCTTCTTATACTTTTTTTTTCTGTGAGTAAACTAAGTGAAGTCTGTACAATTGATTGGTACTAACTTTAACATCTCAAGACTGACTGTTCAGTCACCAACAGATCTTACATTAGTAGATTTGGTGAGATTTTATTAATCTTCAATGCCATGGTTTCCACAGATATGTCTATTCTTCATCTTTTTTTCTTCTTAGGTTCACCATCATAGGCATATTTCATTAATTATTTATCCACTAGCCTTCCCCTGCCACACATTGCTGTGGCCCAGTCTGTGTGCATGTGCTTTGTATGTGTATATACGTGTATATATTTGTGTATATGTGTATATACATGTGTTTACGTATATCTGTGTGGTTTTGCGTATGAGTTGTAATGTATTTTTTAATATATTTTTTGGTTTTTAAAAAAATATTTTTAATACATTTTTATTGAGGTTTTACAGAGTATATATGTAGTAGGGAAAGGTGTTGGGTAAGGATATCAAGGTGAAGCGGGGAGGGGGAAAAGGTAGGGGGATGGGGGGGGAGGATGGGTAAGGAGTTGAAGAAGGATAAGGGTAGTATGAATTGGGGGGGGGGGAGTGTTGACTTCCCAATCTTCCTTCCGACATTCTTATCCTTCTCTTTAGTTTTTCCTTCATTTCTTATCGCGGCTCTTCTTCCTGTCAATTTTTCCTTAGTGTTTCTTAAATTAAATTTTGCTTTGTTTTGTCTTACTAATATTCTATTAAGGTCCTGTTTCTTCCTTCTCATTGTAGGTACTCATAAAGTCTTCAAATTGCTTCCAATCTGTTCTGTTCTTTTGTGTATATATGTGGTTTTGTGCATGCATTGCAATGTAGTTTTTTTTGTTTTTCTGACCTTTTAAGTCTCTTCCACTGTGTTTTTCAGTGTTTTTATGAGTGATGGTCACTTTTTGGCCTGATAGGTGTATTGTGTCCACATTTGGTGTCAATTTGTCCAATGGTTTTTGAGTTATGTAAATCCCACAAACAAACATTACATTTTTATTTATATAGATTTCTGTATGATTAGCTTTTGATACTGTGTTTATTTTTCGTATCTATGATGGTTGCTTATAAGTGATCATGAAGTTAATAAATAATTATGGTTAATAATCTCTCACTCAATCTGTTTAGCAATAATTCTTTCAGAATCAGTTTGTGATAGTTATAGAATGCTGGAAGTTGTATTACATGTGTCTGTCTGTGTACACACACAGTCAATATTCTTTTTTTACTGCCCCCTTTTACAATTCTGTTTTATTAATTTGAATATAATGTTGTTGGAGGCTTTTGTGGCTGGAATTACTAGATTGCTGTGAGTTTTCTGGGCTGTCTGGCCATGTTCCAGAAGCCTCTCTCTCGACATTTTGTCCACATCTATGGCAGGCATACCTCACAACTTTTGCAGATGCCTATGATAGATGTGGGCAAAATGTCAGGAGAGAATGCTTCTGCAACATGGCCATACAGCTCAGAAAACTCACAGCAACGCAGTTTGAATACTGTTTGGCATATTTGTTCATCATAAAACAACTATGGCTGACAAAAAGAGATGACTTCCTTTTGTTCATTCATTATATTGTTCATTATACTGCCCAGCTAAGTTTTGCTATATATCAATAACAGTCCCCATCACTCAAGTGGTCATTTCAAGCAACAGGTGTCAGTAAAGAGGGGCAGGATGGTGCCAGAGAACATAGCTATACAGTGGTTCCAGATTGTGATCCCATGGATATGGTGGAACCACTATAATTTAACTGTAAGCTCTACTTCCTGTTGACAGATTGAAGGCGCCTTTGTTCAGGGACTTGGGCTGTACACAAAAGAGGAACTCAAATACTCGGCCGAGGGAGTCCTCTATACACGAGGACCAGATCAATATAAAATCCCAGCAGTTTGTGACATCCCAGAACAGTTCAGCGTCTCCTTGTTACAGTCTTCTCAAAATTCAACAGCAATCTATTCATCAAAGGTAAGAAGGTCAAAACCAATGTAAAGTCCCTCCTTCTGTTTAGACCAGTGGTTCCCAACTTGTGGGCCACAACCCACTGGTGGGCCATGAGACCTGAAATAAGCAGATGGCGACTACTGGATGGCATATGTTCTATATCAGAAACTAGAGCTGATGTGGTCTATCCTCACACCAACCTAGAGAATTTCTCATTGGATATTCCCCTGTGAATGTGCCCCCTGGGTTATTGGAGAATGCAGCCTTGGCTCCTATGTTATGTTTTTTGGTGGCTGCTTTGGACAGGAAGACATTTGTCTTCTTTTCCCTTGGCTAGAATTGAACTGATAAGTCAAGACATTAGCTGCCTGAAAATTCTTGGTTTTGGTGACAGCAGCCTCTCCTGGGTGGTGAAAAATTAAACTCATTCTGTGTATTCCTCCTTCATGGTAAATATCCAAAGTGGTATTGTGACTACCCGCCTTCAAACGCACATATCTCAACCCAGCAGGGCATGGGCTACAACTACTGAGGAAGTGAAGGAAAGACGGGAAACATTTGGATATAATAACAATATTAATGCTACTACTACTGCTACTACTACTACTACTACTAATAATAATAATAATCTTTATTTTTATACCCCGCCTCCATTTCCCCGAAGGGACTCGGAGTGACTTACAAAGGGACATGCCCAACAAAACAGGTTAAAATAAGCATAGAAAAACAAGCAATATCAAACATCAATAAACATAAACATATGAATCCCAAAGAGAACCCCAAGGGCCATTCAGCCCAACTCCCTGCCATGCAGGAAGGCACAATCAAAGCACTCCTGATTGATTACAGCCTCTGCAGAAAAGCCTCCAGAGAAGGAAACTCCACCACACTCCCAGGCAGCCGATGCCACTCTCCAACAGCTCTTACTCTCAGGAAGTCCTTCCTAATCTTTTCAGCTGAATCTCTTTCCCTGCCACTTGAAACTGTTGCTCCCTTGTGCCCTGGTCTCTAGACTTCCTCCTCCTCAATGGGACACCCTTCGAAATCTTGAAATATGGTTCTCATGTTCCCTTTCTACCTTCTCTTCTCCCAGCTAAACATCCTCCATGAGGAAAGGAGGAAGAAAAAGAAAAGGAGAGGAAGGAAGGAAGAAAGGGAGGGAGGAGAAAGAGAGAGAAGGAGGGAGAAAAGAGGGAAGGAAGGACAAAAAGGAGGAAGGGAGGGATGGAGGAAGGAAAGAGAGAAGGATAAAAGGGAAGGAAGGAAGGAAGGAAGGAAGGAAGGAAGGAAGGAAGGAAGGAAGGAAGGAAGGAAGGAGAAAGAGAGAAGGAGGGAGAGAGGAAAGAGGGAAGGACAAAAAGGAGGAAGGGAGGGATGGAGGAAGGAAAGAGAGAAGGAAGGAAAGATAAAAGGGAAGAAATGAAGGAAGGAAGGATAAAGAAAGAAAGAGAAGGGGGAGGAAAGAGGGAAGGAAGGACAAAAAGGAGGAAGGGAGGGATGGAGGAAGGAAAGAGAAGGAAGGAAAGACAAAAAGGAAGGAAGGAAGGAAGGAAAGGAAGGAAGGAAGGAAGGAAGGAAGGAAGGAAGGAGAAAGAGAGAAGGAGGGAGGGAGGAAAGAGGGAAGGAAGGACAAAAAAGAGGAAGGGAGGATGGAGGAAGGAAAGAGAGAAGGAAGGAAAGATAAAAGGGAAGGAAGAAAGGAAGGAAGGATAAAGAAAGAAAGAGAAGAGGGAGGAAAGAGGGAAGGAAGGACAAAAAGGAGGAAGGGAGGGATGGAGGAAGGAAAGAGAGAAGGAAGGAAAGATAAAAGGGAAGGAAGGAAGGAAGGAAGGATAAAGAAAGAAAGAGAAGGGGGAGGAAAGAGGGAAGGAAGGACAAAAAGGAGGAAGGGAGGGATGGAGGAAGGAAAGAGAGAAGGAAGGAAAGATAAAAGGGAAGGAAGAAAGGAAGGAAGGATAAAGAAAGAAAGAGAAGGGGGAGGAAAGAGGGAAGGAAGGACAAAAAGGAGGAAGGGAGGGATGGAGGAAGGAAAGAGAGAAGGAAGGAAAGAAAAAAGGAAGGAAGGAAGGAAGGAAGGAAGGAAGGAAGGAAGGAAGGAAGGAAGGAAGGAAGGAGAAAGAGAGAAGGAGGGAGGGAGGAAAGAGGGAAGACAAAAAGGAGGAAGGGAGGGATGGAGGAAGGAAAGAGAGAAGGAAGGAAAGATAAAAGGGAAGGAAGAAAGGAAGGAAGGATAAAGAAAGAAAGAGAAGGGGGAGGAAAGAGGGAAGGAAGGACAAAAAGGAGGAAGGGAGGGATGGAGGAAGGAAAGAGAAGGAAGGAAAGACAAAAAGGAAGGAAGGAAGGAAGGAAGGAAGGAAGGAAGGAAGGAAGGAAGGAAGGAAGGAGAGAAAGAGAGAAGGAGGGAGAGAGGAAAGAGGGAAGGACAAAAAGGAGGAAGGGAGGGATGGAGGAAGGAAAGAGAGAAGGAAGGAAAGATAAAAGGGAAGAAATGAAGGAAGGAAGGATAAAGAAAGAAAGAGAAGGGGGAGGAAAGAGGGAAGGAAGGACAAAAAGGAGGAAGGGAGGGATGGAGGAAGGAAAGAGAAGGAAGGAAAGACAAAAAGGAAGGAAGGAAGGAGAAAGAGAGAAGGAGGGAGGGAGGAAAGAAGGAAGGACAAAAAGGAGGAAGGGAGGGATGGAAGAAGGAAAGAGAGAAGGAAGGAAAGACAGGAAGGTAGGAAGGAGAAAGAGAGAAAAGGAGGGAGGGAGGGAGGGAGGAAAGAGGGAAGGAAGGACAAAAAGGAGGGAGGGAGGGATGGAGGAAGGAAAGAGAGAAGGAGGGAAGGATAGGATGGTGAGAGAGAGGAGGGCCTGAGAAAAGAGCCCAAGAGGCCGCCCCCAGCCCCCAGGCCTGTCTCTGTATTGCCAGTCAGACTTTTTAATCTTTTTGTTAATCTTTTTCATTTAGTGAACTGATATTAAGCAATAACATTTTCAGCATATTGCCAAGGCTATTTGAAGTGGGAGCCAGTTTGGGATTAACTTTCCATTTCCCAAGGTGGAAGAGCTTAATTGCTTCCCTTAATCATTTCACCCATGACACCAAGGTTTCATTCACTTACTCATAACCCAAAGCGACATGTTATGTACTATCTTCTGTTAGTAGTATCCTAACAAATTATAGCTGAGTAACCATTCATTTAGGTAGTTTCACCCTATCACCAGAAGTTTGAATCAGACATCTTTTTTCATACAATATCTGGTAAAAGTATTAATACAAACATCTTGGCATCAGGCCATCCACGACAGTTTTGCAAATGGCAACTTTCACAATTTTCTGTTGTGCTTAATTTCCATCTTGCCTCATGTCCTATAATCCCAGAATCAACCATCTTAAAACATGCTCTACTTTTTACATGCTTTAAAACCAAAAGTGCTTTCACTGTTTCTGTCTTTGTTCCTGACAGGGTCTTGGTGAAGCAGCCGTTTTCTTGGGGTGCTCTGTGTTTTTTGCAATAAGGGATGCAGTGGCTGCTGTGAGGAAGGAAAGAGCATTATCTGAGGATTTTGAACTGAACAGTCCCCTGACTCCTGAACGTATCCGGATGGCTTGTGCTGACCAGTTCACAGAAATGGTAAAAAATAATGTTTCTGTCAAAAATATTTTGCATGCTTCACCCAGTGATGTAAAGCCATGTTTTAGGCATTTAAATCTGAAAGAGTGATGACAAACACTCTTATGATATGAATATGACATTGTAAGTTGAGCAATATAAGGTTTCCACTTCAGTTTTTTGTGAGTTAAAGATTCAGTCTCTTTAGTCCCTCTGGGCAATTAACATCTTTAAGAAGCTCATAACAATGGAAATATATGCCAGTTGTTATGGGCTAATATCTTCCAAAATTCCCATTAGTTTGAGGCTTGGACTTCCATGGTGTGAATTGTTTCCAAATCTAAATAAAATCTGGCTTATGGGAGGTAAAGAAATCACAGGCTCTGGCATTAGATATATTCCCACATGAACACAGCTTATTGGACCTAGTTTAATTGATTTTGCTATATATTAGTAACAGTCCCCATCACTCAAGTGGTAATTTCAAGCAACAGGTGTTGGTAGAGAGGGGCAGGATGGTGCCAGAGGACATCGCTATATCGTGGTTCCACCACATACATGGCATCACAATCCACTGATTTAAACAGGAAGTCTCCCCCTACAAACCCATATGAAATAAATAGTGTAAAATAGTAACATAATAATAATAATAATAATAATAATAATAATAATAATAATAATAGGATCTGTGCGCATCATTTGAAAATACATCACATAGTCCTAGATGCTTGGGGAAGTGTTCGACTTTTTATTTTGTTATATGAAATCCAGCATATAGATCTCGTTTGCTGTGACATACTGTGCTTTTGTGTCAGTAAAATAATAATAATAATAATAATAATAATAATAATAATAATAATAGTGATCGGCACACTTGGTGCAGTGCCTAAAGACCTTGGCCTGCACTTAAACACAACTGGCGCTGACAAGATTACCATCTGTCAGCTTACTGGGATCTGCACACATTATTTGCCGATACATCACACAGTCCTAGACACTTGGGAAGTGTCCAACGTGTGATCCAATACAACGGCCAGTAGAGTGTCTGCTGTGGATTCAACTTGTTGTGTTTCAAATAATAATAATAATAATAATAATAATAATAATAATAATAATAATAATAAACTTTATTTATACCCCACCACCATCTCCCCAAAGGGGACTCAGGGCAGCTAACATGAGGCCAAACCCAAAGATACAATGGCTGTGGATTCAACTTGTTGTGTTTCAAATAATAATAATAATAATAATAATAATAATAATAATAATAAACAACTTTATTTATACCCCACCACCATCTCCCCAAAGGGGACTCAGGGCAGCTAACATGAGGCCAAGCCCAAAGATACAATGGCATGATACTGTACAAATAAAAAAAATCCAAAAAACAACTGTTCTGTTGAGATAGGGATCCATCCACTGAAAAGTTCTCCCACACCAATCCTTTTTCAAAATCCCTGGGCACTCATTGATGTTTTCACAGGTCAACTTCACAGTATTTGCTGTTGCGTGTAGTGGTAATTGGTAGTATCTGTATTCATGGGATGGCAAATCTATTCAGGGTTTAAGACTGAACTTTAAGGAAGCTTTCCAAGATGCTGAGTCTATTTTGAGACTAGAGTTCAGCAATTTGAATAGACTTTTAAAACCATAGATTGTATCCCAGTTTAGATTTATTTTGCCATTGCTGCAGAATGCACGTATCAGCACTATCTTCCTTGCACTCAGTGACCTTCCAAATCTACAGTGTGCTGTAGCTATTCTTTTTACTTGCCTATCAGTTGTTACTGAGTTTGTCTTAAAGAAATGTAAGCTAATTTAATAGTTAGTCCTACTATTGACATCTTTTGAACTAATTACTCCTATTTAATATTTTTCATTCTCCTAGATCCCAAAGGACAAATGCACTTCTTCTTGGGCCATCTCCGTTTGAAGGAAAACCAGGAACATGTGGATCATGACATTTGTGCCAATATCAGCCACTGACTGACAAATTCATTTCATTTCATTTCAATACTTGTTTTGTCAAGGGAAATATTGCTGGTTTTATACAAAAGAGCATATTAGTTTCCTATGTCCCATTGCCAAAATAGTGGTTTGTGAGAAACCCAGGTTAGCTAGTTTCTCATCCAGTGTCTTTTCCCATCTAGAATGGAAACCCATCAGTTAATAAGAAGGGAGCCAATCCCACAGGGGTAAAAAACATTTTAACCAAAAATGTACTTTAAGGATCAATGCCCGGGACTCAATTGACATTTGACCCAATTCTAATTGTATAAGTGCATTTGGCACACAACTAGGAAGACCAAGGTTAGATCTCAAAAATGTCGTTTGTGTGGATTCCTGAAAGAAGAACCAGGAAAATAAGATTCTGGCTATAAATAGAAGGTCGGCTGCTGCCTTCACCTTGTTGCCTTGTTTTTTTGCTTGTGTTCTATTTTGAAATGGTCATATGACTGATCAAATAAATAATAATAATAATAATAATAATAATAATAATTATTATTATTATTATTATTATTATGATGTGTGGATTCCATGGCAGCAAAATTACTATCTGCACACCACTATGCACCGATGTGGCAATACCTTAGCATTGAATACTTGTATAACTGATGTTGTCCTCCTTTAGAATCGTAAAGACAAATATCACTTAATGTGAGACAGAAGAGAACCAGTAAAATAAACATAAAATAAGTAAAAGAAACATAAAATATAAAGTAAGAAATCTAAAACAAGGTATAAACACTAAACTAATTTGGGAATCTGCTATTTTACACATCCAATGAAGTGATTTTGAACAAGTTTTTAAAAAATAAGACTAAGTATGTCCTAATCCACTTGGAAATCATGAAGCTCCTTCCAGAAGTGTTTTTAAAAAACACTCATTCTTAAAGCTTTTCCTAATTTTTTAAAAATAGAAACTTTCATGTAATAATGCACTTGTACATTGGCCCTGTATGTTGGCTTTCCAATGTCTATGACCCGAAAGCTCCGTATTGTTCAGAATGTGGCAGCCAGGTTACTCACAAGAACGCCCATGAAATGCCATATAACACCAGTGCTGTAACATTTACATTGGCTTCCAACTGAGTACCGTGGCCTGTATAAGATGTTAGTTCTGACCTTTAACATTCTTTACGGCCAGGGTCCATCGTACCTTAGGGACCGCCTCTCCTTCTCCCATCATCGAAGGTCGCAATGACCATCCCAACGTGACTTACTCTATATACCGGGTCCTAGAGAAGTGCACTTGGAAATCACCAGACGCAGGGCTTTTTCTATTTCTGCCCCTGCCTTATGGAATTCCTTGCTACTCTATTTGAGAGCCATGCGTGACTTAGGGCCTTTTACTCTAGCACTTAAAATCTGGCTTTTTACTAGAGCATTCAATCTCTGTTAATTTTTAATTTATGTATGTATGTATTTTATCTTTTATAATTTAGCTGTAAATCGCCTAGAGCATTCTCGGATGGAGGGCGATTAATAAGTAATTAAATATGATGATATGATGTACGCACAATGGCACTATAGTACAATGTCTTGCCGTCTCACTTTATTGATAACTATAGTTGCTAGGGAAGGAAAAAGGTCACTTTTGAAAGTTCAGCAAGTTGCTTTCTTGAGAGGTTTTTGTTTTGGGTAGATACAAGTAAGTAAAAACCAAACTTTTAACATTTTATTAATGATACAGTCTATAAATTATCGAGCTGTCAAGTCTTTTAAGCTTTATTTGCCTTAATAACCTTCCAAGAATTCTTTAAGTGCCTTTATATGATTTATTGGTTTTTATTGCTTAAATATATTGTCTTCTGTCTATTTGTATTCATGAAGTGGCATTGGATTTTGCCTTGTTTGTAAGCCATTCTGAGTCCCCCTCGGGGTGAGAAGAGCGGGATATAAATATAGTAAGTAAATAAATAAATGCATTTGGTGCATTTTATAACTTCAGCTGTGGTTTCGTTTATTGTATCTCGAAGATTGCTTTACTCACAGTTTCACTGCATAGAACCTGGAATGGGTGCTGTTCTTTCTGCTACCACTCCTCCCAAAACTGCTTCACTCCCCCTTTCCCCCTCCTCTGCTTCCCCTGTAGTTCAAAACCAAGCTCTTTGACTAATAATTTCAGGAAATATTCAGGGAATACAGCGCAGTGGGTTAAAGTGCTGAGCTTGTTGACCAAAAGGTCGCAGGTTTGATTCCGGGGAACGGCGTGAGCTTCCATAAGACATGAGTTCTACATATAGGTTCTGTATACCTACTTCCCCTCCCCCTTATTTAACTGAGATTATGGAATTTAAGCCAGTCTAACCCAAACACAATTGGATAATTATAGGTAGGGGTATTGTTTTCCAATGTGTCTCTACCCCCAGAAGCTTCAGCTGTCAGCCCTAGCTTCTGCCAACCTAGCAGTTCGAAAACATGCAAATGTGAGTAGATCAATAGGTACCGCTCTGACGGGAAAGTAACAGCGCTCCATGCAGTCATGCCAGCCACATGACCTTGGAGGTGTCTATGGACAATGCCAGCTCTTGAGCTTAGAAATGGAGATGAGCGCCACACCCCAGTCTCAGACATGACTGGACTTAATGTCAGGGGAAAACCTTTACCTTACCTACAGTGCAAAAAGTTATTTATTTTTGTACAGTCAAGCTACCAGTAAGTAAATGTAGATATCATTGTGCACAATCTTAAAGGCCACTGCAGGTTTGAAAGGTGCTTAAAAGGTACAATCCAAGTTCAATGCCAGCTCCCCGGTGGTTTTGGAGACTTGCTCTCTGTTATATTTTATTTGGAAAAAAAGGTATAAATCAGAGAAGCTTGGTAAAATGACCATAAAAGAAAGAAATATGGCAAGTATTAAAAATTACCCATATTAGAGTTTTCCCATCCCAAGCAATATGCATTACATCCTGCAACTTTGCTGTGCAATATTTTCTGCAACTTTGACAGTATGTGCATTGAGACAATAAAAAAGAAGAACATGAAACAATTTGTGAACTCACACAGTAAGCAGAATATTTCTTCACACATAATTTGTGATAAACCTGGGGCTACAAATACTACAATTTCATTATGTGTCTTGCTGTTACATCTTGATGTATCACAGACTAAAATTCATAAAGCATATGGGTGTGCCTGTTATAAGCCCTGTCATTAGCAGTTCTTCACAGTTTCCAGTTTATGCATTTGCTTACATAATTGTGCAAAAACAGAATAACTTGGTCTGCATTTTACAATAGTCTGGCTATATATTGCAATCATATGGGAAGGCATTTTCTGGTGGAGGCTCCTTCTTTGGAAGCTTTTAAACAGAGGCTGGACGGCCATCTGTCAGGGGTGATTTGAATGCAATATTCCTGCTACTTGGCAGGGGGTTGGACTGGATGGCCCATGAGGTCTCTTCCAACTCTTTGATTCTATGATTCTCTGTCCCACCATCCTCTCAAACTCATTTGGTGGGACCAACGAGAGGGCTTTTGTGGTGGCTGCTCCCAGATTCAGGAACTCCCACAAGGATATACCATAATTAATTCTGCCCCCCTCCCCCAACTCTATTGTGTGCTTCTCATCTTCCAGGAGTCAAAAATAAATGGAAACTGGAGTTGGGAAAAACACATCTTAATTATCTTAGGATACAGGAATAGTGAATTTATAGATACAATGAGGTGACTGTATTCATTTCTTTGCACAACTAATTATTTGGCTTAGGTCCAGATTATTTGAAGGACAGTATCTCTCTTTATGGACACGTTAGAATGCTGCAATAATCTGGGGAGGGCACTCTTTCTGTCCCACCATCCTCCCAAACCCATTTGGTAAGACCAAAGGAGAGGGCCTTTTTGGTGGCTGTTTCCAGACTCAGGAACTGCCTCCCAAGAGAGGCCAAGAGGGACCAATCTCCCTACTTGTCTTTTGCAGGCAACTGTAAACATATTTCTACTATCAGGAATTTATAAACTGGTGGAGGGCAATGATGATGTGACTGGGAGCTTAAGGTGGATATAAAGTAATAATACATTTTTATATTTTAACTAGCTGTCCCCTGCCACGTGTGGCCCAGTCTGGTGATCTGGAAAATAAAGTAATGACAACGTGTTGGTTTCTAATATATGTAATTCCTTTATGCTTGTGAATAAACAGTATTTCTGGTTGTTTCTTTGTCAGTGTTGATGTGGACATTGTCTGGTTTGCCTACTCTGGAATATGCAACATATCATAGTCCTTCTTTAAGGGTCTCTTTCAAATCTATGATACTATATCTGTGTGTGTGTGTGAGAATCATATCTATCTATTTATCTATATTTATGACTGGATGGCTCTTTGTCAGGAGGGCTCTGATTACATTTTCTTGCCCTGGTGAAGAGAGTTGGACTGGATGGCCTTAAGTATTTTCTGTTGGTCATGGGGGTTCTGTGTGGGAAGTTTGCCCCATTTCTGTCGTTTGTGGGTTTCAGAATGCTCTTTAATTGTAGTGAACTATAAATCCCAGTAACTACAAATCCCAAATGTCAAGGTCTATTTCCTCCAAATTCCATCTGTGATTATATTTAGGCATATTGAATATTTGTGCCAAGTTTGGTCCAGATCCATCATTGTTTGAGTCCACAGTGCTCTCTGGATGTAGGTGAACTACAACTCCCAAACTCAAGGTCAATGCCCACCAAACCCTTCCAGTGTGTTCTGTTGGTCATGGGAGCCCTGTGTGCTAAGTTTGGCCCAATTCCATCATTGGTGAAGTTCAGAATGTTCTTTGATTGTAGGTAAACTATAAATCCCAGCAGTGACAATTCCCAAATGACAAAATCAATTTTTTGAGTGGAGGACATAAATTGGACTGTTAGGTGTCTTGTGTCCAAATTTGGTGTCAATTCCCCCAATGGTTTTTGAGTTTGATGGTAGCACGAACTAACATTACATTTTTATTTATATAGATTATTGTATTTTTATTTATGTTTACAGTTTTTACCTTGTTTTAATTACACTGTTTTATATTTATGGTTAGCCTTCTTCAGTCCCTCTATGGGGGAAAGGGATAATATTAAATTAATAAAGTAAAAAAAGAATTAGAAGTAAAATTTTCAGTCCAACTGTTCTGTGTTGGTGGGCTCGTCCCTCGTAATTTAGAACAGCACTATTCAAAATAATTAATGGGGAGGCAGGACTGACAGAGCAGAATCAAAAAGAGATTCCCTGCAGATCCACTTAGGGAGGGGTTTATGACCACATTTGTGCTCTAGTCTCCCATATCTACTGGGTAAGCCTCTTTTAAAGATACATCAGGGGCCAGTCAAGTAAGACAGAGGATAAATTTTACTGGATTTTTTTTTCATGTCAGAAGCGACTTGAAAAACTGCAAGTTGCTTCTGGTGTGAGAGAATTAGCCGTCTGCAAGGACATTGCCCAGGGGATGCCCGGATGTTTTGATGTTTTACCATCCTTGTGGGAGGCTTCTCTCATGTCCCCGCATGGGGAGCTGGAGCTGAAAGAGGGAGCTCATCCACGCTCTCTCCCCAGATTTGAACCTATGTCCTGTCAATTTTCAGTCTTGCCGGCACAGGGGCTAAACCCACTGTGCAACCGGGGGCTCCAATTTTACTGGATGCCATAGGATTGTACTTTAGTTCTAGGCATCTTACACCCTGGATTGATTCTGTAAAAACTGACTTTAGTGTTACCCTTTGATGCTAATTTGGCTCATCGCTTTTACTTATGGAGTATGTTTTTTCCCCTTGTAATTAGCAGAATCAGAAGTTGCCTTTTACCAATCTGTAATATGAACAAGCTGATTTAAAACTTTTTATGGCTGACATAGGAAACTTAAGCAAAAGTATATTCCCCATTGATAATAACTCAATTTAATTTATTGAAAAATATTACTGAATATTTACAACAACAACACTTTTTATATCCCTCCACATTTCCCCATGGCAACTCAATTTATTAGATGTTAATTATTTCTGGTTAATTATCTCAATGCATTGAGATTGGACTAATGATTTTTCACTGAGTTTTGGATAACCTTCTCCCACTAATAAGAGCGCAAATGAAGCTGTCTGGGACCAGCTTCAAATACTAACCAGAGTGGGGTAGTTTGCAGCTGGATGATAGGCACTGCAGAAATTCGTTCCCGGTTGTTGGGTGATTTCAGCTCCGCTAAAGCTGTGGGTTCAGGGAGCTTGGCATGCCTAGCTTTCCAGAAGACCAAATAAGATATAGATTGGTAGAAGAGGTTTTTCTGAATGGCAAAAGAAGAAATCTAAATAGATATTTGGTAGCTACAAAAGGAAAATACAATATACAGTAGTGGCTTCCCACTGATTGGCTTTGTGTGTGTGAGGGTGTGTGTGTCTCTTATCCCTCACGGCCTTGCCTTAGGCAGACCTTGTTTTTTGTCCTTCAGTCCTCCAGCTTTGGTTGTTGCACCCCCACTAGCTGAAACCTTGAAATAAACTTCCCCCCTTTTCTTGACCTTTAAACAGTGGCACAAGCATGATCTGGGAAGACATAAGTCTAATAAATAAATAAATAAATAAATAAATAAACAAACAAACAAATCTTTATTTGTACCCCCTACCATCTCCCCAAGGGAATTGGTGCAGTTTACATGAGGCCGAGCCCACAATACAACAATAAAAACAATAGCAACAGTAATACAAACAATAAATAAACTCATAAACAGAAAATGGTAATAGACATTAACAATAACACAACGACGTTTAAAAAACAAAAACCTATGGCAGGGCCAATGTACTAATTAAAAATTTAAAAAATAATGCTGGGCGTGACCAGGTGACATATAAACAGGATAGAATTTTTGGAGAGGGATAGAGCATGTAGACAATCCTAGATCACTAAAAAGTGCATTTAGGGACATATTGCTGGGAGTTTCCTTATTCTGGGAAGGCACACTGGAACAACCACATTTTCAGGCTCCTCCTAAAGACTGC